GTTTCCCAGGGGCTTTATTCAGCAAAGGATGGAGGAGAAGGCGGGGCCTTCTCAGGTTACAGAGGTACAGTTTTCAGTTGGAAACCCACAATCAACATCCTTGCTCAACCTTTCATGAACAGCCACAGTTGGCAAACACAGAGATTCATGAAGTGTTAATAACACAAATTGGGCATCTTTTAGGCCTCAAAAAGATACAATTATAAAATACCCAACAGACATGTTCTAATATTATCAGATGAAGAACTAAAATATCAGACATGCTGTCTCATCTGCTGCTTTTCTAAACTTGCAAAAAGTAACAAAACCTTCTGAAAGCCACTATTTGTGGATTCTCTGAAAGTTTCCATGAAGTGTGTGACAACTTATTTTTTCATTGATCCTATCGTCTAATCTCACAGCCAGGGTCCGAAATTAACACTCGCCATTCTCCAAATGCGAGCAAATTGCTCCATTTGGTGAGTAAATTTTTGAGCTCTACCTGCCACCTGGCGAGTAAATGTTTTCACCAGATTACCATAAATCCTCTAATACAGGCCTCCAATTGTGGCCGGTGTCAGAGTCAGCTGAGGTAAATAATGGCCGGTCTCTTATTGTGGCCGGGTGGAATGTGGTGACAAGCAAGTATGAGCGTCTCAGTGGCAGGGTCATAGTCCCCAAATCAACCAGCAGGAGGCAGTAGAGGTTCACACAGACCTTTTTTAGGCTTTTTCTTCAACGCTTTGTAACGCTTCAGACACGATCCTCTATCACGCTCCTACCACACAGAGTCACGGTGTCAGTTAACCATGCTAATTCAACCCCTCCACAGAACACACATCACCTTCCCTGTGGCTTACATAACACTCACACAACACGCAAATCAGCACATAGGAACTAGCAGAACGATAGGAAACACATATAACACAATACCCAGAATGCACCTGGCTTACAACCCCAGCCAGGTCATTACACTATCAAGTTCAAAGAGAACATGCTGATTATGCTGCAGAACACTCTGGAGAGCAGCAGTAGGGGGTGTATGAACTAGTCAACTTGACTTTTTATGCCTGTCATCGACTAGTCGCTGTCACGTGATAATGACCGGCAAGATGCAGCCCTCGGAAAAGACAGCAGCCTGCTGTCAGCAGGTGACAAGCTCCTGCGCTCGGGGGGGGGGGGGGGGGGGGGGGGGAACGCGCTGTGCCAGACCGTAGGTACTGACACGCGATCGTTCATGTCGGTTCATTTCCTTTAATGCTTTCTGTCTTTTATTTGCGCCTGATGTGTATCGCTGCTGTGGAGCGGGGCGCATCACCTTGTCCTCCGACGCACAGATCACTGATGCGGCCGGCGAGCAGGGAGCGCTCCGCTGTTTTCGCGGTCGGTAGATCTGCCTCCTGAGCACGGCCACAGTAACAATCAGGTGTCGCCACCTCAAAAACTAATTTAACACGCGATCGTTCATGTCAGTTCATTTCCTTTAATGTTTTCTGTCTTTTATTTGCGCCTGATGCGTTTCGCTGCTGTGGAGCGGGGCGCTGCGCGCATCACCTTGTCCTCCGACGCACTGATCACTGATACGGCCGCCAAACAGCGAGCACTCCGCTGTTTTAGCGGTCGGTAGATGTTTTAGAACTGCAGTTCAAAGGTAACTCATGAGGTGAATATATATGAACCCAGGTAGCAGTTTTTCTTTAGGATTGAGAGGAGATGCAGGAAGATAATAAACAGACAGGACAGAAAAATAGTCAAATAAAAACAAGTTAGTTTTTGTACCTGCTGGTTGCAACAAACAGACACCATTGAAGGTAATCAGAAGTGAGGAACAGAAAATGAAATAATTATTTTAATGTTTAGAGCAGCAGGAACTCCGAGAGGCTGCAGGCGCATCAGTGAGTTAGCGGCCGCAGTGCAGGGGGAGGGGGGAGAGGGCTGAAGCAGGGGGAGGGGGGAGATGGCTGAAGCAGAAACTACCGTTGTTAAAAGAAATGTGTTTAACTTTGAAAATGTGGGCGCAATTTTAATTGTCAAAAACTCCAGCGAACCATTAGTTCATTTTGCTCAAATGGAAATAGAGGACTGTCTCTAATACTGGCCCTCCTTCCAATAAAGGCCTGGAGCTTGATGAACTTGAGTCAAATAGAGGCCCGGGCCTGTATTAGAGGATATACGGTAGTTATGTTTATCAGTCATCTTCCATGGATTTCTGATACTCCTCCCGCCTGCATGCAACGTACACAAACGTACGCGAAATGTGAACGCCGCATCCAACGTCATTTCCACCTATCCCATTCAATCAGTTTATCAAGTTAGCAGTTAGCTTCGTGTTAAAACTAGCGGTGAAATGTGGTGGTTTTTAACTGGAGTCAGCCAGCCTTCCATAAGAAAACTCGTCGAACTGGAAGAAAAACCACCAGGACCAGTGGCAACCAGAAGATTTTGTGAAAAGTGGCGAACTGGAGACGGCGGAGTCGTGAGACAATGGCTACATTATGATGGCCACGTAGCGTTGCTGCCTTTCACAGACAACTGTCCCTCGGCATTCTTCAAGTATCCAAAAAATGCCCATACTTCCGACTTTGTCTTCTTTGAGGGATAATAAATGTCCCGAGTGCTGCCGTCTCCTCCTGCCATTATTTCAGCTTTAGCTTAAAGAAAGTTTTGGTCGTAAACAACAAAGTGCACATGTGCCGCCGGCTACTTCAGCAGATGATACGGTGGCTGGTAAGGGTCACCGCGCCTACACCATGGCCACGGTAAACCACCGAGATAATTTTTTTAAAAAACAAGACGGTTATTATTATTGTCAACTTTTTTACCGGGGTTTACCGCTACACCGGTTACCGTGACAACCCTAGCCCTGACACACTTTCAGATATTCTCATGGTGCAGCTGTGTTCTCCAGAGATCAAGGACTAGGACCCAAATGAGGCTGTAATGCTTTGGCACAACGACGGTGTCAGAAGCTGGAGGCCAGACTTCATGGACAGAGAAAACAAGGAGTCTGACTAGATTTCAATGAAAGAGTTCATAGAAACATCTCTAAAAATAAATAAATAAATAAATAAATAGTAAAAATGACAAAAGAGTTGTTTTTCTTATTAATTGATGTTTTAATTATTTTGTCACTCTGTTTGGAATCAACATAATATAGAATAACATGCTTTGGGTAGATCTAAATCATTTAGAATTTTGGCTGGTAAAAGATATGCTTGGCCGGTAGATTCTCATCATCTACCAGCCAACTTGGCCGGTGAGTAAAAAATTTAATTTCGGACCCTGCTCACAGATGAAACAAGCATCCTTAATAATCTGTGCACAGGAAGCGTACCGATGCTGTAGTAAAACAAAAGTTATAATAATTTCTTATTAATAAAACCTTGTTGCAGCATTAAAGCAGAAAAATTAGATTTTGCAATAAATATGCTAAATATTTACATATGAATTGTTTTAGAGCCCTTTTATTGGCAGAATGTGATATTAATTTAGTTCTTTCAAAAAAAAATGGGTCCCAACATGGTTTGTGTGGCGTTGCCATAGTGTGACGTCATAGGCACAGATCCCCTGTCCTCTTTTTTGGAAATGGAAATATGGTCACCCTGTATTAAACAAACTGTCCACCCGAGCTTTTGCGCTGCACAGAGATGCTTCGCTGCCTATGACTGAACATCATTTGAGAGCAGTTGAGAGTCAGTCTCATGCAGACTGACCAATGAAGAGAGGGCCTCAAGTTAAGACCCTCTCCTCATTGGTCAGTCCACACAAGGTGGGTAAAACGTTACCCTGAGGGGGTTACGTGATGTCAGGCATTCAAGTATTGAGTATATTTACTTCATATTACAGTAATATAATCTGTATGTGACCATTAGGGATGAGCCGGATACTCGTTTCAGACGAGTATCCGGTACGGATAAAGCATTTTTGACGAGTACGAGCATGAAACGAGTAAAACTCGTAAATAGCTGTAATCGTGCTGAAGGAAAATCCTCATTGGATTGGACTGTCTTCACGCTCTGTGATTGGCCAGTCAAATAGAGCGCCCGCCCCTCCCTACACAAAAAACTCTGCAGCCGGGAGCTGACGGCTCAGTCCCCGTCCGATCCATCCATGCACACAGACAGTAACGGATCTCTCTGTGCTTGCTTCACTGTTCACGTTTCTTCAGAACTCCCTATGTTTTCTTCAGTTTGCTTCTTTTTAAAGTTACTTTAAAGTTATTTAAAGTTACTTTTTTCGTAACGTACGTGGTGCATTTGACAAGACAGAGCTGAGAACGGCTCGTACTGCGTCAGTCATTCACTGCCTCCGCTCCGGTCGGGTTTTTTTCCTCTCTCTCCTCTTCCTCAGGATCCACTCCCTCTTTCCTATTCCACTCTCTCTTTCTTTACCTTTTTTTAATCACAATTATGTATTTTTTGATCATTTTAAATATATTTTAATAATTTTCTAAATTCTTTTTTCTATTTTACATGTTTTGTTTTTGTGAAGCGCCCCGTGATTTTTATCTTGAGAGGCGCTATAGAAAAGATCTTTTCTTCTCTCTCTCTCTTAATTCATGAACTTAAATATTAATGTTCTAATTTTACTGAAAAACTTGTTCTGTAATAGTTCCTTTACTATTGTGATCAAAAACATTTAATCTCAGCTCTGAGGCTGCTCTGTAAATAGTTTTCAAATAAACAATACACATAGCAACTTCTGATCAGACTTAAAATAACGTATTGATGTAAACCACACCCACTTCCGGTTAAACTACACTCACTTCCGGGTTATGCCACGCCCACTCCGAGTACAGATACAGATAGTGGTGTGCTCGCTCATCCCTAGTGACCATATTATGGTGATCCTTGGGTCGTGATGATGGGGCCCTTGAATATGGTTGCCCAGGGTACAACGAAGTGTTAATCTGGCCCTGGCTGTAGGCACTGTTTTCTTTAAATCAGTGATCATATAGTAACAACGATGTAGTCGTGCAAAGAGAAGAAACAAGATTAAGAGCAAAATTAGTTTTTGTTCATGTTAAATAAACTTGACAAATATAAAACTAAGAACTTATACAACAACTTTTTATTACATTTTCCCACTTCTCATCTGAACCAGGGTAACAAAAACATAAAAATGTTTTAATCATGAGAATTTCATATAAACTAAAATTAAAATAATTCAATGTCACAAAATGTAGCTGAAATTTTATTTAGCAGTTGGGTAATAAAAAACACAATGTATGTTGGATGAAGGAAGGTGAGATTCTGTAACGTACTGAACAGCCGCTCTGTGGAAAAGCTATAAAAACTAAATTTAACAGTTCATAAGTTTATCTATAACACCCACAGAGGATACTTGAGATAATGCACTTATTTTTCATCATTATTCACTATAATCATCTATAATCATTCCCTATAATTTCCTAAAAATGTTTGTTTTCATTGATCATATTTCCTGGAAAATGGAAAAATAAATTTGTTCTGTTAGTAGCTAACAGTGACAGCAACTTTTCATTTGTCCTGTTTTATGGTTTTCTTCCTGCCAATTATTTCCCATCCCCTTTATTTTTCCCCTTATCTTATCTTATCTTATCTTATCTTATCTTATCTTATCTTATCTTATCTTATCTCACTGGTCAGAACTGATGGTTTATGCTGGAAATCAACTGTAACATGACTGAATATAAAGCAAGCACCACGTTTTTGTGTGTGGCAGCCATGTTGGATTCTCAGGTTCGGACTGGTGAGAAAACTTCCACCAAACTTATCAAAATTCCAAATTAAAGAGAAATTCCAGTTGATTTTTCAGACTTAGAATGCAGAAATTTCTATTTCAAAGTCTAAATTGAATGCACCATCAATTCCTGGTCCCTGGGATGGAATGCCAAATAATCCCAACTTTCCAAATATGTTTTTTCAATCAATCTCTGTTAATGTAACTGCTTAATATTATTCAAGCATCACTCAAACAAATGAAATCTGTGGCCCAGATTTTAATGAAGATGTCAGCAGTTACCCTCTTCTGGTCATGCAGCAGCAGCTCAGTCTATGGTGAGAAGTAATGTGTTCCCATTACTAGAGATGAGAAGATGAGTTCCTGTCACGTCAGTGAAACAACCTTGGAGCTACTGATTAATACTAAAGGAAATCCAGATGTTCACGTCTATTATCATGCGGGTGATTTTACTCATGTCCAAAGTTACAAAACCTAATTTTTGTGGTTAAAATGTTTGTTTTATTTTAAACTTGTGTTTTACATCCCTGAGAAACTGTTCACTGTGACAGACTAGTGTAGGAGTATAAACAAACACGTCAGACTGAGCATGACTGACCCAAGATTATCAGCTCATTTTCATTTTACGAGCCCCGACTAATATGTTCTTGAGCTCACAACTCTACACAACTGGGTACAGGGCATAGCTGGCAATCCCACAGGTGTTCCTGCCATTCCGAATCATCCGCATGTAGCCGCCCTCACCCCAGCTGGTTCCCCAACTAAGAGAAAAAGCAGAAATGTAAATGTTCAGTGCAAGCCTGAGATGTAAAGATGGGTGCTTTAAGATATATTGGGTGTTTGCAGACCTGTTTTTGATGATCCAGTAGTCCTGGCCTTCCTCTGAGCCGTAGCCAACCAGCAGCACCGCGTGACTCAGATGGTCTGGGCTGCAGTTGGGCTCATCGTAAATTCCTGGGAAGAAATTAAAAGTGAACAAGATCAATGTTTTATACAAAAAGGTAATATCTCATTAACGTTTAACCCAGAATGTGACATGCAACAGTCAAGTTAGTATGAAACGTGGAAACTTCAGCACGTCTCACAAAGCCAGACTCAGTTTGCTCTACTGAAACGTTTCAGAGGTGAAGATAGTTAAAAGGTCATTTGTTGCCCATGGCACAGATTTCTAATTCAGACATTAGTTTCCACATTCCTCTCACTGTTTTACTTTGAATGAGTATAAAGCTGAGTCTAGAAGCAACCTGACTGGATGTAGATCTCTCCAAACACGTTGTAGATGTTGACGTCTATGTTGTGGTCCCTCACCTGGATGACATTTCGTCAATGTCAAATTCACAAAATTTAAATTTCTCCTAACACATTACCTGAGCTGTAGAACAGGAAGCTTGACTGATCAGCATCGATGGCCACGGTGATTGGACCTACGGTTGCCACAGCATCAGCCAGAGCCTGCTCGTCTCCTTTGGGAATGAACCTGTAGTCTCTGATGTGAGCGATGGCCAGCCGGCTGTCATAGAAACAAGGCTGTGTGTCCTGTGGAGACAAATAAATGTTACTGGCGGACCTGACCCACAGTCCTTTAATCACAGTTGAGCCCGCTGACTGAGCCTCACCACAGAGGTGTATGGGTAGGTGTCTGTCGCCTGCAGCCCGTTGCTCAGAACGTAGTCGTAGGCGTTGGCCATCCAGGCACCATTGCACCCATGGGTACCATACGGTTTGGAGCAGTCCACCAGGTTTTGCTCACTCAAAGAGACAAGATGGCCTGTCTTCTTGAATATCTGTCCCTCTATTGCTCCTGTGGTGCTGAAAGCCCAGCAGGAGCCGCAGTAGCCCTGTCAGAGTGTTTCAACACACACACCTGGTTTTAGTTCAGTCTGGACCAGAGCTGCCCAAGAAACCATAGAGATGCCTCACCTGATCTTTTATCTCAGTGACATAACCCATGTTCCTGTAGTCAACAAACCCAGCATCTCGTTTCTTTGCATTATAACGTAGCCTTCGAGCTGAGACTTCCTTTCCTCTTTTAGCAAACTGGGGGTTGATCACAGCGCCCTGCAGGACTTGGTACTCCTGCCTCGTCTGCATGAGAGAAGTGTGACAGATTTATGTGCTAATAATACTTTGAATGAACTTGAATTTTCTCTGTTTTTGTCAAAACACAACTTCTTACAAGGTCTCCATATTTATTCATGGCCATAGTAAAAGATCTTCTCCCCAGGAGAAACCCTTGATTGTGGTCTTCAATCTTCTGCTTGTTGTCCTCCCAGATGGCTCTCCTCTGCATGTCGTCCTGAATAAAACCACAAATCAAAGAAAGGCTCGAGTGATTCGGAGCATTTAATGATGTTTGTGTGTGAAATGTAGAATCTGTCTCACTAATTCATCGTAGCTTATTCCATGGCTGCTTTTCCACATCTCCCACTCGGTCAGGACCACCTCATCTGACTCTGACAGGACAAGCTGCGGGACGCACAGCAGGATGGAGAGCACGGCGGCCCTCAGCGCAAAGCTGGCCTGCAGAGCTACAAGGATCAGAGCATCAAAACTGGGCAAACACGCCTATAGAACAACATGATTCTGAAAGATTATACAAAGTCAGAGCCTAGTGCGTAAAAAAATTACATGTAGGTTTAAAAATCATACGATATATTTCTTCACAGAAATGAGACTGAGGAAGCGTACCGGTGCAGGTGTGAATCCGTTTTGTCTCCATATTCTGAGAGCAGCTCCAGCAGTGACCCAGTATCAGACTACCGGCCCTCCTTATAAAGCTTTCCAGTAAGTACAAGTGTCTACTGTGCTTTCACCAGATCTCTAAATCAGCACCTGTAAAAGCACCTGAGAGGGGCATTAGTCAACAAAAATAAGTTGCTTTCCCTGCTCTGCAGTCCTGTATTTATCATTTAGAAACAGCTAAAGCTGCAATATTGTAAATCCTTCAAATACCAGTTCACACCTGAGCACAACACCTGACACCTGACACAAACAGCAGCAAAAAAGGAACTTTACACAAGTACAAATGTATTTATGTGAAGTTATTCTTTTCTGGGAGAATTTTAGTGATCGAGCAGCACCTAAAATCACATTAATTACATTACAGCTACACGTATACTTAGCACACTCGTTTATTATTGAAGGACCAGTCCGTGTATTCATCCTTTACACCTTGTGAAGTTTATTCTGGTGTTTCAACATTAAAAGTTTGACAGTCACAGTAAAATTTTACAATGAAAAGTAGAATTTTATATAAGATATTCTAAACTAATGAGAATAATTTAAAAAAATGTGGAAATAACATTGATAAAATGTGTGTGTCAAAGATGAACTGACTAATAACAGTACTACTAGTTAATATAAACCTGAAGAAATTCTAAAATGTTTAACTTTCAAGATATAATGTTTAAATCTTTCTGAATACTATGAAAGTTAGTGGCACTTGTAAGAATGGGAAGGTAAGAATGGGGGTTCCGCAGCGCCCCCTAGTGGCCAGGATCCCTGCGCGCAGGGCTCACTGCGGAGGATGAGCTCAGCTGATCGTCCTGCTTAATGTCGGGTTCGCAAACGGCCAACACCCTACAGAGTGCGGCAAAACAGGCCAAATAGCGCTCAGCATCGCGTCTAATGAGCCAGCTGCGCAGGAAGGAGAAACATGAGTCACGAATGAGAACTGCAGGATGTCTTTCAAGGTAAACCTCTCTCCATCCGTCATTGACCGTGCACGCGGCCCTCCATCCAATATGACAGAACAGATGCTTTCTCCTAACTAATCCAGATTGTGTCAGGCTTTGGTTAATCATGTATTTGACTATAAAGCGGAAACAGAGCTGACGTTCGACTGGCTGTGTACTGACTTTAGTGAGGTGCTGCTGCATGCGCGTGCACGTGTAAAACCCATGTGGGCCTTTATTTATGCACGAGCTGGCCTAATTAAAGACTTGATGAAAATAATAGGAAATGAATCGGCTTTTGGTAGGTCTACGGGTATTCTGCCCTGACATGTGAAATAGCCTACTACTGAAGAGAGACATCTGGAGTGCACACACTAATCCGTTAACACATCTGGTAAATAATTATTATTTAAACTTTGGTGTCAGCTGTCTATGAGGTGATGAGTCCATGATCATTCTCGATTTTTATATGTACAAAGGTAGAAGTTGGTAGAAAACCTAATGTACAAATGTAAGCATAATTGTATTTTAGTCAAACCTAAAGGTAGTCATCCAAACATTTATACCTAAAATATACTATTGGGCATCCAGTCTGGGTAACCCAGACATGTACCACACTGTAAATCTTGAAAAGTATTTGGCTACTCAGGTCAGAGAAACTGATCATAACAGCAGATTTATTTTGTTTTACGTTTTTTATCCGATAGATAACAATATGAAGTTTTTTGCAAATTCGTTAAAGAGCAAAATGAAAAATAATTATAAACTAAAAACTAGATCATACAAAAAAGGCAGAATAATTATGTGTGTGTGTGTGTGTGTGTGTGTGTGTGTGTGTGTGTGTGTGTGTGTGTGTGTGTGTGTGTGTGTGTGTGTGTGTGTGTGTGTGTGTGTGTGAACAAGTTCCACTGACTATATAAACTATTGTTTTATTTACTTGAGCTTCAACAGGTCCAGCAGATTTAAATCAAACTGTAAATGTGTGTTTGCATCAGCTTCATTTCTGATTAAATCGATTGTGATCTTCATTCAGTAAAGTAACTAGAGAAGGGAGATTGTACTCAAGTAGCGATATATTCAGTTTCAATTAAATGTAGCCTACTAACATAGCACCAGTTCACAGAGTCGACTCAAGGCACTTAAAGTAAACGTTCTATTTGAACCTATGTCAGAGCTTTGAGCTCAGTTCATTATGCTAATCAGCAGATGCACTGAGTCACTGACTTGTTGTGTCAGTGACTTTACAGCAATCCTCATACTAAGCAAGAATGCAGTGACAGTGGAGAGGAAAATTCCCGTAAACAGTTAGAAGACAGGGGTTATGTTGTTTCTATTGGCGAACACAAATCAGAGCTGATCACCATGACATGTGGGGTCCCCCAAGACTGTAAAGTAGGACCACTGCTCTTCAATCAATCTCTACATTCTCCCCTGGGCCAGGTCATACACAGAAACAACATTGCCTATCATAGTAATGCAGACGACACCCAGATCTACTTCGCTCTATCACCTAGGGACTGGGGTCCTCTAGACTCACTCTGTCACCGTTGGGATCAAGTTAATGACTGGATGCAGTCAACCTTCCTCCAGGTAAACAAAGACAAGACAGAAGTTATTGTCTTTGGACATAAGAAGGATATGATGGAGGTTATTACTCAACTTGGCTCCAGAGGAATAAAGACGGACTCAGGTTGGAAATCTTGATGTCATGATTGATCCGGACCTGAGCTTCACTGGTTACATTAAGGCTATAACTAGATCAGCGTTTTATCATCTGCGTCAGATAGCATGACTCAGAGGTCTCATGTCCAGACAGAACTTAGAGAAACTCATTCATGTGTTCATCTCCAGCAGGCTGGACTACTGCAATGATCTTTTGATTGGTCTTCCCAAGAAAGCTGTAAAACAACTGCAGTTTATTCAGAATGCTGCAGCTAGAGTCTTAACAAGAACCAAAAGACCCAAGCACATCACTCCTGTTCTTTAATCTCTACACTGGTTACCAGTAAACTACATAATAAGTTTCAATGTACTTCTACTAGTTTATAAACCACTCAGTGGCATGGGGCCAGAATAAATGTTGCACGTTCTTCGCTGTATTTGCCCACCCAATAACTTTGCCTTTTTAATTGTATTTTCTGTCACATTGATTTTAATGTTCTTGCTTTTCTTGCTTAGGGAAAGCACATTGAATTGCCTCTGTGTATGAAATGTGCTGCACTGCCTTGCCCAGAAACCTCCAACAGAAGCTGGTTTAGGATCAGCAGCCATCTATCGCAACTCTCTGTACTATTAATCAAGTAAAAGTAAAAAGTACAGTTCAGTAAGACTACTTATATAAGTACAATTTTCCTAAATACTCAACAAAAAGTAACTGAGTAAATGTAACTAGTTACTACCCACCTCTGTTTAAATGGTATGTTACTTGCCGCAACATGTCACCCTGTGTAACCTCCACATACTTACAGTAAGTGACAAATGGACACAGATGGTGTCTACTGTCAGGCTGTGTAATGCCATAATGGTGGTTTCAGTGTGTGTGTTTGTTGTGTCTTTACCTTGCAGAAGGAAACACCCCTGGCTAATGCTGTGTTCTGGGCAGCGAGGAAGGGAAACTTGGCTCTGCTTCAGCTGCTGCTCAACAGCGGGCGAGTGGACGCAGATTGCAGAGATAATGTACGGACGCTGCATGTCCTGGCTGCTCAGCTTCACACTTAAACCATAACCCACCTGTGGTAGGGACACAGAGAGCTCTCCAAGTGTGTGTGTGCGTGTGTGTGTTACCATGAAGTTTTTCCAGGATTTTACCATCTGCCTATGGGCTGGCGACACTGTCTTAAATGTATGTAAGGGTTTCTAACATGATTATAACCGTATTTTTCAACATGGCATCTGTTTACACTGAACTGCAAAACCACAGACATCATATACGCAAATGCCCCGAGGACCAGCGCTGTCTATTGGAGCTGCCGTAGTGGATGGGTCTCCATTCACCCCATTTATTCTGAGGAAGGTGCTTACTCAACTAAAAAAAAAAACATTTTATTATGCTTATCACAAAATCAGACACATGGCAATTCAATTCAAGTTTATTTATAAAGCGCCAAATCACGACAAGAGTCGTCTCAAGGCGCTTCACATAATAAACATTCCAATTCAGGTCAGTTCATTAAGCCAATCAGAAATAATGTTTCCTATATAAGGAACCCAGCAAATTGCATCAAGTCACTGACAAGTGTCAGTGACTATACAGCTATCCTCATACTAAGCAAGCATAAAGCAACAGTGGAGAGGAAAACTCCCTTTTAACAGGAAGAAACCTCCAGAGAATCCTCGCTCAGTATAAGCAGCCATCCTCCATGACTCACTGGGGATGGAGAAAACAGAGCACACACACACACACACACACACACACACACGCGCGCGCGCGCACGCACGCACGCACACACGCACACACGATATATACCAAGTATTCCAACCTAGGCTGGACAAAAATGGGTATAGTTGCCCACTCAGTGTTGACTCCAGTTGGGTTTAGAGTGAGGAACCCATCCAAAATGGCGGCAATGCTGTTATGCTCTCCAGCACCCAACAGGGGCGTCTGCATATTCATGTGCACAACACAACACTACCTGCTGTACCTTTTCTATCCAGTAGGGGACACTACAGGAAAATAAATTCAGCTGCAGAAATGGCAGCAAAAGAAGAGTTTACACAGAATAATGTTTTTTTTTTTTTTTTTTTTGTTTTTTATGTCACAATTCAAAGTTTACAAAAAGGCCTAAACAACTGGGATAAAACACATGTTGGACAAATGTAAACATGAGAAAACAATTGTAATAAGATCAAATGAACCAATAGAAAACTGTGGGGGACGCTCCAGGAGTATGGGGTGGGTGGCTTTCTGTTAAGGGCCATTCAGTCCCTTTACCAGAGGAGCGTGAGTTTGGTCCGCACGGCCGGTAGTAAGTCGGACCTGTTCCCAGTGAGGGTTGGACTCCACCAGGGCTGCCCTTTGACACCGGTTCTGTTCATTACCTTTATGGACAGAATTTCTAGATGCAGCCGTGGTGTGGAGTGTGTCGAGTTTGGTGGCAGGAGAATCTCGTCTCTGCTTTTTGCGGATGATGTGGTCCTCCTAGCTTCATCCAGCTCTGACCTTCAGCTCTTGCTGGGTAGGTTCGCGGCCGAATGTGAAGCGGCTGGGATGAGGATCAGCACCTCCAAATCTGAGACCATGGTTCTCGACCGGAAAAGGGTGGCTTGCCAACTCCGGGTCGGGGGAGAGGTCCTACCTCAAGTGGAGGAGTTTAAGTATCTTGGGGTCTTGTTCACGAGTGAGCGTAGGAGGGATCGGGAGATCGACAGGCGGATTGGTTCGGCGTCTGCAGTGATGCAGGAGGTGAAGAGGGAGCTGAGCCAGAAAGCCAGGCTCTCGATTTACCGGTCGATCTACGTCCCAATCCTCACCTATGGTCATGAGCTTTGGGTAATGACCGAAAGAACGAGATCGCGGATACAAGCGGCCGAAATGAGTTTCCTCCGTAGGGTGGCCGGGCTCAGCCTTAGAGATAGGGTGAGGAGCTCGGACATTCGGGAGGGACTCGGAGTAGAACCGCTGCTCCTCCGGATCGAAAGGAGCCAGTTGAGGTGGTTTGGGCATCTGGTCAGGATGCCTCCTGGACGCCTCCCTGGGGAGGTGTTTCGGGCATGTCCTGCCGGCAGGAGGCCCCCGGGTCGACCCAGGACACGTTGGAGAGGTTACATCTCCAATCTGGTCCGGGAACGCCTTGGGGTCCTGCCGGAGGAGCTGGTGGAGGTGGCCGGGGAGAGGACGGTCTGGAGCTCCCTAGTTGGGATGCTGCACCCCGCGACCCGGACCCGGATAAGCGGAGGAAGATGATGATGACAACAATAGAACCACCAAACAATTACATAAAAATACTATTTAAAGGAGGTTTCTGTAGTTTGAATTCTTCCACTGTAAAGCTTCATAGGTGTTTTCAGTAAGAACTGCACAGAAAAATACAGACAGCTCTGTGTTAAAGTGACATGGTTGAGTCTCCAGGTGTCTGGTTTTATGTCTAAATACATTTCCAAGTAGAACGAATATGTTGAATGCTAAATTATGATTCCTGATCACTCCATACATGATATCCTCCGTGCAAGACAACAAAAATGAGTTTCTTTGGCTTTGGGAGGAATTGGATAGGTGAAGAATTCAACCCTTTTTTTCTCGGCTTATAGGCTTTTTGAGTCTTGCCTTGCTGGGATGGAATAAGTGCATTTTGCAAAGACTTTACAGAGAGTGATGTTACCCAGAAGCTTCGTACATGAACAAAACTCTAATTTCCTCTTATTTGTGAATGTAGATCAGATTTGCTGCAGCGCTATAAAAGGTGGCAGCAAAAGTAATACTGATGTAATATTAGAAACCCTGATTATTGTATTACCCTTCAGCGTGTGATACAGATATCGACACATTACAGAAAATAATAGACAAGAGTGACAGTGTCACAAAGCTTGAGGTGCACCAAAGGAATCAGGCTAATGATCAAAATCAGACAATACTCATGTCACGTTATGAGGATGGTTTGGACCCAAAAATGCAGATACCCAGGATGACACGAGACAGGAGTTGATATGTAAAGTAAAAATCCTTTTATTGGAGGAAGAACAAAAATAAATCCAAATGGCAGCGAGCCAAAAGTCCAAAAGTCCGGAAGAACAAAAGCTCACTTAGAGCACAGAACTGGGACGAGGCACAAAGCTCACACAGAGCATCAGAAAACGCTGACATACAAACAACAATGGACCGACAAGCCACTGAGACAAGGCAGGGCTTAAATACACTGGGGCATAATGGGAGGATGATGAGCTGCAGGTGTGAGGGGGGAGAACCAGGTGAAAGTAATAACTAATCAGGGAGGAGGAGCAGGAGAGGGCACCAGACCCAACTGGGAAGGACACACACACACACACACCTAGCTGGAGGAGGACATAAACACACACACACACATACACTCACACACATACACTGAGCTGGGGACAAGAGGCTGGAGCTGACCTGGGAGGAATGATTTAAAAGGGTAACAACATAAGACACTTAACTGAGATGCAGACTAAGGACACATGAGGGCGCTATGAGACACAGAAGAGAATCTAGAGAGGGATGGAGAGACATCAGGAGACACATGAAGGAAGACGCAGACACAGACCATGATAACTCAGCATGATTGGCTTAATGGGTCATCGGCCTTTCCAACACTTAAGACCATTCCTAAGGGCTAATTTATGCCAGAAGCAACAGAGCTACAGTGTGTGAGTTTCCTACGTGTGTTAACAATTCATCTTGGTGATTATATTTATTTTTGATAAAATGGAATCAGCAGATCAGAGAAGTACAAATAATAAAAGTCAGTACTCCAAGTGTAGGCCAGTAGCTACAAGCATCAATGCAATAACAAGTTATTTATGTGTCTCCTTGTTTCGAGGTCATTAAATGCCTCATTTTGATGCTTCCATAACCTGTTGGACCTAACTTTAGGTGTTTGGTGTTGTTTTATTCATTTATTGTAATTTAACTTTCTTTTTGTCCATTTTCCAACTTTACAAGGTTGATTAATGATTTGTTGCTATTTTGAATCTCTCTGTAAACAATAATAACTTTATGGCATGTTAGTTATTTTCTGACAGGTTCACTTTGTCACCATTTTGTTTTTTTAATCCTTTGATGTTAGTTTTGTGTCCCATCGCACCTTTTTGTTTCTTTATAAAAGCTTTTTCTGGAAACAACATATTTTTTATTAGATCTGTTTTTCCCTCTTTATGCTGAAATAGACACAATCTCAGATTCACATATATACTATTCACTATGGAGATTCGTTGAATAAGTGCATGGATCTAACCATTTTCACCATTTTTTTAATAAATAATGCCAGAGACAGAAAGAATGCTGTGTTACTATTTACATGTTTGTTTTTTGCAGTTTGGAACAACAGCACTAATGGTGGCGTCCTATAGCGGCTATTATGACTGTGTCAAAGAACTCATCATGCAAGGAGCCGACATTAACTACCAGAGAGAGGTAAAAGGCATTCTTCACTTCCTGCTAACGGCTTTGAGTCACAAGTACTGTGTAACATCATTTAACCTCTTAGCTTTTTCTTGTTCTTTGTTGATTAGTTGCAGCAAGTCAGGTTCTTCATTTTCCAGCTCCTGGTCTGAACTATAAATAGATATAAGAGACACATATATAAGCTGCTGTTATTCTGCAGGCGTTCCTTTAAACACGGCAGCCAATAGCTCCAAACCTAACATGTCTACAAGGTCCTCTATATGTAAAGACGTGAAAAAGCATAAAAGATGCACACAAATGCAAGTATCATTTTAAACTGAATGACAATATATTTAAACAGTATTAGTAGAGTTATTTTTGAATTTCGAACTGACTGACTTCCTTTTACTGACGTGTAAACATAAGAGTCCGTGTTCTGCATGAGGAGAAACCGCTGTATCTATTTTTATCAGACAGGTTCTACAGCTTTGTTCTTCGCCTCCCAGCAGGCACACTGTGACGTTGTGAAGCTTCTTTTTGAGTTTGGAGCCTCCACTGAATTCCAGACAAAGGTAACGTAGAGATTAGATTCTGGTGTGTGATTTATGAAGGACGCTATCGCCGCAGCCTTCACAACGCAACAGCGAGGTGGTCTCATATTCTCGGCAGCTGATAATAATTAATATTCTTTTGTTTCCTGACAGGACGGTGGCACGCCTCTGACTGTTGCATGCCAGTATGGTCACTCCAAGGTGGTGGACACGCTGCTGAAGAATGGAGCCAATGTTCATGACCAGCTGAACGTGAGAGCCTTTGCTCACATGCAGCAGGAATCCGGCCTCTCGGGTTCCTGCAGACTGCTGAGTCAGGCGTGAATCACCTTGGGCAGGATTAGTGTGTGCCTGAGAAAACAACCTGATTATACAGAAGTGTAGTCATAAAAAATACTAACATGTTATGAGTATATTACCCCCAGTTATGTCAGAAGGGTTAGAAAAGCATTTATTCAGTTATTTGTTTGTTTGTTTGTTTGTTCAGGATGGTGCTACATCTCTTTTCCTTGCTGCCCAGGAGGGTCATGTGACTGTGATTCGTCAGCTGCTGTCATCTGGTGCTAAGGTTAACCAGGCTAGAGAGGTAATCACAGATTGTTTTGTGTTATTATTTAATACTGGAGGTCTACAACCCCCCAAGGTGCTTTACAACACAGTCATTCACTCACACACACACTCACACGCTAAAGGTGATGAGCTACACTCACAGAAGCGAGGCTGCCAAGCTCCACCGGCCTCTCCGACCACCACCAGCAGGTGAGGTGGGTGAAGTGTTGCCCAAGGACACAATGACTGCAATAGGCCAGGCTCAAACCTGCAACCCTTCTTTGCCACCGACGCCTCGTTATTGAGCATGTTTTCTCACTTTTACAGTTCTATCAACGCATGTTCAGGTAAAACTGGCCCGTCGATGCTCGAACCGTTTTCTCCAACAATCTGTCGTGCTTTGCTCCAAAATCCACCGTACGTTGTTGCTGTGGGACACGTGCTCAGATTGCTTCCATGTGTTTTACAAACTGTTGCCAGACATTCTGACTTTCTGCACAAAATGTTTCCATCCACCAGAGAAAGCGGTTCCACTGAAGTGAGCAGTGGGGGGAACCAAGTGTCCTGGCATCACAGCAGCAGCAGACGCTACAGCAAGGCTGACGGAAGATAATTCACCTTCACAAAATGCAAAAAAATAAGCCCAGAAACACAAGAAATCACAACTGTATGCTTTCGAACAATTAAGTGAGTTAATTGTGCGCCTTTTTTCTATATGTTTTGTTTTTATTGCTGGATTACCTCAAGCTTTGATGAATTAACAGCTGAGACTCATTCATAACAACACACACAACACATCTTATGATTTTGTGCAGGAACACACATTTCTAACAGTTATAACCTAGAGCAGCAGTAGGTCAGGAGGCAGAGCGGATTGTCCAGTAATCAGAAGGTTGTGGGTTCGATTCCTACTCCGAGCAGAGAATGCTGCTGTTGTGTTCTTGGGCAAGACCGCCTTGCCTGCTGGTGTTGGTCAGAGGGACCGGTGGCACCAGTGTTCGGCAGGTCAGTGCGCCCCAGGGCAGCTGTGGCTACATCATAGCTCTTCCCCACCAGCGTGTGAATGGATTAATGACTGACTGTGTGATGAAGCACCTCGGGGGATTGTAGAACCCTAAGAAGGAGGTATACGAATACACGCCATCTACCATAACCTCATTCTTTCTCCTCATAGGAGTTTAAATGTCTGAAGTGAAATCCAGCAGCAGTATGCATCTCTTCAAAGAATGTTACTTCTGTGTGTGTGTGTGTGTGTGTGTGTGTGTGTGTGTGTGTGTGTGATAAAGAAAAGCTCCTGCATAGACTCATAACTTTCTAGACCTAAAAGTGCTGAGTCAGTGTGAGTGTGGTGGAAAATGCTTTTAGCTGCCAGAAAAACTAGAAAACTATAAATTGAGCCAATTTATCAAAGAGGCAACATCAGCTGCACTGGCTATGAAGCCGTTCCTTATTGATCTGTTGTTGTTGTTTTATCTTTTTTTTCTTCGAACTCTTCTGAATTCTCCAGGATGGCACTACGCCGTTATGGATGGCAGCTCAGATGGGTCATAGTGAAGCGGTGAAGGTACTACTCTTACGTGGAGCAGATCGAGATGCTGACAGATAAGTACATGAAACTGTTTGGACTCATAAAGGACAGGAAAATGTACGTAATAGCTTCATTTTATGGACTGATCCTATGTGGTTAACTTTAACACGTTTCAGTCAGCTCTGATCATGGCTGCCACTTAAGCACTTGCTAGGTCACTTAAGCCCGTTATAAAGGAACAGGCCCTCTCTGCCTCTGGAACACAGAAGCTTCAGTTGCACATCAGACCTGTGAGGCTGACATCTTCATGAATAGTGCTGTGGAAAAGTTTTTGCCCCTCTAGTTTGTACTTTTTCTGTCACAACTTGAACAATGAAAAGTGAGAGATAAAGTTGTTTGAAGGATGTTTTCGTGTTGTTTTCTCTCTTCTAAGGATGGATCAACAGCATTATTCAAAGCAGCTTTGAAAGGACACAACGGTGTCATAGAGGAACTCCTTAAATTTTCTCCTTCTCTTGGCCTTCTCAAGGTAACACGCGGCATCTGTTGTGTCAAGGGCTCTTAAGAAATGTTTAACTCTCGTATATAATAAAAACCCGTCTCCAGAATGGCTCCACTGCCCTTCATGCTGCTGTCATGAGTGGAAATCTTCAGACAGTTCTGCTGCTTCTTGGGGCTAACTCAGACCCCACTCTACCCAGCAAAGTAAGAACACTTGGCTTTATTAATACCGCAAAGGAATCACCTGAACTCATGAGACATTTTGCTCTGTGTTCTGCAGAATAATCAACTCCCTGCTGATCTCACAAAGAGCGATCGCATTCTGAAGGTTTTACGTCAGAAAACTGTGGCCAGAGAGAGTTGATGACAGCCCCGACTCTCCTCCATCACTGATGATGTGTAATGAGGGGAAATGAAAACAATAAACAGTGTCAAAAGAACTCCTCTGCCACACGGACTCTATGTGTTGCTTTATTTTATTATTTATTTTGGCTGAAATTAAGATGACACACCTGTAATAAATATAGAGGAACACAAAATGGTTTCTGTGATGCTGTTTACCTCTGGTGTTATTGACAGATATTTTTGCTCTCGTTTTTTGCTTTTTTAAATAAATAATGAATATTGGAGAATCGGAGTTCAGATTTGTAATTGTAAAATCATGGTAACGCTAAATAAACTGGCGTTACATCACATAGAAACTGTGTTATGGTGGATTTTCACTAGAGGTCGGTGTAACGTGTAACTACACCTGAAACTCGCCTGGGCTGTCTTTTTGTTTACTTCATTTAAAAATGTTGGCTAAATTAACATGAAATAAACAAAAACCTGTTAAATACCCAGTCATTAAAGTACCAAATAAATCTTTCATTCTCAGAGCTGACGGTAGTAGCGATGGCTGCGTCGTGTCACGTGACCACCGCACGTTCGGATTTAGATGCGGAAGTAAAGTCAAACCTGAGAATGTTCAGCAGGGCTGAGCAGTTTCTGAGTGTTTTAGGATGAAAGGTCACCAAATATGAAACTTGTGTAGATAATAACACGTCAGACAGTAAAGTCAAGCAGATATAGTGGAAAGTGGATTTAAACCGACGTGACGACAGATAAATGGCGAGCAGTAATTTACAGGTAAGACTTGGTTACCGAAGGCTGGACTATAATAATGTCTTCAGAATGGATCATTTTGGGACAAAGTGACTGTAACGTTTTATTAAACCCCGGATTAAAGGATCCATCCGGAAATTTGTCAATATTTGTTGTTGTAATTAGTTTTTGGTTAACTAATTATAAATGTTCTTTACAAAATGAAAGTTTTACCTACCTTGTGAAAGTGTTAAAGTAATTCTAATGTTCTCAACTTTAATCTATGTTGATTTAAGGGTTATTTTTTACGAACGCTTGTTATTAATCACCAGATGACTGATTAGGATTGTCAATAAGTAAACACGGAAATGGGATTGTGCAAGTGTTCACAACTCTTCTGTCTGATTTAATTAACCAAATAAAATTGGTTTCTATGTCAAACTCGGATTTTTTTTACCCCGTCCTTATTCAGTTCAAGTTTATTTATAAAGCACCAAATCACGACAAGACTTGTCTCAAGGACCTTCTCATAGTAAACATCCCCATACAGATCAGTTCACTCAGAAAGTTTCCTATATAAGGAGCCCGTCTTATCTCCGCTGTGTGCATTTAGACCTGTTTTTATTGTTGTAGTCATCGTTTTTGGTGTGTTCAACACACACTTTACTTTTTGTTTTACTCTTTTTTTATCTATAATACAGTTAAACACGACCTGGATTGTCTAATCACATTAGATGTCTAATGAAGGTGGCTCATTTGGACCTGACTGACTGTTTGTTCTCCAACATTCTTCATATTGATTTTTTTCTTTTGTATTTTTCCCACAGAAAGCCATAGATCTGGCCAGCAAAGCATCAGAGGAAGACAAAGCTAAAAACTACGAAGAGGCTCTCAAATGTTACCAGCATGCTATCCAGTACTTCCTACATGTTATCAAATGTGAGGAATCTGGTCACACCTGAGTTTTATGTCGTGTTTGATTTGATGGTGGGACTGTTGTTGTTGTTGTTGTTGTTGCAGATGAGGCTCAGGGGGAACGAGCAAAGCAGAGCATCAGGGCCAAATGTGCCGACTACCTGAACAGAGCCGAGCAGCTTAAGGAATACCTGAGGAATAAGAAGAGTCCTCCAGCCAGACCAGTTGGAGAGTCTGCTGATAAAGGGTGAGAGGGCAAAGTCAATTTAATAGTGCAGTAAATCACTTAAATTGTTTTATATGAACTTGTTTGAGGTTTTCCCCAGTGATCACAGATGTTAGTAGTAAAGTCCAGTGGAATGAAAATAAAATGACTGATTTTGTTGCATTTTAGGGGTGAAAGTGATGAAGAGGAAGACCAAGAAAAGAAGAAGTTCAAAAATCAGCTCTCAGGTGAACAGAGTTGCTGCAGGATTTACAAACATGTCCTAAAACAGTTTACTAGCTGCAGATTCAACGCATCTCTACTTCAGGTGCCATCGTTATGGAGAAGCCCAACGTGAAGTGGAACGACGTCGCTGGACTTGAGGGAGCCAAGGAAGCGTTAAAAGAAGCTGTTATCCTGCCCATCAAATTCCCCCAGCTGTTTACTGGTACTGAAATCAGCTCGCCAGTCCTGCAGCTGATGGGAGTGGTGTGAATATGTGGACTTTCTGAAAACTAAACACCATATTTGTGTAGGAAAGCGCACTCCCTGGAGGGGGATTCTCCTCTTTGGCCCTCCTGGAACAGGAAAGTCCTACCTGGCCAAAGCGGTGGCGACAGAAGCAAACAACTCCACCTTCTTCTCCGTCTCCTCCTCTGATCTGGTGTCCAAGTGGCTGGGGGAGAGTGAAAAGTGAGGTTCAAGTGTTTTTATTTATTTTTATTACAAAATGACTAAACCAGGGATAGGAAAAACTTAATGAAAACAAACAGAAGTCTCCTAGTCTGAAGTGTCTTCACTTCTCTCTGTCTCCAGACTGGTAAAGAATCTGTTTGCTTTAGCCCGAGAACACAAACCATCCATCATCTTCATCGATGAGATCGACTCCCTCTGTGGCTCCAGGAGTGAAAACGAGAGTGAAGCAGCTCGCAGAATAAAGACAGAGTTCCTGGTCCAGATGCAGGGTGAGCGACACGAGCGGTTCTTCTGGGATAGAAGTAAAAAATCGGTCTGCTCCTTGGTCATCGGTCAGGAGGATGACACTGTTGTGTAATTAATGAATCCTCTCAGGTGTTGGAAATGACAATGAGGGAATCCTTGTTCTGGGTGCCACCAATATTCCCTGGACACTAGACTCTGCCATCAGGAGAAGGTTAGGACTGTTTTTTGTCGCAGCTGCAGATAACCATCAGGATCTGCGAGGTTTGATCTCTCACCGTGGCTCACTGACCCTTTTGTTTGTGTGTCAGGTTTGAAAAGCGAATTTACATTCCTCTGCCGGAGGACCACGCCCGCTCCTCCATGTTCAAGCTGCACCTGGGCTCCACCCCCAACAGCCTGACGGAGGGGGACTTCATCAGTCTGGGCAAGAAGACAGACGGGTATTCTGGAGCAGACATCAGCATAATCGTCAGAGACGCCCTCATGCAGCCGGTCAGGAGGGTTCAGTCAGCAACTCACTTCAAGAAGGTGAACGCGCCGTCGCACCTGTTCTAGTTTTAACAGCAGGAGCAAACCTCTGTGGTTTAAGCTGGGAAATGTGAAGAAGGAAAGCTGTTAATGCTAGACTCCCGGGGCTTCATGTGCCGCATTTGAGCTGATTATCAAATCAGACATTTTCATGGTTACTTTTATCATCTGCTCCATCCGGGTTTTTCCTCTCATATCTTTGAGCTGAACAGTCACCTGTTTTTGTTTAGATTACACTTCCTGTTTGAAGAAAAACAACAGTCCTTCACATCAGGAATAATTCCTGGTGACCTATTTTATTTTTGTGCTCTTCTTCCATGATGACCATTAAAGGCTCAGGGATTACCACCATTCAGCGACTCGGGGGTCATGGTTAACGATCTGCTGACGCCTTGCTCGCCTGGAGATCCCAATGCCATAGAGATGACGTGGATGGACGTTCCTGGGGATAAGCTCCTAGAGCCCGTTGTCTCCATGGTAATAATGATGGAGTGACTTATTGATGAGTCGTGATACGGATCTGTTCTGACCTCCCTGGTGGTTTATCTGTGCAGGCGGACATGCTGCGGTCTCTGAGCAACACCAAGCCCACGGTCAATGAGCACGACTTGGAAAAGCTCAAGAAGTTTACGGAGGATTTTGGCCAAGAAGGCTAAAAATCGCAACAATCCACCCAGAAACTGGACTGCAGTCATTTCCACCGTTTATCTTTTTGCTTCACTGAAGTTTGTTTACATGTATATTAATAATCTCTCTGGCACTGTCACCAAATACGAGGCGGATAGTTCTGCCCCGGAGAAACCTGGTTTCATGGTTTTATTCCAATTTATGAATTCTTGCTCTTTTTTTAAACATAATAAACTGTTTTCTTAATTTATTTCACTGCACAAGATTATTTCCAAGCTTTAGTGTTTTTGATGTTACTGAAAATAGTTTAAACCATTTCTAAATTCAGTTTTGTATAATGCCTGTACACATTTATTATGTAGCGTGAGTTGATCCAGCTTTAAAACCAGATGTACAATTACACAATATGAGCAGTCGGTGCCTTTTGGGTTTAAATATCCGGACACTTGTAGATGTTACAGCAGCAGAGTTTGAGGTCATTTCTTGTATCTTATGTTCTGTGAACAAATCTCAGGGCTAAATAAAGCAAAATGATGCAAAAAGAAATGCTTTTTTGGCTTTGTGAATATATTTATTTGTTAAAATACATCTTAGTTAACATTTGTCTTTATTACATAGTAAACCTTAATTTAATGCGTAAATATTTTATTTCACATCTTTAAATAGTCTTAAAAGGTTTAGGAAAAAACTACTATTTGTTTGTAAAACTACAATCTGCTTCTATTTCCGAGGCTGATGGTGAGAATAAACAATATGTGGAGAAAAGTCTGTTTTAAATTAAAGAAAAATATTCAAGAGCTTTAAATAATAACCCAATTTAACGGAAATGTCTTCATACTGTAGGTCTGCTTAAATAACTAAACAAAAGAGCTACTCAACAGCTGCCAATGAATAAAGTAAAATGCATGAAAATGTAAAATTGTAGAAGTGATGTCCCTTCATAATTAATGCAAACGTTACCTTGTACATAATGAATTATGAAGAAAATTAAGATTTAAGTCTAAAAATGCCACAATGAACGTAAATGTTGCTTTGAGCGTGCACAATCACACATCACTCACCTCAACCTAGAAACAAACGAGTTTCTGCAGGATTTAACTGAAAGTTCAAAGAAAACAAAAGATGCAGCAGAAAGAAAAACAAAACAATGAAGTCTTAAATAGAAGGTTTAGGATTCCAAATACAAAAGACGAACCACGCTTCATGAAACTGAAACAGAGAGGACCTTAATTGCACACAAACTGATTATTTTCCTTACTGATATTTAGGTCTCCCATGTGCGTTTTTTTTTTCAATTTATTAATAATAAAACAAAATATAGGAAGAACACTAAAATAGTTTTAAAGGAAAGTCCTAAAAGTATTCACTATAGTAGTTGACGGCTTCTCACGATCATGTTTCACAGACGTGACCCGACAGAAATCAACGTGACTGCACTGAGGAGGCCTTTACAGTAAGGTGTATGGATAATAAATATGTATGTCAGTTCAGGAAGCTGATGACTCTTCACCAGTTGGGATCCTAGAAGACCGAGAAGAGAGAACCGAGAGCCAAACCCGTCGCTGCTCCAGCAAGCATGCCCAGAGCCATATCTCCTCCGTTGTCACGGTGACGCTCCTGAATAATAACGTGGTTCACTCCAGGAGTACCATATCCACCTAGAAGACAACAAGTTCATGAAATACTTCCAGTTTTCCTACTTCAAAATCAGAGGTTTGCACCCCGTGGCTCTTCAGACCTTCCACAATAGATCTATTAATAACTTTAGCTAGAAAAGGTGAAAAACTAAACGTTAAATATAAATAAAAATTAAGCTGATTTAAGCAGTGGACTTGAATTCCCTCTTTATGACACTTAAAGTACAGAAAAGTACTATTAATTTTTCTTTTACACCATTTTCTGCAAATATCAACATCCCATAGGATAAAAATTATATCCATATATTTATTTTGGAAAACTTTCTTTCCCCCATTTTAAAACTCAATAACAGAAACAAAATGATGACTTTTCAAATATGACAACTAATACCTTTTCAGTGGCTTAGTGGTAGAGCGTCCGTCCTGGGACGGGGAGATCGGGGTTAAAACCAAAGTCTTTAAAAATGGGACCAAATGCCTCCCTGCTTGACATGCAGCTTTAAGCGGTTGGATTGGGGGGTTAAACCACCAGATAGTTCCTGAGCACAGCCACAACTGCAGCTCACCACTCCCCACGGGGATGGGTCAGAGGAAGAGGTAACATCACCAGTCTCTGATGATGATTAATAAAGTAGATATTTAAGTAAAAGGAAAAAAAGGTTTTAGACTTTTATCTCAGGAAAAAAGTGAGAATACTGATTTTAACCTCTGAATCCTGACTTCTCTTCGAATTATCACATTATTCCCAGAATTGGAAGAAAAAAAGATTTCAGTGGCCCTAATCCTAGATATTAATCAAAAATGATAAATGTTCTTGTTTTTCAAAAGGTCCTGCAACAAATACGACTCTAAACAAGTTTTATTCTGGTGAACTGAGGGGAAAAATAGCCATTTGTAAAAGTTGCTGACCCCTGTTTCAGTCACATGGGGCGACGGTGGCACAGGAGTTAAGAGCTCGCCCCGCAATCAGAAGGTTGCAGGTTCGAGCCCCGCTCAGTCTGTCGCTGTCGTTGTGTCCTTGGGCAAGACACTTAACCCACGTTGCCTGCTGGTGGTGGTCGGAGGGACCGGTGGCGCCAGTGCTCGGCAGCCTCGCCTCTGTCAGTGCGTCCCAGGGCAGCTGTGGCTACATTGTAGCTCATCCCCACCAGCGTGTGAATGTGTGTGTGAATGGGTGAATGACTGATTGTGTTGTAAAGCGCCTTGGGGGGTTCCAGGACTCTAGAAGGCGCTATATCAAATACAGGCCATTTTTACCATTTACATGCTTACAACATGTGCCGTTACTCACCTTGGTACTGGTACGGATATGCAACAGCATAGGCTTGGCCATCTGCAGAGTAAACCATCTGTGTAGGACGAGGAGGTGGAGCACTGTAGTCTCCATATGGGCCTGGAGCATAAACCTGGGAAAAAGAAAGAAATATATCGTTACACATTCACGAATACTTGTTAGAAATGCATTTGGGTACTCCATTAACTACACCAGCAGGTGGCAGCAAACTCCGTCTTTCAACTAATAGGTTTCCTGTTTTTTTTTTAAATAATTCTCTTTTCAAAATGATGAATTATGACATAATAGATATTTGTTGTATTTTCCCATCATATTTACAAACAGTTGTACCTGTGGGTGAGTATATTCGGAGTAGGGGGGAGGAGCAGATGCAATCACTTCTGCAAAACCAATCTGAGGAGTAGCAACCACCTACATGATCAACAAATTAAATGAGACTTCTACAAGCGACCAATAACAAAAAAAAAAGAGTTCAATTGCTTCTGAACAAATGAAAGCAGAGAATGATCGGCTCCCTGATGGAGACATTACAAAACACGTCTTCAGCTTAAAGCTTAATGTTTTAAACTTGTAGTAACTCAAATGCTTTTTAAAGTTTTAGCTCAGGAATTTAACCAAACAAAACAAATACAGAACCCCACAGATGCAGCAAAACCTCACCGTATTAATCCTGGCATCCTGCAGTGCCATGGTCCATGCACTGCAACAAAAAATGTTTGAGAATATAAATTATGTTTTTCTCAGAATGTAAACATATTTCATTTCTGTGCATCCACTTTTATCAGCAAAGAAGTTAAAATAAATAAATAAATAAATGTGCTTACAGGGCATCATCTGCACTGTCTGCACACAGGCTGATGACACGTCCATCTCTGCACACTATCTGGAACAATGCATCACGTATCTTTCCCTCTGGTGGGTTCAGTTCTGGGAGGAAGGACAAAAGTTGAGAAGGATTTTTTTTAAACAAAAAAAGTGTATAACATTCTGCAAGTGTGATTTTTACGCAAAAATGTGTGGAAAGAAAACAAACCCTGGCATGCTCCAGAGTTGCGGATGTTGATGCAGTGGACTCTCATGTGAATGTCATCCTCCATGTCGCGCCGTTGTTGATCATTGTAGAAGACGAGCCGGCCATCAGCCCACAAATCAAACCAGTTTCTTTTCCACCGGCGTAATATGGTACCTAAAAGTTAAATATAACACTTGTTTGACAAGATTTCTTGATGTAGACCTTTTTTTTCCACTGAGGGACAGTTGAATACACAGAAACACAATTACTCACTTTGTCTATGAAGCCAGCCACTCTTTACCATAGCCATCTGCAACCCCTAAACAACGTGAGTCAGTTAGAGCTGGAGATGATGACTGGGTGTGGTGCATCTAAAACAAACCTCATGACTGCTAACATAACTGACCAGTCTCCTTCAGAAGAAAACAGCCTCACGTGGAGGGCAAATTAAAGTCTTTTAGAAAGTGATCACTATTAGCAGACTTAGCTCAAATGAGTTTGATCTGCTAGCACAAGAAGTTACCGTGTGACTTTAATAGAGTTCCTGTTCAGTGTTTAAAGTTCAGATGTTGTGCCATTATGTTTATTTATAGTACTGCATTTAATACAAATCATTTAATTCTAATTTACATAAACTGTATGGGTCTCAATGGCAGGTGATGAAATGGGATGAAATAAGTACACATTGTTTAAATGAAATAAACAAATAGCATTTTTTGCTAGCTAGTTTCCAGATGTTAGGTGATAGCTAGTGAACTAGCATGGCTACTTATGAGTTTAAAATGTTCACAAAGTGAGAAAACAGTACAATTCTGTCAGACAACAAGCTTATTTTGTGGTTTACATACTTACTTTTATTCCACTGTTTGTCCCAAACGGTCTTTTTCGTGATAATTAAAACGCGGAAGTGATATGCAAAAGGTCGATGCCTTACTTCGAGATGAAAAGGCCTGACCGTTAGCAAAGTGACTACAGCGTTTAGACCGGAGGGCCGTTATGTTTCAGTCAATGTTAACTCCGCCCCACCGAGCATCTTCACAAGTGGCCCGTCTCTGGAGAGGGAGGTGTGTTGTTTTGAATGACGTAACCGCTCAGCTGACAGCTGTGGAAAGTGCTAGCAAAAAAGCAGCAAGGGTGCGCTTGGTTACAGCTCACACTCACTGTGCACACACACGTGAAATATTTGCCCTTCTCTTGGCAATGCAAATATGTGTGGTTTTATTTGTTTATTGACGGTGAAAGTGTTTTTTTAAACATCAAATAATTCACCTTTAAATAAAATCGAATTTAGAAAATGGTGAGAGGTGGGGGACAAATATTGGCACAAGAACTGAGTTTTAGAATTGTTAAGAGTGTAGAAAGATATAAGTGACCAAATACGAAATTAGGCTGTTTGCCTGGGAACAAAAATGTTTAATTTTGGTCTGGGGAAATAGAAAGGCGGGAGCCAACATTTTAGCCATCGCCCGGCGGCAAACTCAGGATAGTAAAACAAACGCAACAGCGCCCCGTGAAGCCGTGACCACAGAAGCAGCAGAGTAACGCAGCAGCTAAATACATAGCCAGAAATGGCGACGGCAATTTACTTGGAGCATTATTTGGACAGTAAGTATCTGATAATGCACCGAGATCGATAATAACTTGTCAAAAATGTTTTTGTGCTTTACGTTGATTTTTATCGAATAGTTTGCTCAAAAGTAGAGACAAGTAGTTGTTACATTAGCAAACTTTAGCTTTCCAGCTAACTCGCTGTCGCAGCGAGATAAGTAGATGGGTAAAGATGAAATAAACTGTCATTGATAAACACGGTAATAAACCTCCCGTGTTTCACTTATTACTAAAATATCAACTTATTTTTTTATTTACAACAGTAATACTTTATTGATAAAGAGCATATTGTTTATCTTTGACTTATTTGAAATCACTTTCTGTCAGTTTGTATGTTTGCAGCAACCTCTTCGATGTATGCGCATCGCTTTGAAAACCGCGTTTCCCGTAACTGTTTAGACTCCAGCCGAGGCGGGGTGTTTGACGTGCTTTTCAGCTTGTGTTACTATAAATCCTCACACATCTGCAGCTGATGTTGTTACACACTATTATTCTGCCACTGAAAGTTATTTTGCTATTGCGCAAAGTAATAATAATGTTGCATTGAATACATCTCCATAAGCTTTAATTGTGTAACCATAGTTGTTTGAACTCTGACTCCAGTTATAATCACGTTATTACCGAGAGTTTGTCACAAATGAAGGAAACTAGGAATCCCGTGTGTCATTAGATCAATAAGATTCAATCTCATTCAAATGTCTTTGACGGTGAGAAGTACTTAAATTCCTTCTGGAAAAAAGAGACTTTTATGTGTTTTACATTGTATTTGTAATCTTAGTTATTCAGAAAATGCTTTTATTGATTTGTTCATTAATGTAAATTTTCTGTTTGGGAATTCTTAAAGTAATCAAAACAAGAAGTGGATGATTTGTTGATGTTCTGAGATAATTAAAAGCCTGTTTGTTATTGTAATTCATTCTATTTTTTTCACTAGGAAGGTCAGAAATGATCCATTTTGAACTTAGGATTTGCACGTTTGTTTCAATACCAAAAATATTCATTGCAACATGTCAGAATCAGCTGAGGTTTTCAGTAGGGTTGGGCATCTTTGATTTTGAATTATTCCAATTCCTTGTTTTGATTCCGGTTCCTATCGATTCCCGATTCCGATTCTTTCCAGACATGACATGCTTTACATGAGCCAGCTAACCACAGGGCCTACTTGATGGAATAATCTTAACTTCAAAATGAATTTTAACTCTATGAACAACAACATCACCCTCATTTAGACAAAAACATGTTTTGGAGACAAAAAGACTTGCAGCACAACCAGTGTGTTTGTTTCTGACCACAACCAAAGTCTGGAAGCAGCCTCTGGGATGAGAGGCTAAATGTCTCCAACATATCCAGAAACGTCCAGCTGTCTTCAGCTAAAACTCTCAGGATGATCATGTCCAGGATGACGGAGAACTACACCTCCATGCTGCAGCAGCATTCAGTCAGAACAGGAAGAGAAACTTAAACGTTGCTGCTGTCGGTAACAATCTAACAGATTTTAAACATTAAAACTCAACAGAAATAGTTCAGAAAGGAAATTAAAATGTTCACAACTTTGTGTGATTTATTATTATTATTTATTAGGGCAGCAGCTGATGTGGTTCACCACAGAGAAAGTTGCTCTAGCATGATGACTTAATAATAATAATTATTCTACAGGTTATTCACCCTTCTGACGCTCACGCTCGAGTGTTGGTGAGCGGCTGCGTCTGACTGCTGACGCTCCGTGTGTGTTTTTATTTCTGCAGTGACACAAACTCACCTCACACCGTCCAGAGTTTGTTCTTTAAAGCTTCTATTAAATCCACCGTGTTGACGTATTTAACAAGTTTCCTCTACGCTGCATTTTTCGCTGCAAGAATTCAAGTTTACATTACGGAGTAAAAGTTCGGCGGACGCGTCTGTTTGGATCTGGTCGCTGCGAGTCGGTTGGGGGGAGGGGGACTCGGTGCTGCACACAGACAGCTGGTGTGATCAGCTCTGGAAAGCGTTGATCACAATTTGCAGATTACGTTTATCTTTCACGGAGATCGTCCGTGGATTCTCGATGCGCGATGCCCAACCGTAGTTTCCAGTGATATCTGAACTCTACTTCCTATGTTAATTAGCTGTAAATGAACTTGGGTATGTTCAACAAAAGTAATAAATGTCTTTCCTGGGTAATCATCTCTCTAGGTATTGAAAACCTGCCCTGTGAGCTGCAGAGGAACTTTACTTTGATGCGAGACCTGGACAATAGAACTGAAGGTGCTGTTTTTACATTTATATTTCATCATCCAAAAGGTATAAGAAGTTAAACATTCACGTTTGTGGCAGTGTGCATATTGTGTTTGCAAGAAGTTGTCATCTATGAGATAATATATGTATAATCTGAAGTGACAGAATAGTTGTTGGTGTTAAAAATGTTCCCCCATTGAAAATCAGCAGCTGTTATTTGCGTAAAGCAGAAGTACAGTACGGGGGAATCTCTGGTCCTAACATATATTTTTCTGCTGTGTAGAAAAGAAAGCAGAGATTGACAAGCTGGCTGAAGAATACGTGGCGAATGTGAAGAACTTGGCTTCGCAGCAGAGAGTGGAACATCTACAAAAGATTCAAAATGCCTACAGCAAGTGCAAAGAGTTCAGCGACGATAAAGTCCAGCTTGCAATGCAGACGTATGAAATGGTCGGTGTGGAAAAAGACTCGCAGATTTTCTTTCTTCCTGTTTTAATGGCTTGTTAAGAGTTTTCCTCATGTTGCCGAATACGTTTTAGGAAAAGGTGTGATTCATGTAGCTGAATGTTAAAAAAGGTCCGTTTTCCTCTCAGGTGGACAAACATATTCGGCGGTTAGATGCAGATCTGGCTCGGTTTGAGAACGAGCTCAAGGAGAAACTGGAGTTGAGTGGATATGAGAGCACAGATGGAAGAGGGCTGAAAAGTAAGTTGGTATACTGAGATGCTACTGGTAAAGATTTGATGTTAGACATGCGTGTTGGTGTATTTGGTGCAGAAAGCGATTTGCGCGTACAGAGAGATAAACGTGGATCCAGGGGACGGGGGCGGAAAGGTTCTGATGAAGACTCTCCCAGAAAGAAAAAGATAAAGAACAGGTAGATTTGGCCTTGCAGATACGTAAAACCCAGAATGCATTTCTTTACCCTTTATTAATTTTCTGTAATGTGTCTGAATTTCAGTCCAGACTTGACTGAAGCTCTCCTGCCAATGCAACCGTCTGACGTTTTGGACATGCCTGTTGATCCCAATGAGCCGACATACTGCTTGTGCCATCAGGTGTCATACGGAGAGATGATTGGCTGTGATAACCCTGATGTAAGCCTTTTCTTTTGCAGACATGTTTCTCCTCAGATTTAAGTGGATATTGTCATCCTCACGTTTTTTTCTTTTTCACTTTTAGTGTCCAATCGAGTGGTTTCACTTTGCCTGTGTGGACCTAGCCACAAAACCAAAAGGGAAATGGTGAGACCATTAGTCGGATCAGGTGTTCCTTTAATGGTCCAAAAATGACCTGTTTAATGTTTCTTTTTCTCCTTTTCTTTTCACCTGGCAGGTTTTGTCCAAGATGCACTCAGGAGAAGAAGAAGAAATGAGATTTTCAGTCGGACATCCGTTATACGAGGATCTTTGTTGACGTCTTTTTTCATCTTTGTGCGCATGCGCGAGTGGTTGTGTGGCAAGATTACGCGCAATATCAATACACGACATACACTTCCATGAGAGTTTGCGGGTGAAATCCTCGATATATAAACACTTAAAATCTGTACTGAAGGCTAAATTAAAGTTATTTAAAGAGCAAGTCACCCCCCACCAGTCTTATTCCACTTCTTGTTTGAAAAATACAACGAACGCTGTTGCCTGGCAGACCGAGAGGGTGGAGCCCCTAACAAATACACACACAGGCTCACAACACCATTGTGACATCATAATGTACCAGCTAATACCTCTAAGCCAATAGCAATGGCAGATTTAAATTCAAATGCAGTGCAGAGTTTTGACCTGATGTCGGCGCAACACTGACAGTTTTATGCAGATTATTTGAATTTTAACTAAGATGCACTAAAGTCCCAAATTATTGACTACACTTGTCTACAGCATGAGTACACTCATTTATGTAGTTTATCAGCAAAAAAAAAAGTTGATTTACGGGGTGACTTCCTCTTTAAAGCCTGTATGAGCTCTGGGATGATGAAAAACGTTAGGTGGCTGTTCTACAAATCTGCTGGTGAGATATTTATTCCTATTTATTAGAAAGCCCTGGGCCCTTTATGAAAAATTAAAGGCTTTCAAACGTTTGGAGGCCTACGATTTTTTTTATTTCAAGGAAAGTTGGGCCGTTCTCTTCAGCGGTGGTTGTGCTAAAGCAAGAGTCCGCTCTGACAAGCAGTGATTCACATCACCTGTTGTCAGAGAAAACCGATAAATTCTCACTGCGACTGCAAAGCCGGTAAGCCTTCATTTAATCAGTGTCCTTATTTATTATAATGATTGTGTGTTGAGACACCTGAATCAGAACATGAAAACAACATGATGCCGTGGATTTAAAAATACACAAAGATGATTTAAAAAAAACATCTCTAACAAATACTTAGTCACAAGGACTTGCCATGAACGAAATGAGCCTCACAAACTCCATCACCGCAGGAATCCAGAGTATCTCCAAAGAGTCAGTCGCTTGCAATCTTTCATTTTTTGCGTTTGTTTATGTAGGAAATTTCAATAAAACTTCTTATCAAGTCTCCCATGGGCCAAACAAACAACCACACAGCGTCGCTAAATCCTCCAGACGTGCAAGAATATTGAATTATAGGTTAAATACACGGTTTCTTGCCACACACTCCCACAATGCAATGTGAAAAACAAACATTGACGTCAAAAAAGATCCTATTGGTCAGTGTGTTTTTGATGTTAATCTAGTATATACTTGTTATAATTTTCCATTGAAAAGGTGATTCATACGGCTTTTTAAAAGACCTACTTTGAAGTAGTGCAAAGCTAAACAATTAACCTTTACTGGCTTCACGGCGTCTGAGCTAAGCTGTCTGTCGTTTTTCTGATATATTATCTGTGTATTCTGGGCCTGGTCAGAAAATCTCTCCTCTGAAGTAATGAGCTGTAAATATAATCAGGACTAACAGAAGTAAGTCCGAAGTCCCAAGTTGTGGCTATAGCACACTTGAAATGTCAGTTTTATAAAGAATTATTTTTTTAAACGAACGAATAGCCTGCTGAGAATTTACATCTGAAACACCTAAATCCTTACTGAGACGTGATGGTAAGTGGAAGCATGTGTCAGATTTGTTCTTCGTTACTACCTCTTTAGGGTTTACATCAGCACTGAGTCAATGACTGCAACTAATAGTGGGGTTTATTTCGAAAATATATTTTGATTAGTTTAAACCAAACGAGCAAATGTATACTGATTGAGAACATTTCAACAAAAGCCTATGACATTTTTGAATGTATCGTGGTACTTAGTGGTCAATGTATCCTGTCAACAGAATATCATATTTAAGCACTTTGAAATTTTCCCCTTTAAGATGTTTGATAATCCAGGCTAAGTTTTAATCGTGGTTATCTCCTGTTAAACTTTTTCGTAGCACTTCCAGTGGTTTCCTTAGTTTGGTCGATTTTCGGATGGTGGCCTGTGAGGTCCATAGTGATAAAGAAAACACTGGTACGTCAAACCATCTATGGAAATATTATATATATATATATATGTTTTGTATATTACAGTATTTTGTAGACACATTTTCCAAAGAGATATTTGTTGTATTGTTCATCATTGGGATACACTCAGATTTACCTTAATAGGATTTTAGCAGCTTTCTTCATATTTGACTGTGTCTCATTTAGGTGTAAGCCACAAATATAAAACCAAAGTCTATGTATTTTGTAAAATTCTGTCTTTTATAACAAATAAAGTGAACTATAACTTAGTTATGCCTTGTTAACTGTAGTTTGAAATGGAGCTTGTCACAAGCTAGTTGTGGTTGGGTCATTCGTCCTCTTAATTATGCTCCAATGTCTTGTTTCCCATATTCAACAATAAAGGTTTCCTAAACAATCTGGTAACTTCTGTAATTGTGTTCAGATAAACAACGCTTGTCAACGTGTCACATATTTGATGTTACTTTGCAATGGGTTTCTGATGGCATTCTCAGACACGTAAGAGCTTTAAAATCCATCGTCTGACTCCTCATCCCAGCTGCACTTTTCTTGAGATTTTTTGCCAAAGTCAACTTCAAGGTCATAAACAAAGTCTGGATCGTCTTTGTGCTTCTTGTTCATCTCAAACAGTTTGTCCATTTGGCCCTTCTTGCGAGCTAAGATTTCATCATCCAGCTTGTTCAGATCTTCATCTGCATTCAGCTGGAATGAGGCGAGGCTGTGCTCCAGACTGAAGCCCTGCAAGTGATCTCGCAGGATAATGTGGAGTTTCTCCAGCTGGCTCTGGGAAACTCGATCCAGATAGTCCCTGTGCCTTGGGTGGTTTTTCAGATTTTCAGCAGCTAGGCTGCAATCTGAAAGAAGAAATGATGGAACCAAGGTTAAAAACTTCTTCACCGATTGACCAGGTGTTCTTAGCTTGTAATTGAGGCACACGTAAAAGGGTTAGTTATGCTGTGTTCCAGTGTTTTGGTCACGTATCAAGTTGTTGGTAGATATTTAGATCCAAAGAATTCATCATCAGGTTGGTGAGTCTGTGACACATGAATGTAAAACCCTTTTGATGTTTAGGTCCTGGCTTCATAGATGTTTTAAGTCATCGATCGGATAGTTGTAGTGCATATTATTTTGAAATATACAAAAAGTACGCATTATTTTATTTTGAAAACACTTTCATCACATGATCGAGTTAGCAGCCATACCCTACAAAGCTCCAGCAGGTGTTACAGCAAAATCAGCAAATTCCTATCACTTTTTTGACCTAAAACTCTATTGGGTTCCTTTTAACTTAGAGGCTTCATTCAAAGTTTAACAAACTCACAAGACTTTCCTGTTTAACATATTAAAGAGACTTGTTGATGGATTTTACGGTTTTTCTAAAATCGCAGGTAGAAGTTGAGGTATGATTTGAAATTTTCAGAAAAATTCACAAAAGTTATAATGGGGAAAGGTAGGAGCGGTGACCCTTCCTTGCTCCATTTCTGGCGTTGTCCCGAGAGAACCGTAGGTCCGATTGAAATCAGACACACGCTGGCTTACAGCTAACGAATATACCTTCGTTTTGAGCTATAATTTATGACTGTAATCCAAACATTGTGGTCGTACGGTTCATTTGTTTGAGAAAATTCAAATTTAAAAAAATGTCTCTCCCCACTCTAAACTGAAAATTCTGCACTCTAACTTTTGAACTTCACATCTTCTGTGAACAACTCTTTACTACCCCCAGACCGTTTGGACTACCAAAACAAATTATAACTCAAAAAGTAGGATTTTTGTCAGCTTTTCAGAATGGGTTTCATTTTATCTGTAAGTGTTACCGTTCTTTCGCTACAAGCCTCAGAAAGAGGAGAGACCCAGCTTTTCCCTCATTGAAACCCATGTTAAAGGAACAGAGATTTTCTCCTCTGATCGGCTTCAGACAGCTAAAATGTTCTCGTCATAGCTTCTAGACAATTCATGGTAGGCACATAAAAATTCACACAGATGACCATCAAAGCTTTCTGCCACTCACACTTTTTGAATTTTTCAATTCGGTGCAGTACTTTTCGAATGGTGATGAGAAGTTTGACAGGTCCAGTTTCACTTCTGAAGGACAGATTTAAAGGCTTCTCTCATTAACGGTACAGCTGCAGGCCTCCAACAGCCAGGGGAAAAGGCGGGAAAACAGTGCTGCTCTCTGATTGGTTGAGAGTGTTCAACCATTTTCTGTTCAAGCAGGATCCAGCATCCACACACATGACACATCAAATCGACCAGCTTGGTCTCAGAATCTTGTATTCAATTTTAAATGTGTTATCTGTTACCATCAGGCCCGGAGTGGCTAATCGGGAGGGTCTGGAGAATTCCCGGTGGGCCGCGCGATGTTTGGGCCGCATGGGGCCGGTGCTCTCGTTTTTGTTTTTTATCATTTTATTTTTATTTTTTGGTGCCGGTGTTCAGTCATGGCACTGAGGCCGCCGGGCTGATCACATACGCTCCTCCCGGCTGTCTCTGGCTGGCTCTACCTGCAGGCTGCAGCTCGTTTTTTTTCCCCAGTATGCGCCTGTGCGCACCACGTGACCACGCAGTTGACGGAAAGATGGAAAGTAGAAAGAGCAAGGGTGGCGCGGAGAAGGCAAGAATTAAAAAGAGGAAAGCGTTGGAAACAGATGCAGCCAAGGCCGGATTAACCATATGGGCAACTGGGCAATTGACCAGGGCCCACGAAGGGCCCAGGCCAGCAAGCGCACGAGCAAAATACTGTAGGCATGTCTGTAATCTCCCGCATTATATTAAACTAGGGTGACCGTATGTCCGGTTTTCCCCGGACATGTCCACTTTTCACTCTCTGTCCGGGCGTCCGGACTGCGGGTTCTTGTATTGATGAAAATGTTCGGCTTTTCATCCAGGAGCAGGGATCGAATTATGGGGGAGCTGTATATCTTACACATCCAGGGGAGCCGGAAACAAGTTTTCTATCTATATTACATCATTTATGGACTCTTCTGAGCAGAGAGCACAAAGAGCGGCACAGCGCGTTATTGCGCAGCGATCCAGGCAGCTGCGTCCAGCGCACGGTCCATTCTCAAAGTGGCGCAACCAAAAAACTATAATTAGCACACGATCGTTCATGTCCGCACATATTCTCTATTTTCTGTCTTATTTGTGCCTGAAGCGCTCTGCTGCTGCGCAGCTCATCACATGTGCTGCGCGGTGCTGCGGTGATTTCACCTCACTGACGCAGCATCGAAAGGCGCACTCCGCTTTGCGTTCAGGAGATCCATTTGATCTGCTCAAAAGTAACTGATGAGGTGAAAAAGTAAGAATCCAGGCAGCAGTTTTTTCTGGAGAGTTTAGAGGAGACGCAGGAAGACGAGAGACAGACAGGACAGGAAATAGTTCAATAAAAACAAGAAAACAAAACTAAGTGTAAAGTAAAATGTAGGTAGATTTATCTCCACTACAAGTTTTTACCAGTATAAAACAATAAGTTATACACATGTCATAGTTATACATCTGATACAATTCAAATCACCTTCAAAACTCAGTCACACACCCAGGGCCGTTTCAAGACATTTTGGGGGCCAAGGCAAAATGACCCCCCCCCCCCCCACCCACCCCATAACTGGGCTCCCCAGAAGCCTCTGTGTAATTGTTACCCTCTCCAGTATTGTTAGTTATCCAGTGTTTATAAAAGCTCCTCAGACATTACTGACATGTTCTAATATTATCAGATGAAATTGAAAGCCACTATTTGTGGATTCTCTGAAAGTTTCCATGGAGTGTGTGACAACTTATTTTATCATTGATCCTATCGTCTAATCTCACAGCTGAAACAAGCACCCTTAATAATCTGTGCACAGGAAGCGTACCGATGCTGTAGTAAAACAAAAGTTATAATAATTTATTATTATTAAAACCTTGTTGCAGCACTAAAGCAGAAAAATGAGATTTTGCAATACATATGCTAAATATTTACATATGAATTGTTTTAGAGCCCTTTTATTGGCAGAATCTGATATTAATTTAGTTCTTACAAGAAAATGGGTCCCAACGTGGTTTGTGTGGTGTTGCCATAGTGTGATGTCATAGGCACAGATCCCCTGTTCTCTTGTTTGGAAATGGAAATATGATCACCCTGTACTAAACAAACTGTCCACCCGGGCTTTTGTGCTGCACAGACGCTTCGCTGCCTATGACTAAACGTCAGTTGAGAGTCAGTCTCATGCAGACTGACCAATGAAGAGAGGGCCTCAAGTTAAGACCCTCTCCTCATTGGTCAGTCCACACAAGGTGGGTCAAAGGTTACCCTGAGCGGGTTACGTGATGTCAGGCATTCAAGCATTGAGTATATTTACTGCATATTACAGTAAAATATTCTGTATGTGACCATATTATGGTGATCCTTGGGTCGTGATGATGGGGCCCTTGAATATTGTTGCCCAGGGTACAACGAAGTCTTAATCTGGCCCTGGATGCAGCTAAATGTGCAAAAATGAGCACCTTTTTTTTCTCAAACAAGCTTGCGGTCTTTAACTTCAAATGAAGATAAAACGGGTAAGGCAAGTCAAGATGTTAAACTTTACCGGCTGCAAATCACCATTCAAGTTAATTAAGCATCAATAATGAATTATATGGCATCATGACATAACGTTATGTAATATAATTTACAGTATGATGTGACTGATGCCACCAAACTGTCTTGTCAGAGTCAAACACAAGATCCAGTAGGCCTAATAAGCACCAGGCAGAAACCCACAATTCCAGAGCGGGCATGTACTGGTAGGATTACTTATTGAGTCAGTGAACTGAATATTATTGAAATTTATATGATGAAAACTATCCTGGCTCTATATGAAAGTGTCCTAAAATGCTAGATGATTCAGCATTGATCAGAAAGCATGTAAAAAAGGAAAATGAATGCTGAATTGTGACAATTTTCACACAATGTAGTGTCAGAAGAAGAGCCAGGAGCCAGCAGTGAGGGTATTGCTCCTGTTGGGATAGAAGGTGAGCCAACTCATGTGCAAACAAGCAAACATCAGTTTCATTATAATAATTTTAATGCCCAAATAATAGTAGTGACCTGATGTATTTCTGTTAGTAAATGCACAAAGCCCACAACAGATCGTTATTAGAATGAAAGTAAAATTAAATAAGCCTGCATATTTTGCCATAGAAAATATTTTAATTGGTTACAAAGATGTGTTTTCCATATCAAATGTGCTAAAGCTTTACAGATGATTATTTTAATTGTGTGCAGGTGAGTCTAGGGAAACTGGAAAAAGTGTGAAAGGGAGTGCTGAGTCAGTTCATTTTAAAGGTTTGAAAATCTCAGAACAGCAGTTTGAACAGAATGTAGATTGTTATATTGTTAGAGAATGTGTTGTAAAGAACAATGTTGGAGATGTGCACTGATGTTCAAATAAACCTACATTGTAAAGCAACTCTTTCTTGCTTTACAAGAAAGAGTTGCTCTTTCTTGTAAAGCAACTCAACTCTTTCAACTCTTTCTTGCTTTACAATTACAAGGCTTTACCGAGTAGTGTGCTTTTGTAGACTATACATATAAAGTTCTAACATGATTTTAATAATAATTCGTTAAGTGGGCCGGTCTGGGGTCTGAAACTCCAGGGCTGAAAATGTGTCCCACTCCGGCCCTGGTTACCATGGCAACACAAGTGCATAAGTATATCCCCAAACAAGTCTTATGGAAATGAATGTGAAAAGCCTAATATTGAGCCTATAACATACTGCTGTTTCTTATCTTTCTGAGCTCTAAACACAAGTTAAACTAGCAGCATAGCTGACATTTTAACACTAGTCAGAAGGCAGGAACCGCCCCCTCCTCCTTCGCTGCTCTCTCATTGGCTGAGAGTTTTCAATCGTCTTCTGCCTAAAAGGAAATGTGCACCCACACATATGGTACATCAATTCAACCTGCTTGGTCCCAGGAGTCTTGTATTAACTTGATATTGTGTTCTGCGTTACCATGGCAACGTGCTTAGCAACAACATTTGACAACATTTTAGACACAGCTTATCAACATACTTTAATATAGAAATGTTATTCAAAGTTTAATAGTCATGTGACATTGTACACTGCTTTATTCATGCAGACTCCTGTCATCTGTTACCATGGCAACACAAGGAACTACAAATCACTTTAACCAAGTCTCATAGGAATGAATATAAAAAGCTGAATATTGAGCCAATAACAGACTCCTGTTTTTGATCTTTTTGAACTATCTGTACTTAAAACTAGAAACAACTTAAATTTGATTGACCGTCAGAAGGTGGGAAAGTGCCCCGCTGCCTCCCAGCTCCCTGATTGGTTGAGAGAAGTCAATCATCTTTTGGCTAAATGGAATTACACACCCACACAAGTGAGACATCAAATCGATCGGCTTGGCCTAAGGAATCCATCCATCCATATGAATCCATCTGTCTGTCCTTCCATTCATTCGTCCGTCCGTCCATCCATCCATCCATCCATCCATCCATCCAATAAACCATCTAACATCCATCCAACAATCCATCCGTTATTTCGTTCATCCAACCATTCATCCATCCTATATCAAATCTGAACATATGTCAATCTATCAGTTTCAGATATCAGCAAATATTTCTAAATTCACAGTTCAGCCCATTGTAAAAATGTACCCATTAAACTATTCTCGTTAAAGGCCAGCTGTTTAACATTTCAAATTTCGAGTTATCAATCAATGTTCAAAGATTAAAGTTTTCTGCTGTTTAGCATTTTTTATCCATTCTTCACCTATATTCTGAGTTTTATTACACTTGTTGGTGATTTTTGCTTCTAAATCTTTAAATACATTAAGCTCATTTTGACAGTTTAGCTTAGTTTCAGCTTCACTTCTGCTATTCAGCAGCTTCAGCAATCCGTTTCTGAATTCGGCATATGATGCTTATTTCACAGTTGAACTAAATATAAAAATGAAACTGTTAAACTAGTCCTACTCAAACAACAAGTGTTTAGACATTTTCGCTATCCAGATTTTTAAATAATGTTCAAATTTCAGTTTTCTGCTGTTTAGGATTGTTTTCTCCGTTCTTCACTTTTTGTGCTTTATTTACATTTTGGTGCTTTTTGCTTCTACATCTTTCAAAACATTCAGCTCATTTTAACAGTTTTGCTTAGTTTGAGCTTCACTTCAGCTATTCAGCAGCTTCAGCAATTAGTTTCTAAATTCAGCATATGATGCTAATTTCACAGTTCAGCTAAATGTAAAAATTTAACTGTTAAAATAGTCCTACTGAAATAACAGGTGTTTAGACATTTTAGATGTCCAGTTTTTTAAACAATGTACACAGATTTCAGTTTTCTGCTGTTTAGGATTAGGTTTCTTGATTCTTCACTTACTTTTTGTACTTTATTTGCTTGTTGGTGCTGTTTGCTTTCACATCTTTCACTACATTCAGCTAATTTGACAGTTTAGCTTTGTTTCAGCTTCAGTTCAGCTGTTCAGCAGCTTCAGCTTACAGTTTCAGCTGTCCAGCATTCAAACAGCATTTGTGCAATAAATGCAATTTTTCTAGTTTATGTTGGAATACAAAAATATATGCTGAACTTCTAATGGATCGCATGTTAGGGAGACAGAAGAACCAAATTTAACAGTTTTATTCAACTAATATATGAATATTATGGATTTACACCAGGGTAACTGAATTTTCTACCTATAAAAAATGGTGACCAGCTTGTTATACAAGTCAAGACTATTTAGGAGACAGAAGAACCAAATTAAACAGTTTTCTTGAACTTTTACATGAATATTGTGGATTTAAGGTCACAATTTTTTCTACCTATCAAAATATGGTGACCAGCTTATTATTTGAGGGCCGTAAATAGAGTCCAGATTATATTTAGGAGGTAAAATAACCAAATTAAACTGTTTTATTACACTCATATGACTGTTATGGATTTACACCAGGGTGACGGAATGTTCTACCTATAAAAACGAACAGTGAGTCCAGGCTGCTGTAGGGACGCAGGAGGGAAAAAACCAAAGAAAAAACGTTTTGAAAGTCCAACAACACACGCGATCCGTTAGAAAGTTCGGCATATATTTTTGTATTCAACATAATTTACATTTTCCGTCACTGCAACGTTAACCAAACGCTAGAAGAAACCGTGAAGCTCAAAATCTCCGCTGGAACAATTGTTAAGCAGTTTACGTAAGCGCTCTTATTATTCTTTAAAAATCATCTAAAAACTCACCTTTTCATCCAGGCGTTCCCTCCCTAAATGTTTCAAAAAGATGGCTTTGTTCGGAGTCACACCTTCACTTTGTTTACACTCATTATTATATTTTCTACGTTTATCACTGCTATTGTTTTTCTGATGTTTTTATTGGTTAGAGGTATTTGCCCTGATCTTTACCATGTTGTACAGCGCTTTATGATGTATATCTGTGAAAGGCGCTCTATAAATAAACTTTTACTTACTTACTCTTCTTCTGTTGTTGTAAGACCCAGAAAATGAGAAATAGTCATTAGCGCCCCCACAGTCACAGATTACGCTAGGTCACAGATTTTGCTGTAACACCTGTTCTAAATGAATATAAAATGTGTTTTGGGTGCTTTATTGACTTACCAGAATACTTCGAGAAGCTCCGAACAGGAATTATTCTTTTTCGCATCTTTTTGGTGTCGGTGTGGACATAAAGTAAAACTATGGAGGGAGGGTTGAACTGCACTCCACAGCGTTTTGCCTCAAAACTCATCTTTGTTCGTTAACTTCTGGAAATGTTGATTTACCCTGTTTCACGTGTGGTTCGGAGGTACAGATGAATCCACCCTCACAGTATCAGACATGTTCCCCACAACATCATTTAACGGTTCAACTGAAAGCTCTCACGTCTGTAAAATAACTCCCTACAGTTAATTGTGCCCTATAGTAACTTTAAACGTTTTTTAAAGTGTTTCTAGCCTGAAAAGCAAAAATACAATGAACACACGGGAGACACACAAAAAACAATCCCCATAATTTCAACAACCGATTGAGTTGTTAGGGAATCTGAAAGGACGTCTTTATGTGTTTTTGCGATGCCTGTCTTTAATTTGAACAAAAAAAAGTAAGATTGCACGTGTTTTAGTTATTTATAAGTAAAATAAATGTGAATAAATACCATTCAAAATGTGCTTTCGTGATCAATTAATTTTGTCTGATTAAATGATTACATTTGTTTTGTTTACAGTCAGGCACAAACGTTGTCTTCCCGAAATCCCCGAAATATTTTTCAGAAGTCCCTTTTCCGTAAACAATTTGTCAACACTTGCAGTTGGTAACTGCACGGGGTTACTATTCTGATGTATTTTATAGTATTGTTCACTTTAGCTTTTTTATCGACATGTTGTTTTGTCAAAAATGGTAAGAAGTAATGTTTAACGTCACTGCAAAAATGTATTGTAGTATTGTTGCCAATGAAACCTGCCTTTATTTTGGACCATAAAGGAGCTGAAGGAAATGGGGATTTCCCTCTTAATTATCTACTGTTTAACGACTCAAACACCCTATCAAGTGAAAAATAACTCAATATTAGTAGGAATAGGAGCAACTTGTGGTTGGTTCCCTGTTTGATCACCCTGTCTGATCTACAGATGATGATCAGGACCATTGTGATCTGTTTAGGCAGTGGCTTGAATCCTCCACGGTGTCCACGGAGCTTGGCAAGAGGGGTTTTCACAGGTACCTGGTTTTTGGTTTTTCTTTTGATGAGGCTAGAATTGTGACACAAATAAATATAATCTGTTGTGTTTTAGGGAGCTGACAACCACTGTTGAGCTCAGACCTAATGTACTCCATGATATCAGTGTTTTGCTGCTGTACAGATGGCCAAATGGTGTTTACGTTGATCCGTATCAACTGGCCTCACTGAGTGCTCATAATGACTGGCAGGTACCCTGAGATAAGTCGTGTTGCTTCCTATTCAAATGGAGCTAAACAATTTCTCACAGTATATTTACTGAATTAGCCTTTGTGTAATCACTCTTGTCTTTCCTTTTGCAGATATTACTAGATTCTTCCATTGATTTAGAGGTGCCAGCTCACAAGACTTTAGGATTTCTTTCCTATGTGTATCTCTCCAATGCTGGATCAACATCAAGTCTCCTCAAAGCAACAATTCCAGTACATGGCCGCTATCATGAACCTTCTCTTGCTGGGGAAACATTCACAACTGTTCACATCAAACCTCCTGACATGCTGCTGAGGACTGGAAAATGTAAGTGAGGAAAGGTTTATTTAGTATATTCTGATGTAGTGCTCTGTGCTCAAATGTCCTGTTTGCCATCACATTTCTTCTTCCGGCTCTTGGAGAGTACAGATGCTTTTTTCTCCTCTCCCTCCCTTCTTATACCAATGCTCTTTGTCCTGTCTTGTGCACGGCGCTTTCTGCATTTTTTCTGGAAACTGGAAATTATTAAAATGGATCTGGTCAGTTGATCTCTCAAAGCGATTGACACATTTTTTTCAACGATGAGAATGGGAGAAGGGGCTCCCGGATGCCCCTCTGGGACAGAGCCAGCTGGGTATATCATGGACTCCTGGAAACAGTGGAGCCTGATATGCCTCTCTCAACTGTCTGTAGAGGATTCTGTAGATGTTTGGATATTCGTCGTTTTGGTGTCGGGATTCCTGCTGTTTGGCCTGAGCGGTTATCTGGCTTACCGGAATATTAACGAGCTTTCGAGGAATATTGGCTCAATCCCGGAGCTCAGGGATGGATTGCATCGTGCTGTGAACGCACAAACTCATATAATTGTCGAGATGAGTCGTAAGCTTGGAACTTTGGCTGAGATTCAGGCTCTGGCACAAAAAGTGGATACCATCAAGGAGCAAAGGGACGGATCGGCACGGATTGGGATAGATTAATTACGCCGTTATTGGATTTAGAGTGGTTGTAGACCAACAAACACTAAGGCAGAGAGGAAAGTATCTCTGTCTGTCCCAAAACAATCCTTATCTGAATCTGGTGCCCTTGAGCCTGTGAGGCTGAAGTAAAAACTCCCCCCTCAAAAGAATTGTGGAATGCGGCTGTTTCTATGGTAACTCTTCTCCCTATCCCAGCCTGGGCGGGACTGTGACCGGTGAAGGCCGTGGAACCGTATCTAGGAGTCACTGTGCCCTCTAACCCATTATCTCCCTCCCCTGTCCAAACGGAGGTGATGAGCGCTGCCCCATGCGGCTGCATGCACTGAAGTGAGGAGAGTCCCAACTAGAGCCCTGCACGGGCCTCAAATCTGAGCCCGTGTCCGGCCTGGCCCGAGGGGGTGGAGCCCCAGCCCGACCCGGTCCGAAAAGGTTTTCAGGATTCTCTGGCCTGACCCGAGCCTGACTGTTTATTTAACCTTTTATAATGTTTTAGCGTGATAGGATGCTCAGCGTTCTAATTATCTATGAGAAGCATTTTGCAGTAAAAAAAAAAAGAAAAGAAAAGACAGAAAAACAGCATCAATGCAGCTTTTTTTTCTAACAGAGCGTATTTTCCAAGCAGCAGATGAAATTTATGAACACTATATTAATTGGATGCGTTTGTAAATTTCATCTGCCGCTCTGAAAAGGCGCTCTTGTGCAATTAGAAAAACAAAGCAGCATTCTAATGTTCTAACTGCAGAGCACATTTTCAGAGCAGCAGATTAAATAAACGCCCCCAGTTATTATAGCGTTTGTAAATTTAATCTGCCGCTCTGAAAAGGCGCTCTCCAGTTAGAAAAAAAACAGCAATGAATGCTGTAATTTTTTTAACTGCAGAGCAAATTTATTCACAGAAAAACAGAATGCTGCCGTTTTCATGAGAATAAACGAATGGTTTCTGACATCAAAGTGGACATAAAATGGCATATTAGAATAGGGGCACATGTTTCAATCAGCAGTTTGAGAATTGGTTTATATCGGCGCGTTTATAAACCACACACACCTTAACTGAGTTAACGGTGCGTGAGAAGCAGGCAGGTGCTGCTGCGTTTAATAGTTTATTATTTTTTTTATGAATTCGATTAAAAATAAAAGCGCCCGGCCCGTGTCCGAGGTAATTACACAGCCCTAGGCCTAAAGCCCGGCCCTCGGGCCGTCGGGCTGGGCCGACCCGAGGGCCTAGGGCTTCAGTGCAGGGCTCTAGTCCCAACCCTACCTCCCCACCTAGTGGACACTTATGTTGTGTAATGTCTGAAGTCTGTTGCATTTCTGTCTGAGGTGTTTTTTTGCATAGCAAAGCTGCCCTCCCTGTGGAGGGTAACTCTGAAGTGCCTTCTCTCACATCCCCCCCCCCCCCCCTGACTCTATCCTCATATAAACCCTCTTGATCTAAGGTAGCACGACTCGGGTTGCAAATGACCACAGTCACCAATTCTTGTCATGTGTCTATGCATGTATGCCTGATCTCAGAATTGTGTGTACTGAAACTCTAGTTTCCCTCTGGGATTAATAAAGTATTACTGAATTGAATTGAAACTGACATTATCTATGAATGAAGGGTTTTTAGACATCTTTGTTTTCTTTCTATATGAAATAAAAAGCTAAAATTTTGAAAGTTTATTTTCAGTATGTGCTGCTGAACAGGTTATTAAAAAGTCATTTACATTAATAATTGATAACAATTTAACTATTCTGTTGGCCCAGGCCTCGACAGATTGGAGTCTTATGCAGTGGTGGATGCTCCGTGCACCGTCAGCAACTCCAGCATGTGTCCATGGGTTAAAATTAATCGACAACAGGTGATTCTCGACAAATCTTAATTAACTTTATGTGATGCTGGAGAAAAGTTCACTATGTTTTTATTTTTATAACCTTCAAAAATTGTCTTGTGTCCTTTTAGGAAGAGGGGATCATCATTTTCCAGGTTCCAGTTGGTGATGGGTCAGTTGTGATGCCTGTCTGCGTAGGAACTCTTCTAGTCACAATAGTCTGCTGTGTGGCACTGTCGAAGTACATGTTAAAATATCAAATCATTTAAATTGCTACAGTTAAACTGATATGATCTAAACAGTACTTGTTTATTAGCTTATATTATGTCTCTCACAGCTAAAAGGGATTATGTAAATTCATATTGAATTTGCTAAGATATTGGAACTATATTATTATAATATTTTCAAATTTGTGTGCAAATGCTGTTGTGAGATTGTTGTTGGAAGAAAATCATCTTAAATGTATGAAATCAGAGTATTTTTCATAAATAAAGTATGTAACTTCATTTACACTTGTTCCCTGGCCAGCTGAGAAACATCGCTCAGGTGTTATGAGAGCCCATGTTGCTCTGATGGTGGCCTTCAGCTCTTCTGAATTGTTGTGTCTAGTGTATTCAATTCAATTCAGTTTATTTATATAGAGCCAAATCATGACAAGAGTCATTTCAATTGCATCTTCCTATTCACAATACCCCATAGATGTTCTATGGAGTTAAGGTCAGGTGAGTTTGCTGGCCAATCAAAAACAGGCATACAATGGTCCTTAAACCAGGTACTGGTTGTTTTGGCACTGTACAGATGCCAAGTCCTGTTGGAAAATGAAATCTGCATCTGTGTCCCCCCCCCCCCCCCCCCCCCCCCCCCCATCTTTGATGGGTTTAGTTAGTGTGCTTGAACACAAAGCTTTGTAAACAGCCAGCCTCTTTAGCAATGAAACTCTGTGTCTTGCCCTGCTTATGTGAGGTATTAATGGTCGTCTTTTGGACAACTGTCAAATCAGAAGTATTCCCCATGATTGTGTAGCCTACATGACTAGACTGAGAGACCATTTAAAGGCTTTTGAGTTAATTAGCTGATTAGAGTGGGGCACCAGGTGTTTTCATTATTGAAACTTTTAAAAATATTCTGAGATACTGAATTAATATCACAGCCTGTCTTAGAACTGTGACAATGCAACAAAACATTTTCGGACTTTGTACTATTTTAAATGTATTTTTTCCCCAGCCAAACTAATCTTACTATATAATATTCAAATGATCTAAAACGCATTTCAGCTTTTTGACTGATGAAAACGGTGAAAATGGTCTCAGACTTAATTGCTGGGTTGCGTTAGCAGACGTCTCTCCATTCATTTGAAGCGGGGAGTGAGGGGCCAGGGCTGGGTCGGTAGTTCCGCTTCCCCATCGCCATAGCGGAATTATCCAAAGGCTGAAAACGCAAATGAAAAGTTGAACTGTAAACAGTTGGGGTCACGCTTATACTATTTGCCGTTGATGTGCCGACTTTACCACTAAATCACCCAGATGTTACGCCGGATGTTCTTTTAGCAGATTTCTAAACGTTTTTCCAAACCAGCGGGGATCGTCCGGGAGTCGACTTGAACCGAATGGTGTGGGATTGCCGGTGAGTTCCGCAAAGCGGCGAGTCCGTTAGCTTGCAAAATGAAGGATCGTTCACTTGTAGGTGGTAGAGTGGCCCTTAACAGCCAAAGTGCTGCCGTTGAAACTCGTAAAGTCCCTAATGTGGAAGCCATTAGTCTGGCTGTTAGCTTCAGTAAAATAGCCTCTGTCTGTATGGGAATCGCTGGTGTAGCATGTCGGGCTAACCGTAACTTTTAGCACACTTGTTGGCCAGACACTAAATGCTAACGTTAGCCTCCTCGCGTGCCCGTTGTTGCTCATTTTAAAAACATTTAGAGCAGGCGAAAGGACAGAAAAACGTCTGTATTGGATGAAATGTTCGGCTAGTTGTTAAAAATGTATCAAATTCGACGACTAGCTGTGAAGTTTCAGCAATGGGCTCGTCTGTTAGCTTCTCATTTTAGTTAAGTTACATAAAATAACCAAGTGTTAGGTGTGATGTACTGTAGATAGACCATTCTCTAGTGGTTGGTAATTTAGGCAGCGAGTCACCTTTGTTTTATTATGTGTAAATAGTGAGAGGGTGTGATAGACGCTTTATCGGATTTTGTTACAGGGGTTTTCCTTAATCAAGAAGGACCCAATTGAACACAAGTCTGTACTCAACCTTTATTTCCATATTTTAATCTTTCTGACAGCCTGACTTATTTGTATTTTTGCTTTGATCAATAGTCAAACGTTTTTCGGGCATTCCAGGGGTCCTTCCATTTTTTATTGAATTAATTTTCAGAGGAAAGTTTTATTTTTTGTTCAGGCACTAAACTTAGACCTATGGAATCATTCACAGAAAAAAGCTAATAAATTCAGGGATGAACCAGTGTTTTATGAACACATAACAGATCACATTAGTGGTCGTTTAGGCTTCTTGATGCCAGCTGCTCACACAAAGTCAGCAGTTGGTTCTGATTTCTTTAGAAAACTACCAAAGATGGCACACAGAAGAATGTTTTGGCACTAACAAGGTTTTTCTCAAAAGAGCTGCTTGATGAAAACCGTAACCAGATCCAGTGTCAGGTTTTTACTAAAGGCCTTTCATCAGTTAATCCAAGGCGTGATTTTTAAATGTTGGTCTTTTTTGTGGGTAACATTTTTTGTCTGACCCTTGTTCTTTTTTTTCTCCACTTGGCCACTTTCCTTATTTTTAAGTACACACCAGACAGTATGCTGTCATTAGTATTAAGAACTACAGATAAAACCCGTTTGTAAAGATTACAATGAACATCTAAAATAATCTTTAAATTGATATAACATGATTCTGTAAATATTTTCATTTTAAAATCCACACTATTTTGAATGTTTATCTATAATCCTGTTTTATTTGTGTCTAGATGCCTCTTTTCCCTGCATGTGCACACCCGTGCTTCATGCTGATGTGAGTGCCTCCTCCCTCCCTCACGGATCGTTCACCTCTCCACCCTTACCAGCTGTGTTCCTCTGCTTGGTTAGCCCTGTGAGGCTCAGAACCACTGCCCAGCAATGTGTGATAATGGAGACCCCGAGGATAAGCCCCCAGCCCCCCCAGTTAGGATAACCAGTACCATATTTGGCGCCGGCGCCAGTAAAGACTCCTTTTCGACTAATCACAGCTCCAAACCGCTCCCATCTGTACCTGAGGAGAGGAAACACCGCAAAGGGATCATGTCTATCCTCTCAGGGGGGACCGAAAAGGGTGAGTTGTCCCTTTGTATTATAATTGTTGTTGTAATCAAATCATAATCATTCTTTAATGTTTAGTAGGTAAGAAGAACCGAGAAAAAGAGCGACCAGAGATTTCTCCACCTTCAGATTTTGAACACACCATACACGTCGGTTTTGATGCCGTAACGGGGGAGTTTACAGTGAGTTGTCACCATTTAGACAGTTAACTCTTAACCAAACCACCGTTTTTGTTGCTCATTGATTTACGTAATGCAACACTTTTCTGTTGCGTATTTGCCTCACTCCCAGGGTATGCCAGAACAGTGGGCTCGACTCCTTCAGACCTCAAATATCACCAAGTCCGAGCAGAAAAAAAACCCACAGGCTGTGCTTGATGTCCTTAAGTTCTACGACTCTTCAGGCAACGGTCGGGAGAAGTACCTCAGCTTATCATCTGGTGAGAAACTAAATTATGGTGGGATTTTAGGTGTTGTATTGACTGCAGGAACCCATAAAGTCTATGGTCATGGTGTAAAGAAAGAAGGCTTCCCCTGACACAGATCCCAACCAGTTATTCTGACAGTTTTTTTTTTTTTTTGTAATTTTTCTAATTTACAGAAAAAGACACGTTCACTCCAGGACCTCAGTCTGTAAGTGATTTTAGGTTTTTAAAGCAGATTTTTTATCTTAACTTTCATAAAATTTAACTAAACTTTACTGCGGCTTTTATTTAGCCCGTCAAAAAAAGCAACGAACCTTCGTCTCCTAACATCAAAGACATTGATGATGACGATGATGATGAAACCCCTCCTCCTATTGTGGCACCACGACCAGAGCATACAAAGAGCGTAGGTGTTTTATTTAATGAGCTGTCTCTGAGCTGATTCTTTTCTGTATACATTTGTTTTACTGGTTGTTCCTCTGCCCAGGTGTATACCCGTTCTGTTATTGACCCAATCCCGGCACCGAGCACGTGTACTGATGGAGACGCTGCCTCCAAGTCTGCAGAGAGGCCGAAAAGGAAGAACAAGATGACGGACGAAGAGATCATGGACAAGCTGAGTAAGTCAAATGCTTTAGCAGCAACAAATTAAAATCTTTGCTCATTTTGCTTCCATTTCAATTCCCTTATTGCTCATGATGTTGATCTGACCTTTAGGAACCATAGTGAGCATCGGGGACCCCAAGAAGAAGTACACCAGATATGAAAAGATTGGTCAGGGGTAAGTTCAGACCCAAGTGTTACTGGAACTGGAAAAGAAAAAGGGTTATTTTAGTAAAAGAAGCATGTGGAAAAATCTCAAGTTACAGTGGGGCAAAAAAGTATTTAGTCAGCCACCGATTGTGCAAGTTCTCCCACTTAAAATGATGACAGAGGTCAGTAATTTACATCATAGGTACACTTCAACTGTGAGAGACAGAATGTGAAAAAAAATCCATGAATTCACATGGCAGGATTTTTAAAGAATTTATTTGTAAATCAGGGTGGAAAATAAGTATTTGGTCACTTCAAACAAGGAAAATCTCTGGCTCTCACAGACCTGTAACGTCTTCTTTAAGAAGCTTTTCTGTCCTCCACTCGTTACCTGTATTAATGGCACCTGTTTGAACTCATTATCTGTGTAATAGACACCTGTCCACAGCCTCAAACAGTCAGACTCCAAACTCCACTATGGCCAAGACCAAAGAGCTTTCGAAGGACACCAGGAAAAGAATTGTAGACCTGCACCAGACTGGGAAGAGTGAATCTACAATAGGCAAGCAGCTTGGTGTGAAAAAATCAACTGTGGGAGCAATTATCAGAGAATGGAAGACATACAAGACCACTGATAATCTCCCTCGATCTGGGGCTCCACGCAACATCTCATCCCGTGGGGTCAAAATGATCATGAGAACGGTGAGCAAGAATCCCAGAACCACACGGGGGGACCTGGTGAATGACCTGCAGAGAGCTGGGACCACAGTAACAAAGGTCACCATCAGTAACACACTACAACGGCAGGGAATCAAATCCTGCAGTGCCAGACGTGTTCCGCTGCTGAAGCCAGTGCATGTCCAGGCCCGTCTGAAGTTTGCCAGAGAGCACATGGATGATACAGCAGAGGATTGGGAGAATGTCATGTGGTCAGATGAAACCAAAGTAGAACTTTTTGGTATAAACTCAACTCGTCGTGTTTGGAGGAAGAACAATACTGAGTTACATCCCAAGAACACCATACCTACTGTGAAGCATGGGGGTGGGAACATCATGCTTTGGGGCTGTTTTTCTGCTAAGGGGACAGGACGACTGATCCGTGTTAAGGACAGAATGAATGGGGCCATGTTTCGTGAGATTCTGAGCCAAAACCTCCTTCCATCAGTGAGAGCTTTGAAGATGAAACGTGGCTGGGTCTTCCAACACGACAATGATCCCAAACACACCGCCCGGGCAACAAAGGAGTGGCTCCGTAAGAAGCATTTGAAAGTCCTGGAGTGGCCTAGCCAGTCTCCAGACCTCAACCCCATAGAAAATCTGTGGAGGGAGTTGAAAGTCCGTGTTGCTCGGCGACAGCCCCAAAACATCACTGCTCTCGAGAAGATCTGCATGGAGGAATGGGCCAAAATACCAGCTACTGTGTGTGCAAACCTGGTAAAGACCTATAGTAATCGTTTGACCTCTGTTATTGCCAACAAAGGTTATGTTACAAAGTATTGAGTTGAATTTTTGTTATTGACCAAATACTTATTTTCCACCCTGATTTACAAATAAATTCTTAACGTCGGTGCATCTCAAACACGAGACGTTGGATAAACATCAGCCGCTGCCATCAGAATATAAGCTCCTGTTTCCTGATTGACTGATTTTAAAGTTAGACCAAAAACCAGTAGCATTTGTCTGCTAGCATGAACAAGTTTGAATTACTTTTCCTGTAAGACTCATATTCTATTTGGAGTTTCTTACAATTATTAGTTTATTTTCTGTACCACCTATTCCTGAGTAGCGCGGCAGGGTCTCAACAATACAGAGCAATTAAATCCTCTCCAAAGCAAGAAATCACACAGCCGAGGATTAATGCATCACCGCTACAAGGTGCTGCGTGTGTAAATAAATCATTGGGTGTGTTTTAGTTTTTGCACATTTTGCATTTTGGCTTCGTTTTTGTTAATAAACACCACCATTGTGGATCATTTATCTGAGCTTGTTTTACATTTTTATTTGCAACATTTTATTTATATTTACCTTTTAAGGCCATGTGGAGGTAAAAATCTAGGTGAATTGTTGTTAAAGTTGTCCTCTCTTCCTTTTTGCAGGGCGTCAGGAACAGTATTCACAGCCATTGATGTCGCCACAGGACAAGAGGTAATAGAAGGACTGATCAGGAAGCTCTGAAAGGTTTCACCACTGCTGGTAGCTTCGTTACAGATATTATGATTAGTCCAGATGAATGCATCTATGGGAAATGACCTGTATTTGATATAGCGCCTTCTAGTTCCATGGAACCCCCTAAGGCTCTTTACAGCACAATCACACCCTGGTGGGGATGAGCTACGATGTAGCCGCAGCTGCCCTGGGGCGCACTGACACATATAGTGGAAGGAAGGTGCGATTCTTGACCACATACTGAAGCTCTGGTCATTCACAGGTGGCCATTAAACAGATTAATCTACAGAAACAACCGAAAAAGGAGCTCATCATCAACGAGATCCTGGTGATGAAGGAGCTGAAGAACCCAAACATTGTCAACTTTCTAGACAGGTGAGAGCGAACTAAACTAATGGTGCAGCTGTTCTCAAACTACAGCCTTACTCATTTAAAAGACTTAAACTGTTCTGCAGTATAGTCGGATATCGCTGACGTGTTTTTTATTGTCCGGAAAAAAACATTTGAAAACCTTTTTCACATCTTCTGTTTTTGCAGGTTTAACAGTCTTTATAATTATGTTTTAATGATAAAAATAAACTATCTATAGATGCAGTGCTTCCTGTTTTGAGGGCCTGTAAATTACATTTCTGGCACAGCTCTAACCTGCCTTCTATCAGATGTTAGCAGTGGTCCCTCACCCACCCCAGTCATGATTCCATTTGAGAATTTCATTTTCTATAGAATAAAAATAAGACCGAGTGTGTTTGTGCCAGTTTCTTGATGGGGGAGGAGCTGTTTGTGGTGATGGAGTATCTAGCTGGTGGCTCGCTGACGGACGTGGTCACAGAGACCTGCATGGACGAGGCTCAGATAGCTGCTGTCTGTCGGGAGGTCTGTGATGCATTCTGGAGCAAATCCCGCTGGCAGCAGGAAAGTCTACTCACCGTTGCTTTCCTCCACCTTTTCCCTCTTGTTTACAGTGTTTACAAGCGTTGGACTTCCTCCACGCTAACCAGGTCATTCACAGAGACATCAAAAGTGACAACGTGTTGCTCGGGATGGATGGTTCTGTGAAGCTGAGTGAGTACTGTGCTGCTATCTACTAGAAGCAACAGCGTGGTAAAAAGCCTGGTGATGGAGTGATTTCTATCTAAATGACTGTTTTATTTTTTTTTTTTTACAGCTGATTTTGGCTTTTGTGCCCAAATCACTCCGGAGCAGAGCAAACGCAGCACCATGGTGGGAACGCCCTACTGGATGGCTCCTGAAGTGGTGACCAGGAAGGCTTATGGGCCTAAAGTAGACATTTGGTCACTTGGCATCATGGCCATTGAGATGGTTGAAGGCGAGCCTCCTTATCTGAATGAGAACCCGCTACGAGTGAGTACGAAGGGTTGTTTGGGCTCAGACCTAACGCTAACATGATCTGATTATCTTTGCAACCGTTAGATTTTCCATGTGATCGGTCATTAAGCTACCTGCATGCGTTTTGACATTCAGTACCGTTTGATCCCTTGCCACCTGTTTAGATGCGTTTGTCTACCAACTACTGTCACTAATCCAGTCTTCTCGGGTCTCTCCTGTGGCAGGCGTTATACCTGATCGCCACAAATGGCACACCTGAGCTTCAGAATCCAGAGAAGCTGTCTCCGGTTTTCAGAGATTTCCTGAACCGCTGCCTGGAGATGGATGTAGAGAAAAGAGGTGGTGGGAAGGAACTCCTGCAGGTGAAACTTTTTCATTATTTTTACAGTGTTTTACATTTTGTCTTCGTGTCATTAAAATGGCTGTTGTCCTCCTCTCTGTTGATTCAGCATCCGTTCCTGAAGCTGGCAAAGCCCCTCTCCAGTCTCACACCACTCATCCTGGCAGCCAAGGAGGCCATGAAGGGCAATCGTTAGTGAACAAAACCAGCTAGCCTGCCTCCTCATGCTGTGCACAGACATGTGCCAACCATTTAGATTTTGTGCCAGACAATAGGCTGAGAGTGACTCGCCAGCCTTAGAAGCCCTGACAAACCTCACTGTGAAGAAGACCAAAAATCTCGAGCACATCCACACCGCTGTCCACATGAACTTCATTTTCTCTCAGACGTCAGAAGACAAGTCAAATTAAAGTGCTTAGTTTAAGAGCCTGGAATAGTTTATATGTACATCAAATCTGGTGGTAAGTTGGGGCTTGGCTTGTATTTAACTTGGAATGAAGAAGATGCCTAGTTCTGTTTAGTTTTTTTAATCAACTGCCTTAAAAAAAGCAAAAGTTGCCTAATGTGTTGTTTGTCTCCTTTCCCACGACTTTTACTACCTTTGTAATTGACTTTTCAGCTTGTCAGTATCTTAGTTATTTTGATACTTGAATTTCATTTTTGTGTTTATAATGTGTCTCACACAACAGACGTGCTGTGTCCACGCATGTTTTATCAGCATTTCTTCACCATTTTATAGGAAGCATTTCACGGCATTGATCATCATGAATGTGTGCCGTGCTCGTGTCGTTCTATAGCTGTCACACCTGACCGATCCACTGCATCTGTTCTTCCCCGGTATTTTTAGTCTCCTCAAATCAGAGGCGCACCTTACAGGCAATTAAAATGTTAGATGACAGGGTTTATACTTTCTTTATTGCTATTAAATTGAGTATTTTATGTTGACCTTTGTCCTTTGCGTTCTTCCAGAAGTGCACTGGAGATTTGAAAACAACCATATTGGGTGAAGTTGCAACAGGAGCCTATTGTAGAATTTTTATATTTTATTCTGAAGATCTAAAAGCCTGGTCTACACACAAATGTCGTTTGTTTGCTCTCATGATGTGAATGTAAAGATCTTCGGTTTATAGTATAAAACATGCAGAAACCTGTCATTAAAGTTTTAACTAGAGATTTATTATGTCTGCTGGCTTTATGCTATGAACTATTATTGTCTTTATTTTTTAAACATTGTCCTAAAAAATATCCTAGCTACATAGGAAAAGTAGTCACGGTGCTGTTTAGTATCAGGATGTGTACCACATTGATCATGGACCACAGGAAGCTAAAGGGAGAGTTCTTGGAACAGGAATTGTTGATAATAAAGACAGCTTGATGTTCAGAAGTTCGATAAAATCCCCAAAGAGATTCGAGGTGAACTTGTCTTGTATGGAATGTACAAAATTTAGAGTTTCATAAATATTTGTATTTTCTAATTTAATATTGCAAATCTGAGATGATGCACAAGTACTACTGTTTACATTTGTGTGACAGATGAAACAAGCCCAGATTAATCCGTGACCACCCTCCAAACAAACAGTCCCAGATCATGCAAATGTTGATCCGACCCAAGCAGATCCTAGAGCGTAAAAAAGTAGCTGGAGTCGCGCATGCGCAAAATGTAATAAATATGGCGGACAGTGTTTTGGTTTGCCACTAAGTTTGTTCAGTCATAGCTTTCTTCATACGGACACACCTGGTGGGCGTTTTAATTCTCTCTTTTGGTTTGCTCAATGGCACATCAACTAAAGGACAAGGAGGCCTATCAAAGGATGAACTACCTTTATCAGGTCGGTTAGAAATGGTTACGAGAAAAATCAGTAGTCGCGCGGCTAGCATGGTAGCTACCGTGTTAAGGGGCTTAATGTACCGGTTTTATCTCTACAGGCTGCACATTGTATATTATCTCAAAATCCTAACAACGTGGAGTTGGCTCGTTTCTACTGCTTCACTCAGAAGACTATCGCAAGACGTTTGGTCCTCAGACAGTAAGTAAACTGAGGCAAAGAGTTAAGTGTTTTATTTTGAAAACAAATTTAGGTCTTTGCGGCACTTCCTGCGAGTAAAGGTACTTCTTCCGTTATTTTTATCAGGTGTAGATGGGGCATGATTTCTATTTTCTTGACTTTTTAAATCCGTAGTAAAATAAACTATGTGAAATATGTTTATTTGTGCACAGTTGACTTAAATTAGAGGTTCCTTCCCAACCTTTTTCCCCAGAGGACTCCTTGCCTGATACGGGCTGTTGGGTCCCTGTATGACCGGTGTCAGAGCTTGGTCCCCATCTCACTGGGTCCACGTTTCCAGTGAGAGATGGACTCCGCCAAGGCTGACCTTTGCCACCGATTCTGTTCATAACCTTTATGGACAGGATGTCTAGGCACAGCCAAGATGTGGAGGGCATCCGTTTTAGTGGCCTGAGGATCAGGTCTCTGCTTTTTGCAGATGATGTGGTCCTGTTTGCTTCATCAGAACGTGATCTTCAGCTTTCACTGGAGCGGTTTGCAGCTGAGTGTGAAGCAGCTGGGATGAGAATCAGCTCCTCTGAACCTGAGACCATGGTCTTGATTCGGAAAAGGGTAGAATGCCTTCTCCGGGTCAGGGATGAGGTCCTGCCCCAAGTGGAGGAGTTTAAGTATCTCGGGGTCTTGTTCACGAGTGAGGGAAAACTGGAGCGTGAGATCGATAGGTGGATTGGTGCTGCGTCTGCAGTGATGCGGGCGTTGTACCGGTCTGTCGTGGTGAAGAGAGAGCTGAGTCAGAAGGCAAAGCTCTCGATTTACCGGTCGATCTACGTTCCTACCCTCACCTATGGTCACGAGCTTTGGGTAGAGACCGAAAGAACGAGATTGCAGACACAAGTGACTGAAATGAGTTTTCTCCGCAGAGTGGCTGGGGGCTCTCCCTTAGAGATAGGGTGTGAAGCTTGGTCGTCCAGGAGGGGCTCGGAGTAGACCCGCTGCTCCTCCACATTAAGAGGAGTCAGTTGATGTGGCTCGGGCATCTGGTCAGGATGCCTCCTGGACGCCTCCCTGGTGAGGTTTTTCGGGCACGTCCAACCAGGAGGAGACCTAAAGGGAGACCCAGGACACGGTGGAGGGACTATTGGGCCATTCCCATCTGTACCGGGTCGGGTAGCGTAGGTTGTTTACATATCTGGGTGGCCTGGTATTTTTCCGGGCCAACCAAGGCTCATTCTCAGCCCTCTTCTCGAGGGGGTCTGCTTCAGGCCGACCAGGGCCAACACACCCACTGCTGACAGCAAATTCACACCTTCCATTAGAGCAAGCCTCTGATTGGTGGGTAGAATCAGCCCACATGGGCTTAAGACAAGGATGTGTGGAATCACCCGGGCCAGGCTGGGGCCGACTGGGGCTACCCGGCCTGGGCCGACCCGGTACAGATGAGAATGGCCCATATGTCTCTCACCTGGCCAGGGAACGCCTTGGGATTCCCCCGGAGGAGCTGGCCCAAGTGGCTGGGGAGAGGGAAGTCTGGGCCTCTCTCCTTAGGCTAATGCCCCCGCAAACTGACTCCGGATAAGCGGATGAAAATGGATGGATGGACTCCTTGCCTGTCAAAGACACCCCCCCCCCCCCAACCCAAACTCTTTTCCGCATATACACATTAAAAGTGATTAATTACAAACGTTATACATCTTATATAAAGATTTTATTATATTATTGTCAAGTTCAAAGTCGCAGTAGAGGAGCTGGTCCCAGAGGACAGTCACATTGATGATATCTTGACATCCCACAACGATCCTGAAAGGCTGGAAAAGACTACAAAAAATGTGGAGGAAATTCTGAGAGTGAACGGGTTTTTTCCTCAAGTCATGGATCCGGTCTGGGCAAAGTGGGAGGCGGATAAACCAGGAATCAACTAAACCTGTTTGAGAAAACCCAACAGGGAAAGATGGAGTTGTGATCCTTCCCAATCAGATGAGGGAAGGTGAAAACGGAGCCCTGGGGATCGGATACCTGGTCCAAGAGGACAAGTTGTATATATTTTCCTCTATCAAATGTGTGTTTTTAGTATTTTATTAATGTAATTTTTGCATATTTAATCCTGGTAACCTCACTACCTCAGAACAAACAAACCTGTGGGGACTCACTTGGGGGGGTCACGGACCCTACGTTGGGAACCACTGACTTAAACAATTAAAAACTAAGGGCATTAGCATGGATTTGGTCATTCACATATGCAAACAATCAGCAGCAAATGAACACTGTTTTTTGGAATCTGGCATTTAATGAGAATGTTTGTGATTTTTAGTTGAGACAGACGAGACAATCTTGCAGATCTAGAGCTTATACTTAAATATCTGCAGTAACGGCCAACAAGGCTTTTTGAAAAGACCCCTGCTGTTATGTTAAAATGGTTACTTTTGAAATAAATGGTTGCTGTTGTTGCATTTTCTCTATTAAGAAATATTTTGTAAATACTGTCATCTTTTCGTGTGCTTTTGTAGCCACAGATAAGGTTGTGTGATGACTACTGAATCCTTTCATTGCAGAGACCCGTCAGTGAAGAGAACAATATGCAAGAAGTGTTGCTCTTTACTTATTCCAGGTGTTACAGCGACAGCAAGACAAAGAAGTAAGTCGTCTTTTTCTTACTCTCACATTGTAACGTACCCTTAATGTCATCAGGTTAGAAGAAGAAATTGCTGATTAACTTCCTTTTTTCTGAAACTTTGTCTTTCAAGGGAAAAACAAAAAGACTCGATTCACCGTGCTGAGGTGTCTCGGCTGTGGCCAAATCAAGACTCTACTAAATAATCCTGATTATAGTTTATGGGTGGACAGACCCGAGGCTCAGCAGGAGCAGCCGGGTGAGACAATAAACATCAATTGACATCTTTGCAGAAGAGTTTTAAAATCTACAAAAGCAGCTGATTAAAACAATACACCTTAATTGCTAGACTGGCTTCAAAGAAAAGCACTTGATGTGACTTATGTCTGTTTTTTTCACAGAGTCATCCACAACAGCTAAAATCCAGCCGGAAGACCCAAAGCCTGATTCTTCTAAAATTCCTGCTGCTCAGAGATCTGCCAGCACATAGCAGCAGCAGCAGCAGCAGGTCCTCTCTTCATTTACGGATGCGTTTAATAAAATGCTATTGTCACAGATGTCCAGTTATTCTGTTTGAACTCATTTTCCTCACACTGCTGTTGTGATCTAACCTAATGTATACGTTAGAAATTAACATATTTTAGTTGAAAATGGACTTGAGAAATGAGTCGTTCACATCCTAAATATTTTACATTTTGGTTCAGAGTTTCTATTTGAAATAAACATCTTGTAAGATTTCTTTCTATTTGTAGTTGTTCGGGTTTTTTTCGGGGGGGGGGGGGGGGACAGTATTTCACTTTTTCTTCTTTTCTGCTTTGTCTCCTTTTGGCACTCTGAAGCGGGTCTTCTGGCAGTAGAGGAGATTTCTGGCAAAAAGCCTTGGAATATGGCCCATGTAGAGGAGCAGAGCAAAGGTCAGGCCTGGGAAACAGACAATCGGTACACGTAAAACAACTGGCAGCACACACACACACACACACACACACTTTAATGTCTTTACCAGTGACGGAGCTAAGCCAGTAGACCACAGCATATTCTCTGAGGGTAAATCCAGGACAGTGGAAGGTGACTCCATAGGCCAGAGATGGGTTCATGAAGGCGGAGGTGTATCCTCTGGCTAAAAAAACAAAATCAGTGATGCTTTAGTCACAATCTGTTCAAAAATAATTGGTGAAATTCTCAAACTTTTAATAGTCTTTGTTTTTAATTGGTAATAATGATAAATGACCTGCACTTGTATGGTGCCTTTAGAGGACTCCAAAGTGCTTAACACTACAGTGCATCATTCATCCATTCACACACACACACACACCGGTGGGGGTTAGCTATGATGTAGCCACAGCCGCTCTGGAGCGCACTGATAGAGGTGAGGCTGCCGACCACAGGAGCCACCAGTCCCTCCAACCACCACCAGCATCAACAAATGAAAGGGTTTCTAAAGAGGACAACGTGCAGCTAAATGTGTTTAAATTCAGCGATCATAAAAGTTCTCTCTGCACTTACCAGTATGAGACAAGAATGTGAGGAGCACTGCCGTCAGAGGCACCCGGATCAGAGCAGATCTACGTCGCAGGTTCAATTGGATGAGATGAAAGATGAATGCACAGGCACTTTCAGTAAAGAAACCCTGAGAAACTGGGACCAGAAGTGATGTGCTGCAGGAAACAGACATCAGGTTCTTGATCATGTGCATGTCTGTCAGCTCCAGGCTCCAGTAGTACCCAGCTGCAAGGAGGGCCAGGTGAGCTCCAACAAACTGGGCTGCAACAGCAAACACAGTAGGCAGGACTGGGGCCTCTAGCTGCAGGAACGTCTGCACAACCAGGCTGGGATTCCCCGACGCTCCGCCACAGATGATGCCGTGAGTTAGCAACAACACAAACAGCATGGTTACGGTCACATCAGGACCCAGACCACCGGCCCACGCGCCCACCTCCACTATGGTCTGCACCTCCAGCCAACATGCCACCAGCATGAAAGAGGAGGCAAACTCAGAAACAAAGCTGAACCGCGGCCATTTTCTCAGCAGTATTTTAACCGAGGCTGTAAAAATCACAACAGCTACAAAGTATCCAAGAGATGCATTAAGTCCAGCCATGGCTTAGAGGAAATGAATGAATGAAAGGTCGCCTCAGCAGTAGAGTTCCCGACAACGTGGCACATGCACAGATGCACTGCTTATCAAAGACACGTCAGTTCTGAATCCAACATCCACCTGCCAAAACACACACGGACCTTACCAAGGTCAGGTCAGGGAGCGGCCATTTGTTTCTCTATCGGAGTTTGAACTAAAAGGTTCCTTTCTGAACCTTGAGCAAAACAACTTCTTTCCTAATACGTCCCATTTTTCTTTTTCAAATGTCAAGGTGTGTGTAGGCTAACTAATTTGAAAAGACCGGAATTTGTTTTAGATGATCTAAATATAATTTCAAATATAACACAACTGATCATAAATAAAAAGTGGCACATCTGTGAAGGTAAAATGTACGCTGCAACCAGATCTCTCTTTCTGAGAATGTTCTTATTGAAAAAGAAAACGTCAAACTGCTTTCTGGACCAGTTTAACATTTTGGTTCCATATTAAAACAGTCCGTGATAAACTGGTCTGCCAGTTGTTCAGATCTGTTAACCTATGGAATATTTTGGTAAAACCCATGTAAACACGCCTGACACTGAATAATGTAAATCTTATCTTTGCAGTTCTGCTGCAAAAATGTTAAATGATTGCTCGAGTGATTTGAAATGTGTGAATCTGAGTATGAGAAATGTTAGTCTACGCCAAAACTGTGGCAACAGGAAATAAAATGTGAAGATGCTACAAATTTGAGGGTGATGAGGCACATCTCAGAGAACCATAACAGAGCAAAATGTTTTGTTAGAATACTTTTGGCTTTCTTTCAATAGATAAGCTCGTCAGGAAGGCCAGCTGTGTCCTAGGAGTCAGATACAAATTGACATACAGTAAGTACTAATTCCTTTGATAACAGAGTTATGTAATTAATTACAAGTAATACAAAATAAGACAATTCTAACAAGCAAAACTGAAAGAAGAGAAATAAAGAATTACAAAAAGAAGAAGAAGGGGTATTTAAAAGATTCCTTTCAAAATAAAGGCATCAACATAACTTAGAGAGTTCTAATAGCTTTTGGACATGTCATACCTTTTAGAGGATAAAAATAGATTCTTAACTCCGTCTTAAATATATTCATGTTGGGGCTCGTGTTGAACCACTTAGATTTATGAATATGAAATTTCCCAATTAAAAATGATCAGATTAAAAATGAAAGGAAATTTTTATCTCTTAAATGTAATTTAAAATTCTTATCAAGACATGGTGAAAGTAAGCGTTCTGTCTCATACCAATGTAAAGGCTTAATTTACATGTTATTTAATGAGCCATGAGACATGAGATTCCATAGAAAATATGAAATCAATCTGATGGATCTTTGGGTATTTTTAACCAGAAGATTGGAACTTTTTATTGCAGGGATTATGTAACCACTTCATATTAACTGAGAGACAAGAGAAAAGAGAGTCAAGTTTTAAAAGTTTAAAGATTTATTACTAAACAAATGAAAACTAGACTAACTTTAACACTAAATGTATGGTGTAACTAAGGTGAAGTGAGACGGAGAACGGTGTAGTGTGGAATGTTGCTCAGAACCAGCAGATCCGGAGAAACGATTAGTTCTGGTGGGAGTGAAGGTGATGTCTTCACACTAAGCTTTGATTCGGAGATTCATAAACATATAAGACGCCATTTTTGTCGCTCCACACACCCTTAGAATGAGACCTCCGTACAGACCCAGACTGCCAGGTCCTCGAGCCCCTCTTTCGGTACCGGAGCCGATGAAACAGTGTCAGCAGCACGACAGACTAGTCTTTGGATTGTCTCCTGGTAAAAAGCGACAGTTGGTTGACAGCGTCAGATGGACCCGGAGGGTCAATGAGTTCAGCTTTTATTCTGAAAGGAACCGTTTCTTGGTTGGTAAAACGCATCAGGTTTTATCCAGCTTGTCGTTGGCTCGTTTGGCTGAAGAGGAAAGTCACGGATTGGCCAATCCGACAACTTCTCTAGAACGCTTTGAACTGGCGTTAAAGATGGCGTGGGCATAGTTTTATACTTCGGATGTTTTGGTTTACGGTCGAATGAAAAGATGACAGATTTACCAATCACCACCAAAACCACGCCTCCGTCAGATCTGGCAGATTCTGATTGGATCAGTAAAGCAATGTGTCATGTCGTAACGCTACGTGAGATCAGTCCTAGTGGAAACTAAATTTAAAGTTATATAACTTATTATATTCTATAGGATTATAATAAAGTAATTAATATTTTCATTTCACAAATTGGTTCACATTTTATTATTGACCAACACTTTGTTTGATTAGCTTATTAAAAATAGAGTTCTTTGATTTATTAAAAAGAACGAGTCCTTTGTCTTTATTCTTCTCTTGGGCTGGAAAGGAAGACCGTTCAGGAGCGGGTGCATGAGACCTTGGGGCAATATCTCATGCAGATTAGTTCATGCTGAGGAGAGGGGGAAATGACTTTTAGATGGAAAACAGTCATTTCATTCCGTTACACCAAAAATATTTAACAAATACACATTCATAGAACAGGTGTGAGATTGTCTCAGAATGCACATGAGTCATCTATCTCTTTTCTATATCTTTTAATAAAATATTTTGTAGGATATATTCGATGAAATATTTTGAAATGAACTTTCTTAATTTAGTTGATGACTATATATTTATCAGCAATAGTCCATATTACGGACCAATTAATATTGTTTATCGTATTCTCCCAATAGAACTGACCTTTAGGAATTGTTTGTGCATGAACTATATATCTGAAAAATCTATTATTACATTTTTTGTCCGGAATATGGATTCCATTAATTAGAAGATCTTCTTTTGGTGATAGCTGTAAATTTGGTTCTTTGTTGTTTTGTAATAGTCTAATATAACCCGGTGGAATTGCATCAAAAACTATCGAGTAATCTTTCAGAGATTGGAACATTATACGTTTTGAGAAACTCAGAATATGTAAACAGAAGGCCGTTTTTATTCATCAACTGAGAAACATAATTTATATTATTCTGCGACAAATTTTCACAGTATATTGATTTATTTTTATATTTAATGAATTTGTTATTCCAAATCAGGTGTTTGTGTGGGGAGAAACTTATTTTTGTATATAAGAAGCCAACACAATAACGCCTGCCTATGAAAGTTAGATAATTTAATGGGAATTTTGTTAATCAAAGTCACAATGTAAAAGAAATTCTATTCCTCCCACGGTTTTAAAAACAAGGTTAGGTATGAAGTACCATATTTTATTTTTGTTTTATTAAGTATTTTATCCAATTAAGCCTCCTTGAGTATAAGAGTTATTAGATGCAGTTCTATTCAAATAGTGAGATTTATTTCTCCATATACCGTTATAGAGTGGAAGTGTTGCCCTGACCGTTATGTGACGAGCATACATCATCTGCTGGCTTGGGTCTTTATGTAAAAGTTGCCCGAGGAACCTTTTAGTTTACTGTAGTTTCAGCAAGAAGCTGAACCGCTCCGACAGCCCACGTGATGCTCAGATGTGAAGCGGCGGAAGTTGTGGAACGTCGACGTCCCCGTGTTGCGTGCGTGCTGGAGCTCGCGCGGTGTGTGCACGTGTGTGAAAAAGGGTGGTCTGTGAGTGAGAGAGCACCCGGAGCGGAGTGATGGCCGGGCACGAGCCGACACTCAAAGAGGAATGAGAACTTGTCGGGGATGGCGGATAAACCTCCGACACTGGTTGTGAAGCTGTTCGCCGCCGGGTTTTACGGTCTGAGCTCGTTTTTGATCGTCGTGGTGAACAAGAGCGTCCTCACTAGCTACAGGTAACGGTTCAGCTGCCATGTTTTAGCTAGCGGTGTAGTGGTCCTGGCTCGGGCGGCACCGTGCAGCTCGTTAGCTTGTGTTTGAGCCAAGAAAGCTGGACTTTTTAGGAAACCATTACGAGTCTGCGCTCTCAGGCGTCCCGCTTAAAAAATAATGTTAAAAAGACACAACTCTTTCTGTTTCAGGTTCCCCTCATCGATATGTGTCGGCATAGGACAAGTAGGTTTCCCCGCTACTAACTAACTACTTATCCTTTTGTAGCTTGTAACGCGGCAGTGATTGTGTGTGTGTGTGTGTGTGTGTGTGTGTGTGTGTGTGTGTGTGTGTGTGTGTGTGTGTGTGTGTGTGTGTGTGCAGATGTTTGCCACCGTAGTCGTGCTGTGGGTGGGCAAGGCTGCGAGGGTGATCACCTTCCCAGATTTTGATGAGAACATACCTCACAAGGTAAAACACAAATAATAAAGCCTTGGACTCAAATGTACTTCCCAAGCTTTGAGCTTAATGTTAAACTTGTTGTCTAGACGTTTCCGCTACCTCTCCTTTATGTGGGAAATCAGATAACCGGTCTGTTTGGTACTAAAAGGCTTAAGTAAGTTCATTCCCTCTAACTAGACAATGAAAGTAAAAATGAATAAATCATGACTGGCATGATAATTTTCTGTGGCACTCCATGTCCTCCTCCTCCTCCAGCTTGCCAATGTTTACAGTCCTCAGGAGATTCTCCATCCTATTCACCATGCTGGCTGAGGGATTTCTTCTCAAGTAAGATTACACACCACAGATAACCCACTTTTCTCTATCATTTACTGGCGCTCTGCTAGAATGTGGCACAAAACCCTTTTCTTTGTACGTTAACTGTGATTATTATTTGCGTTTCAAAGGGGTCAGATTGAATTTCTTTGCCTTTGATCCCTGGTAGGAAGAAGTTCTCCCGGCCAGTCCAGCTGACGGTATTTACAATGATTCTAGGGGCGTTTATCGCTGCAAGGTACGTTCTTCTGTTTCCAGGTGTTTTTGCTTTTAACCAGACTAAAATGACCCCCATTACAAAGGGCAGCTTCACCTTGATGTATTTCCATGTTTAGGTAAAAGGCCATTACAAGTTTGACGCACGTCTGCTGTGACAAAGCTAAATTCCTCCTGTCATCTGTGTATAGTGCTGACTTAACCTTTGACCTGCATGGCTACATCTTCATTCTTATGAATGACGTCCTGACTGCTGCCAACGGAGCCTATGTCAAGCAAAAATTAGACGCTAAGGTATGTGGCAATATCTTCTGATGAGTAATGGTTGTTGCTGATCAAGGACGTCAGAGAAAAAAAACTTAAAATTTGATTTTACCGTGGGAAAATGTGTTTACTAGTAAAACTAATATTACACTGCAGGTAATAACGGCCGAATCAGAAACGTGTGGTAGCTTGCAGGGTTTGATTTTGTTCCCAAGCTGCTTAACTCATGTCACCGCAGGGATGAAGCAAGATCCATATTTAGACTGTGATGTCTGTACAGTACTGCTCACAGACTAGTGCACTGTTAGACTGATGCACGTGTGCACGATGGGTTAAAAGGTGGAGCTGCGTGAGCCACATCCATGCACACTAGAGGTTTTAGGTAGAGCTATGGCTTGACTGTGTGTGTGTGTGTGTGTGTGTGTGTGTGTGTGTGTGTGTGTGTGTGTGTGTGTGTGTGTGTGTGTGTGTTGCTGAATGCCCATCTGTTTCTCTCTGCTCTCTCTCTTCAGGAGTTGGGGAAGTATGGATTATTATTCTATAATGCATTATTTATGATCATTCCTACTTTGCTGTTGGCTCATGCCACTGGAGATATACAGAAGGTGAGCAGTTTGACTTTTCTATCAAACCTGCTTTTTTTCCTTCATCTGTGGCCATTCTATGTAGGCGCACTATTACAACTACAATGGTTTGTGTCTGTTGGTGTGATATTTAACTGTGACATTAAGTGAGTGCACATATACATAGTTATGAGTGTGTGCTGTAAAAAGGAACTGTCCGTTTTGGGGGGTGGTTAAGTCTTGGCAGGAAGCTTCAGGTTGGCCCAGCTGGGGCCCAGCAGTCTGAAGGGAACAGAGATGCCATTATACACCCAGCAGAGTCACTGCCGCAGCGTCTGCAGCTTCCCCTGCTGAAGTACCGCTGCAGCCAAGCAGGCTGCTACCTTTTCATAGCTAATGGAAAGTCACTGTTGGATTTGTGAGCTTTTGGGTGGAAGTTGTGTTGCCACATTAGTTAATGACTCTAACACTCTCGCTGTGTATTTAGCTTAATTCCTTTGGGTGGCTAACACAAAGAAAGAAGACAGTCTTATTTAGCGCCTCTCAAAATAAAACCACAAGGTGCTTCACAAGGACAAAATATTTAAATATTTAAAAAATGCTTTTAAAAAGTGATACAAAACATTTTAAAATAAAAAAAAATGATAAAAAAGGTAACACTAGGGCTGGGGGTAAACGATTACTTTTAAAACGATTATTCTGACGATTATTTTATCGAATAGTGGACTATTCTAATGACTATTTAGACAATTAATCTAATGATTATTTTTCTATTGCACAGTTGATAAAAACCAAAAAATCTAATAAATTCCTCAAAAAAATTGATTGTTACTGTAAGAGAATAAACACTACAGGCCTTCCATTTTGTATAACACTGCTTTTATTGTGTTGGTTGGTTATGTTCTGGTGACGTGTAGAACTTGGGAGTGCAGGTGGTTGGAGACGGAGTGTCTCCATGCTGCTTTGTTTTGGTCACTTATGTGCATGAGGCGAGTGGTCTTACGGGTTAAACCAAACTCAGGTGATATTTTAAACTAAACCGAAAACCCACAACACTCTAAATGTAATAAAAGGGAGATCTACACCACAAAAAGATGAACTCTAAACCAAAACGTAACAGCTTATCCAAACGCAAGAAGCTGTTAGCGAAGATGCTAACAGTAGCTTTACCAACGTTAAGTTCAAGTTACCAAGTTTAAATAAACCAAAAACACCCAGCAGCAAACAGACCAGCACGGAGGAGAGACTGCTACCACCAAAACAGCTCTCCTCATGTCTGAAAGAAGCTCCTTTATGAAGGGAGAAACGCTCCCGGTGATTTTCTACATCTGCGGTAGAGATGGAGCAGCGCATCTGACCCGGAAGTTGTTGTCCATTGCCGGGAGACGAAGGGGCAAAACAGGAAAATAATCTAGTAGCGGACGGACATTGTTCCGGGTCTTCGGTATTTGGCGGAGATGTTAGTGAAGGCGGAGAAGAGGGCGAACTAGAGGAAAAAACAGGCAGATTCCTCTTCTTTTTACAAACTCCTGGGGATGCAACAAGTGGGCGCGGTGCGTCGACTTCCGGATCTGACGTCGACAAATTTTTAGAATCGAGCCGTCAACGTCGTCGAGGCTTCGCTACAGCCCTAGGTAACACACCCACAGTGCCCCAGTCTTCTCTGATTGGCCACCTAGATGGTTAACCCTCTGGAGGCAGGCGTTGCAGATGTGCAACAGTTAAAACCTACCTACCTGGTTACTCCACCGACGTGTTTCATGAGCATTTATTAACTCAGAAGTTCCCCTGAAGGGCTTAGTTGTTCGTCCTTCGTCAAAACTTATTTTGAGCCTGAGAGGGTTCATGTTTACTTGGTGACGTTTTGATGCTACTTACACTGGTTTTCTGATTCCAGGCAGCAGAGTTTGACGGCTGGTCGGATGTGGTTTTCCTGTCCCAGTTTACCCTCTCATGTGTGATGGGGTAAGATGCTGACTTTGTCATTTAATGGATGGATGCACAGCCCACAATCCTTAATAATAAAAAGTGCCTGTGGTTTGTTAGACTGATGAAACCTAGTTGCTGCTCCTCTGCCTCACCCAGACACACTCATGACTAACATCAGCTCTGCATCAGTACTGTTTAATAGGACTGTAATGGAATAATTGTTGAGGTATTTGTAAAATGAGACTTTTTTCTCTTTAGGTTTATTCTGATGTATTCCACTGTTCTGTGTACACAGTACAACTCTGCTTTAACAACTACCATCGTGGGCTGCATCAAGGTGAGCTGAAGTAACCCTCCAGATGGAAGATGAAACAAAACTCTCAGCTTCATTCGTCTTTTTTTATTTGCAGAACGTCCTGGTGACGTACATTGGGATGGTTTTTGGTGGAGACTACATTTTCTCTTGGACTAACTTCATAGGGTTGAACATCAGGTATAACATTTAAGTTTTTTATGTTTTAACTGTCTCCAATATCTTAAGTAAAGTAGACTGGGTTTAATAAAACTTTTCTTTAATTACTTTCTCTTTGTACTAAATAAGGAGACATATTAGGCAAAGCTAACATTTTCCATCCTTTTGTGCTGCCATGTGGGGCTCTGCTGCCTCTATAAACACTTCAAACATCTGTTTTCTGTCAGTGTTGGGAATTATGTGCTTAAAACAAGCGATTTCAAAAAGTATCCATTTGTGATGTCACAACCAGGAAAAGTAGAATGGAACCACCTCCCATGTGTAAGAGAGAGCTGCTGCTTCTGCAGCAGCAGCTCTTCTCTGTGCCCCTCCCCTTCTCGGCTTATAGCTGCTTGACTGAGGTAGAGGTGGGTGGGGCCAACTCCAGCTTGTTTTCTTAAAGTGAGAGAGCCTTGAAAATGCTCATTCTGGTAATCGTGTATGGCTGCAGACCTGGAGATTCAGGCTTCTGCAGCAGCAGTACCCTTCTCCATTCTGGAGGGAAAGAGTCTGTCTAATATAAAACTGTTGAAATAGCTTTATATGAGAGGGCTTGGGTGTAAAGAACTTCATTAACATGTTTGTATTGACCATAGAACAAGTCTGACTTGGAACAAATGTCATGTCTCCTTTAGGTCTCTACTTGGTGACTTTGCCCTAAAGTTTATCATTAGTGAATACAGAAATGGTTGAATATGGATTCAGTCATCTTTGCTGAGTGTCGACCACAACTTCGTCTTCGAGCATTACTTCATGCACACTAGCAGAATAAAATTTCATTTGTTCAATCAATTATTTTTTAAATCTAATGGCGACGTTGGTTGATATTATGTTGATGCATTTATTGAGTGTTAGCTGAGTGTCAAGCAGGGAAGCATTGGGTCCCATTTTTAAAGTTTTTGGTATGACCCTACGAGGATTTGAACCCCACTCTCCCAGTCCCATGGCGGACACTTTAGCACTAGGTCACTGAGAAGGTATGCAACGGTGCATTCACAGACTGAACAAGACCTGTTCATATTCTGTTTCATACTGTCCAGTGATTAAGCTAATTCTGCTAAATATTAGCTAATTCTGATTAATAGCTGATTTTCTAGACGGATCTCTACTAAAAATTGTTTCTTCGTTAGAATTTGCCTGACAAAAGGTATAAATGACTTAATTATGGTATGTGAAATTGACTTTCACAAAGAAAAACAACGAAAAATGGTTGTTTGAGATGTCAAATGGTTCCTGCACCTTAACATTTCTGACATAAAACCAAGACTTTTCAAAGTGAATCAAAATGGGGATTTAGAAAACTCTTGAGTTTTGCCTGACTTGTTTGCAGTAGCTTGATTGTGTCGGTGTTGTTGCAGCATTGCAGGCAGCCTGGTTTACTCGTACATCACTCTCGCAGAAGAACAGTCCAGCAGACCGAATGACAACAACAAGCTGGACATCAAGGGGAAGGTGCTTGTGTGACAGACACTGGATTTTATATGTTGTGTATTTTAATGAACAGGAAAACTGTTTTTAGTGCAACTGATATTTATGGGATATTTGGGCAGCACATTCACGTGGTCAGGGTGTCAAACATTTCCATTGTTGTTTTAAATGGACACACTGACAGCAGGCCGTGGTTATGAAACACTACAGGACGCTGAAGACCGACAAATACTTTTTGTTTCAATGCTGCACAAGAGAGAACCAGGAAATGTGGGAAAATAACTTGTATCCAAAGATTTCTGACAAAATGAACATTTCAGAGTTTGGTCTTGAACACAGTAAACAGCTGGATGTAACAGCTGTATTAGGCGTGTACTGATGCATCACTGGGACATGGATCTTCTAAAGGCACAGTCCTTTCTGTGGCCTGTTCTGTTTGCCGTTTACAAAACCGTGAGATGCACTGATGTTTTCCATTTTTCCGTCTGTAGCCTTTCATGTTGGTTTCACGTGTAGCTGTTGGTTGTTAGGGTCAGACCTGGTTTGTGTTCTTACAGGATGTTTGTGAAGGACTCTTTAAAGCATAACTGTTTGTCTACAAATACTTTTACAGAAGTATTCAGTCGGGAGTTTTGTGTGTGTGTGTGTGTGTGTGTGGGGGGGGGGGGGGTATGTTATTATTATTTTTTTTTTTTACATTTTGTCTAACTCGTTTCTCGCACTTTTAACTGAGGTCAAGCATGCTAAAATGGAAGATTGTCACATTTCATTGGTCAAACTGAGATTATACTTTCCTGAAATGTAAATATCAGGGATTAAAAAACATCTTAGCAAGTAAAATTTGTTTAGTTAACCAGGGAAAAGTGTTTGTTTTTATACTTCTGTTATTTTGTATTTATTCTGTTTTTTCTTTAGACTTGTTCACTTTTGTAGGCAAGGTGTTAAGAATCATTGATATCACCTCAAAGTAATTTGTAGCTGAAAATGTATTTTTACATTAAAAACTGACCTTTGTGAGATTGGAGTTTGGTCATTTTAAAGGGATACTACAACTTGTATGAAGTCAAAAGGTGTTTTAAATAATTCTCCATTAAATGGAAATGTATCAAACCCTAACATACCGATATTTAACTAAACAGACTGACAAACGTGACATTTGATATAAGCTTTAATGAAAAAAACATCTTTGACACAAACCCACAGCATTAACCTTAAGAATGACAAACTAATTAAAACCAGGACCCCATACTTTAAACCCTATTATCTTAAATTATTTTTAAGAAATAAACAATTTCATATAAAATTTCTAAATAAATCAACTGGTCTGGCTTACAGACAACAGAAACCCCACATGTACAATTGATACCAGCTACCACATGACATTGCATTGTTTTTGCAGTAATGAGCTTATAAAAACACACCTTCATGTGTGCCGACTCAAAAGCAACATTTTTAACGTCTGCACTCAACCGCGTAAAATAGGAGCGAGCTGATGTGTTCAGGTCAACACGAGAGATCAGGAAGTAACGTCATCACCAGAGGGTGGTCAGCCTTAACTCAGTGTGTTAAAGTGACAACTCCATCTGCTCTATGTGAAAAGGAGAAGTTCAGTACAACCTGTGAACTACATTAGAAGGCACAACCGTGTAGATAAGGAGAATGTGGCTTCTTTTCAAGTTTTTGTGTTTTTACCTCCACAGCCAAATAAAAAAGGTTTAAACTGAGACACCAAAGTACAGCGACATGGTTTAAATAAGACAAACTCAAGGAAGTCCTCCAGGGATTTACAATCCTTCACCGGTATTTACAAAAACAACATCCTGTACAAACATACTGTCTGGTTAAAACACATTCAGAGGTGATGATGTGAAGAGGAGTGGTTGAACATAATCAAGTCTACAAGCAAACCCTCGAGTTTCCTCTCAGACCCGCTCAGTGATGTGAGAGGTGACATGGCGGTTAGTGCACTGGCTCAGGATAAACATTATCTCATGGACAATTTTCAGAGGCATCTGTAGTTTTTGGTATTGCAACAGAAATGTAATCCATCCCTTAACCCATCAAAGTAAGTTTTGATAAAAGGACGAACAACTAAGTCCTTCAGCGGTGCTTCTGAGTAAAAAATGCTCATGAAACACGTGTGTGGAGTAACCAGGTAGGTAGGTTTTAACGGTTGCACATCTGCAACGCCCGCCTCCAGAGGGTTAAACCTCTCCAGATGACTCATCATCTACCTAGTCCTTAAAGAGCAAGTCACCCCCAAATTTTTTCTGATAAACTATATAAACGTGTCTAATCGTGCTGCAGACACGTGTAGTTAATGGTTTAGCACTTTAGTAGTTTAGTTAAAATTTTAATTTTCTGCCTAAAACTGTCAGTGTTGTGCCGTTGTCGGGTAAAAACTCTGCATTTGAATTTAAATCTGCCACCGCTATTGGCTAAGAGGTACCCTAGAACGTTAGCTGGTACCAAATGATGTCACAATGTCGCTGTGAGCCTGTGTGTGTTTGTTAGCGGCTCCGCCCTCTCGGTCTGTTAGGCAACGGCATTTGTTGATTTTTCTAACAGGAAGGGGGAGCGGAGTAATACTCTGGTGGGAGGTGACTTGCTCTTTAAACACTGCTGATCTGATCATTCTGATACCTGTCCAAGCAGCACCCAGGTGTGGAGCAGCAGTTCACCAGTTAGACAACTTCAACAAGACCAACCTGCTGCGTAACAACGTTCACACAAGCGTCCAAAACAGGAAGTCCTAAAGCTGTGCACGTAGATTTTAGGTGGGCTATAACCAGTGTGTCTACTGCAGCCTCTTTACAGGTACAACATAAAGCACATGCAGAAACCTGCTTCTCATTTAGGTAAAAGCCAGGGGAGCCTGCAACCCCACAAACGGAACAAGGTATAAAAATTCCACCCTATCAGGAAGAGCAGCAGTCAGCAGCATGGGAGCACTTCCTTCAGCAAAGGTTCGGTCTCATAAAAGGTGCAAAACATTCACCTTCTTTCCTCTATAATGTCTCTCATACTAAATTTAAAATGGGGGAAAAGCATGTCACCAAAAGGTAACGCCTATTTGATTAAAGACATTTCAAGGCAGCCTTAACTGTCGGCCAAAATAGGTGAAAGGTGACATGCTGTAGTTGCTGATTTATCTCTGTTAAAAAAAAAAAAACTCGGGGAAAATGGCACATTTGGCTGCAGCCAAAAACACAAGAACAGCTACGCTCAGCTGACATTTCACACATGCAGCAATACAAATGTTCTGCATTAAATTATGACTGCTTCCATACAGGAGAGCTGTAATTCTGAGTCTGTGATCAAGTGAATCCAACAGTCCGGCTGCTGAGTGTCAGCTTTACAGCTTGATGAGATTCTCAGCCATGTAACAGAGACTGTAGAAGTTGCAGCCTATGCAGCAGAGGTTACACAGAGAGGACAGCAGCCGGTACAGCCACAGGCGGCTGCTGAGGCGGCTGTATTTCATATCCGTGTCACACAGCTTGGCATAAGCTTCGCGGTTAGATGACAGTCCAATATCTTGACCCAGTCCACACGCCTGCTCAATGAGATGCATGTCTGCCATGATCTCTGATGTCATCTGACCAAACCACTGTGCATTGACAGCTGCCACCGTTACTGACACAAAGAAGATGAAAATCTGGAGACAAGGCAGAGGAGAAGATTTAGGGAAAGCAACGAAATTAAGGAAGGTTGTATTACTGTGTGATATTATGTTGTACCTGAAAAGATTCCCTGTCATCCAGCTGGTCGCGCGGATGGTACATGGCATAGATGGCGAGATTAAAGAAGGCACATGCTGAACCCAGGTGGAGGTAGAGAGGAACAAGGTGACTCTGAATAAACCCGTATGTGTGTCTGTTCAGGTGGTTGTTCATTATAAAGCCTGCAGAGAAATCAGAACAAAACATCGTTATTAATTATGTTTACGAAACTGCCTCAATGGTACTCCACATTCATGATGTTAGAGTTAATACTTCAGACTGCACTGACGTCACCTTCAGGGAATAATTTACAGCTAACATAACTGAAAATACATTTTTACAAAATGCTGCAAAAACACTAAATTTGAGGGAAATGTCAGCAGTCTAAAAGATCACACTTCTATAGAGGCAAGTAACGTGCTTATTTATCATTATTAACATGTAATATTCATGACTGCATGTTTGCAGTTTTAGCACACAGATAACAGACAACAACTCAGAGTAAACATAACAGTTTATCTTAAGCTGATGACACTCATCACTAACATAGAATCCAAAGTGAGTCAATATTCTACACAACCACAATGTTAGGAAATGAATTTCTAAGGAAAATTACTTTCAACTATCTCTTGATAAATTTTATTGTAATTCATTGTTTAAGAAAATGGATTTCAAACAACTACTAAAACAAACATTTTAATCATCTTATGTATGAAAACTGTCCACGCTTGTGCATTTCAGAAACAATGGCACTGATGTAGAAATCTAATAAAACCTGATTAGAAACTGGTGAAGGTTCTCAGTCACCCGGGTCACGGTGATCCAAAGGTGTTCAAATGATCATGGCAACTGGACTTCTGAACAGAAACTGTTAAAAAATCTCGTCTTTTGGTGTTTATTTGATGGTGGGAGAATTTATACTCGGTTTTAATACCTTCAAACCAACTAACTGCAAATAACTTGTGAACTAATGTATGACTGGAAGAAGGGTTGTTCAAGAATTGGTTATCCAAAAAGAATGTTCACACCCAGGTTCCTTCAAAGTCAGTCAGTGTGAACGGTGAGGGAAAAAAACAAGTGCAGGTGTAGCTAAACTGGTACATAAGTGCTCGAGATAGACGGCAATCCATCCAAGAAAGGAAACAATTCAATATTGTTTAAAATCCAGGTGTGATTTTTCTGTTGAGTGTGATTGTGACAGCACAGCCTTCACTCATCTCTTCAGTGTGTGAGCTCAGGGCGCCTACTTGAAATGAAGGTGACCCAGATTTGCATTCCCCAGCAGGTGGAGAGCAGCAGCAGCTGCAGCAGCTTCACGGTGTATGTGGGCTCCTGGTCAGTGGGCATGCTTTCTCCGCTACCGAACAACAGCGTCCAGACAAACAGGTAATGCTTTCAGCCACGCCCCCTGGTCAGGTGAGAAAGCACACATTTAGACCATAGTTATTACTACTATACGAACTGCTCCAGTGAACCCAGACTGGTTCGTGGTTTCTTTTATTTAACGTTGATACTCCATTTGCCGTCAAAGGTAACTTCCGCATTGTTGTCAAGGTAACCGGAGTACCAGCGTGGCCTCACCCACTGTGTGCATGTAGCTACACCTAAGAGACGCCGAACTTTAGGCAACGTAGCCTCGAAGTTAGAAGGTTTATAACAAAACAGCAATATAGAGCACTTCTGACACAATAAAAGCATTTAGAGGAACAACGAATTGAACAAATTCCAAGACAGGAACTAATCTTCTGCCACCTTGACGAAAAAAGATCTAAACTTGCTAGCTACCAAACAGAAAGTATTAAAACTATCGTTTAAACTGGCCGCGAGACTCAAAAACAAAGCTAGCTTTACATAAAACGGTTCACTAAAAACGAGGGTTTTGTCTTTACGGAGGACTATTTGAACTTCATACTTAAATATATATGAACCAACCTGTGCTGCAGAAAATCTAGACAACTTGTTGCCGTGACTTCTGGAGACAACGTGAACTTCCGACTATTGGTAGCTACCTCGCGAGCCCTGACCGTCACCGAGGAGATGGGCGGAGCAAATTATGGCAAGTCGTTGTGTCATATAAAAAAACTAGAAAATTGCCACATGAGAGGAGATCTTCAGATGGCATGATTTGCACTCTTATTTGAAAATCTTACCTCTGAACGGATAACAGCAACGTGACCCTACCATTGACTCCATTTGCTCAGCAACACTGATGTTTTATTTCCACAAATAACTGAAGCCTGAAGGAGTTCTGCCGTGTTGTGGAGGCTGGCCAGTAAAACAAAAAATGTGTAACTCTTACTAACTAACCCTGACACTCACAAATGAATAACACTAACCCTTACCCTAACCATAACCCTGTCACCAAAAATGTGTGTTTTGCATAATTATAATTTATGAAATTACTTTGTGTAGCACCATTTATATGGTTGTTTTAGGGTTATGGTTAGTATGACCAACACACATTTTTTGACAGTAGACGGTTCAAATTTGCAGCTTGGTGGGAAAAAAAAGAACAGATCTCGACGGGGGAACACATATCGACATAACACGGTATGTCCGTCATTAAAAAAAATGAAAAGACGAGTAAGTTGCTGTTGTCCATGACCCTTTAAGAAGCTGTGGCACAGACACTATTGACTGTAAGCGTTTGATCGTGCCTGAGCTCCAGCCAGGTGCAAAAACACACTAACTGTTTTTGCCCCAACCAAAAACAAAGTTGACAGATCATTTGCTGCTGTGGCCCCCAGACTCTGGACCTCTCTCCCCCTGAGCCTGAGATCAGTGGACTCAACTGTCTCCTTTTAAAAGCAGCTGAAAACTCACCTGTTCAAGGTGGCTTTAGTGTGACCTTAATCACCTTATTTAGCTCTTTTTACCAATTCCGCCTTTCCCGGGATCCCCTGATTTCCTCTTTCTAATTCATTTTCTCTTTTCTTGTCCTTACATTTATATTAATGTAAATGATTATAATAGTTTTTAAAAATGTAAAATATCTTGAAAACCTTAAATCTGAAGAAACCAACTTGGTCAAACAAAATTTTAATTTTTCTCATAATCATTTTTAAAATCTTTTATTTTAAAAAATGTGGTTCTCGCGAATCACCTTGTGATTTTTTTTCTTGAGAGGCGCTATATAAAAAACTGTCTTTCTTCTTTCCTTCTGTCACGCTCATACAGACGAGTGTTGGTGAGTGGATGTGTTTGTTGAAGCTCCGTGTGTGTTTTTATTTCTGCAGTGAGCCAAACTCACCTAACTCTAACCAGAGTTTGTTCTTTAGAACAGAACAGAGCAGAACAGAGCAGAATAGAATAGATGTTGTTGATCCCACAGTGGGGAAATTCACTTGATACAGCAGCACCAACACTTAGAGAATATTCGAACAAAAATAACAAAGGTACATAGACAGTGAGCTATTATTGTAATTTTCAACCAAACCCGTAAAAAAATGAAACTTGGGTTCCAAAACATACTATGAGGAACACAAACTATGTAAATCCAATATGACACAAGTATTGAGCACATACAGAGTATTGCATTGATGTTATTGTGTACCAAGATAATACCAGTACAAGTTAAACTGAGGAGTTGTACACTCTTACTGCAGAGGGGATCAATGGCCTACAGTTGTGTTCTGTTTTACATCTGGGATGTCTGCCTCTGAAGGAGCTTCCATGGTCTCCACAGTGAAACACAGTGGGTTGGAGGGTTTTTTAAGACGGAGGTCGTCTTCACCACCATCCTTCTTTCACCAGTTCCTCAACTGAATCAAGTGGGCAGCCCAGAACCAAGCTAGCTTTGTAAATTAGCTTGTTCAATCTCTTCCTGTCTCAGTCAGAGCTGCCTGCTCCCCAACAGACCACAGCAGAGTGAATAACAGCCAACAACAGTGATAAAAGGATTTTAGCATATGGGAATTAACTCCAAAGGACCTCCGCCTCCTCTGGAAGTGGAGGCGGCTTTGGCCCTTCTTATACAGAGCATCTTCTCTGGAAGTCAATCACCATTTCCTTTGTTTTGCTGGTGTTCAAGTGAAGGTCATTTATGCTCACACCAGTCCACAAAGACCATGATGGCTTACCTGAACTCCAGGTCATTCCCTTCAGACACACAGCCGAGTCATCAGAGAACTTCTGGAGGTGACAGCTGCTGGTGTGGTGTTGTTCTCCAGCATGCTGAATGGGAGGGGTTTCAGGCTAGCCACGCTCATAAAACCAGAAAGCCTGGTTTTGGGAAAATCTTGCTGTCTGGAATTCCCCCCAGGTCTGAGAGTGGACCAAAGACAGAACACTTATTGTTTTCCAAGAGCATCATTTTATTATAAAACTCCTGAAGAAATAAAAAAGAAAAGACCCGGCCCACTGGCACAAGATCGTGGCCATGCTTATGTGAAAATCCCCCTTATTAGCTGGCCTGCCATCTAATTAATCAAATAAACTATGTTCATATTTACTTGATATTTAAATTTAGAGTGGTTCACAATCAAAATGAAAAAAACGTTTATTGTTTTATGCTAATAATTTCGCCATGGTAAATCGAAACCCTTAGAGATGTAAAAGGCCGAGTCGCTCGTTCTGATGTATAATTTGGTCCCTTAATAAAGATATCAAATGCTCCGGTGAAGAATAACGAGGGCCCCTGCCCAGTGCAGGGTCCCTTAATAACATTTCAAGGTCTTGAGAAAAGGACATTTAGAATAGAATTAAAACTTTTTTTTGTTGTTAATATGGCATCCCAGCTACGTTTTTAATGAGTTTGACGCACAGGGTGGGCCATTTATATGGATACACCCTAATAAAATGGGAATGGCTGGTGATATTAATGTCCTGTTTGTGGCACATTAGTATATGTGAGGGGACAAGCTCTTCAAGATGTGTGGTGACCATGGTGGCCATTTTGAAGTCAGCCATCTTGGATCCAACTTGTGTTTTTTCAATAGGAAGAGGGTCATGTAACACATTAAACTTATTGGGAATTTCATGAGAATAACAATGGTGTGCTTGGTTTGAACATAACTTTATTCTTTCATGAGTTATTTACAAGTTTCTGACCACTTATATCACCAACCATTTCAATTTTATTAAGGTGTATCAATAGAAATGGCCCACCCTGTATTTTGTCTTTTTAGTCATTCTAAAAACTAAAACTGCTTCATAACATTTCTAAACATACAGAATATACTTAATTATGTAGTTTTATATACTTGTAACATTTATTACTGCAGATTTGAATAGAATTTTGTTTTTAAAATTACAGATAGGCTTACCTGGAATGGTTTTTATTTTGGATATCCAAAGTGAGCCATAATTAATGGTATCGAAGGCTTTGTCTGAACTGTAAGTTTCACTCATTAAGAATTCTGTTTCAGGCATTTAGTCACCATCTAAGATAAAAGGAAAACTTGCAAGGGTTCCTGGAGTGGAAACATGGTTAGCATTCACCCATGAAGGAATGACCTTTAAGATATCCAAAGTGTTGATTATGGATACAAAGAATGTCATTCTGGATATCTGAAATATTATTTTTGACATTGAATACCTGAAAACATGGGATTTTGAAGGTCTTAAACTATCTTGTCATACTTTCAGAACTCTTGCAGCAGCTTTGGAAGAGTAAATCATACTTTTATACCCCTGAAACGTTTTACTTTGATGGAAGGTTTCTGGTTAAAAGAAAATAGCAGAGTGGTTTACGTTTATGTATTTAGCAGACACTTTTGTCCAAAGCAACTGACAGGTGATAATCAAGCCATCAGGTCGCCCTTGAGGCTAACAGCAAACACTTTTCAGTCAATCCTAGGTGGAAGTGAGGCAGCATAATCAATCATAAAGGGAAGAGAACAAGGAGTGGTCAGTAGAGTGGGGAAAGGTGCTTGGAGGGTGCTAGTTTAGAAGATGTTCTCTAAAGAGCTGGGGCTTCAAGAGTTTCTTGAAAATTGACAAGGAAGCCCCTGTTCTAGTAGTACTTGGAAGGTCATTCCACATTTGTGGAACGATACATGAAGAGAGTTTGGATTGTCCTGAGCGTGGTGTAGACACTGCTAGCCAACGATCCTTCAATGACCGGTGGAGGCCACCGATGAGCCACCATCGGCGTCAGCCTGATGATGTTTGCAGCCGCAAACAAAACGTTGCAGGTAAATAAAACCTTTTCTGTGTTTTAAAAAGAACTGAAAGATGGAATATGAAACTAAACACAGCAAGAACACACCAACAATGTTTATCTTATGAACATTATGTATGAGTGTAGAGAATGATTCACTTGTTAAACCAAACATTACAGAACATAACATGAAAATGTTTCATTGTAATATTAAAATTCATGTCAACCTTATTAACTTAGGTACAGATTAATCAAAACATTTCATTTCATGATGAATTAACTCACATGAGCTGAACATGTTCACTGTATTCAGAGGCATGAGGAATCCTGTAGAAGCGATAAGGGAAACTTGGGCCTTGAAACGGGAACAGTTTGTTGACAATGTGTTATCGTGTGTTCAGAGCTTCAGAATCTTCTCGGCTTGTTGGAACATAGAAAGTAAAATCCACCGTAGAGAATGGTATTCATGTCTGCAGATGACCGGTGGCATGTAGGTCAATATGTAGGTGAAAACTGACCATTTCTGGATGTTACATAAGCCTCTGCTGGACTGTAGCTGTGAGACAACAATTTATCATTTCCACTCAAATAAAAAAAAGACGATTTACAGTTACTTATACCAAATAATGTTGTGTATCCAGTACATACAAAGAAATGAATAAATCAAAGCTTTCAGATAAGGAAAAATTTATTTAGCTGATAGTAAAATAGCATTTCTGTTAGAAGTTTTGTACAAAGAATAAAATTTGAGTTTTTGAATAAAGATATCTCAATATGTGCTCAGGACCCAACGCTGTAAAGTGTAAGGCGGTGTAGAAAAGTGGTAAAGCTGTACAGTCTAACATTTTTAATTCCCTCTGAGGCGTTTCTGAGTAAAAGGAAAAAAAGGAAGCTTCCTGAACAACAGCCTGTATTTGTATAGCACCTTCTTAGGGTTCAACAACCTCCAAAGGTGCACGACACAATCAGTCATTCACACGCTGGTGATGATGAGCTACACTGTAGCCACAGCTACCCTGGGCACACTGACAGAAGCGAGACGGCTAAAAACAGGCGCCACCGATCCCTCCAGCCACCACCCGCAGGCAGGGTGGGTTAAGTGTCTTGCCCAAGGACACAACAGCAGCATTCTCTGGCGGGAGCCAGGATCAAACCTGCAACCTCCCGATTACAGGACAACCTGCTCCATCTCCTGAGCTGCTGCTGCCCTGTTTAGAGAAATTGAGTTTACATCTGACAGGACTGATGGGCTAACGGCTAGTCTATATTGCAGCTGAAACCAAAGTGTATTTCAGCCGCTCCTATGATAAATTATAGGCCATTACACTTCTGATTTAGCATTACACTTCATTTTCTACCAGACTGGAACCTTGTGAGTAATGGATGTGGAATTAATGACAGTGGAATGCTTATTAGAAATAATGTCTGATAAGACAATTCATAACCTACACAAACTCCACACTGGCAGAAATATATATTAATGCACAAAAATAGTTAAGAGTTAAGGAGCTGTGTGTAAGAATGATGAGAAATCTACAGTGAAACAGTCCAATGTCTCAATCACGCTGGAAGGAAGGTTGTACTGAAACAGATTTCATTCTGAGTCGGCTGCGGGAGGATTCAGTTCTTCTCCTTTCAAAATAAAGGCGTGGTTAGCTTTGATCAGTGAGTGTGAGGTTGCTGTGTCTCCTGTGACAGGGTATCTGCAGGTTTAAGGGAGCCAAATTTAAGACTTTTTAAGACCTTTTTAAGGCCTCTTTGACCAAATTTAAGCTATTTTTTAAATTAAATTTAAGCTATAATTTCCAGCTATTGCCTGGGGCTGGTGCTAACCACGTCGTGAACGTGGGATTAGCCATCCAGTTACCATTAAATTTGCACTTCCCCATGGCGCAAGCTCCCACTAGCTTAACCAGCTAATGTGCTCATCTAAAAATAGCCCCCTTTCACAACCAACTGAATGTGTACGGTTCCGCTTACGCCAACATCGTACACAAAAAATGCTGAACGCTAACTAGAAATTCACGAAAATTTTTATAGAAATAAAATAATCTTGTTTATTGGGTCTTTGGTAATTTAAGACCTTTGGAAACAGGATTTAAGGATTATTTGTCATTTTTAAGGATTTTCAAGGCCTTAAATTTGGAAAAGCTAATTTAAGACTTTTTAAGACTTTTTAAGGACCCGCGGATACCCTGCTGTGAGCCAGCGTTGCACTGCAGGCCTTACAGACAAAAATCTCCAGAGTTGTTTAAAGCACCAAAGCCAGTAACAGGAGCGACCCAACGACATTACTTGTACCCTTAAGGAGCCACAGTATCTTTGTGTTTGACTCCAATATCAGGTAGACGGCTAGAGGCTAACGTTGAGCTAACGGGGCAAATAGTCCGCTCTAAAAATATCTCGACCTACTTTTTCTATTTCCAACAACTCGATATTACAGTAAAATGTGTGTGAAGTGAATCAGTCAATGGTGGCGCTTTACTTCCGTCATTCAGAGCAGCAACAGCCAAACACCACTTCTATGCCAGAGGCATGTTACTGTAACAAGTGTGGAAGTGCTCGCCACCATAAAACACCTACGAGTGCTAGCATCAGTTATGTAAAGGACAATGTATGACTCGTCTTTGCTTGTTAACTAGAAACTTCTGGTGCTGATCCATAACTGGCAACAGCCAGGAAACTCACCTAACAGGAGTGAGATTGCAGAACCCTTATTTGACCACAGAATGTTACCATTACTCCATTTTTACAGTGTATTTTTAAGAAGTTTGAAAAAAAAAAATCAAACTGTAGAAAACTAATGAATTACATATTCATTAAAAATGGATTCAAATAGGTTAAGGCTCCTAGAAATGCTCCCACAGTTTACCAGAGAGACATTTCTTTTTAGCCATCAGAAGTTTCACACGTCACCCTGATGTCAGCTTGTTTCACGCAGCTGAAGCCCGGCAGCAGGTACAGGACAAGGGTCAGTGGCGGGCAGATTTACAGATTTTGTCATAAACCTCAGGGAAAGCTTCCTTACATCCCAGCTCCTCCCTCAGCCTGTGGTATAGCCGTCCATCAAACATCTCCCAAAACTCCTCCCGATCCATGTACACATCTGCATACAGCATCTGGAACCTTCAGATCAACAGGAGAGAGTGTAACTACAAAACCAGGCACAGCGTAGCATCATTAAAGCTTTGATGGCCTAGTTTTTTATTTACCCATGCACATCTCTGACAAACTTCTCCAGCCGTCGTGTGGACGCTTTAGCTTCAAAATGTTTGACTCTGGGCTCCCCGTAACTGCCGATATCCACATACAGCTCCTCCTGCTGGCCTTTGGGATGAACCATCCCTCTGCCTGGCTGCAACAGGAACGGGCAAAGCCACAGTGGGTAGACCTGAAAGAGCACAGGACATCAGAAGCACTCGAGCAGGACCAGGTTATTTATAAATGATCAATATGTGATTGTTACACTGATTTCCTGGTGGAACTGCATGATGGCAGCCTGTAGATGCTTCATAGGGATCAGCATGTCCTGGACCACGTGGTGCTGCTCATACAGACGTCTAATGGTCTCTCCCTGGGTGAGCTTCAGCAGAGAGATCTTTGGAGGGACCATCCATCCAAACAGCCAGCGGAACACAGGATTGTTGCCAAATGGAATAATGTCCTAGAACGAGAAGGACAAATGCAAACGTTTTACTCAGAAAATGTACTTTAAAAAAAAAAACCACACGGATATACAGATCAATACTGGTTCAATCAAAAGAAAAGGATCGGCTTTAAAAAGACTTGATTTTTAACTTTTGTTTTGCTCTGCTTGAATTTAAGTTTAGCTCTGAAACAGAAGACCTGCTTTTCAGTTCTTTTAATAACTTGCTTTCAGATTTCTGTTTTTTTGGAGTTCATCTTAATTCTGAGGGTGGATGAAACAAAAGTGGACCTCTTTGGATGATGTTCTTGTGATGTTCTGTATAAAAAGACCAACATGCTGGTGGTGGTGGTGTGATGGTCTGGGACTGCTTTATTGCTTCACACACTAAAGAACTTGCTGTAATTTAGGTGATGATTTCTGCTCTTTACAAGAAAACCCTGAAGGAGAATCAAGCACACTTGGATTATGCAGCAGGGTCATCGAGGACTCCATCTCTGAATGTCTCCATAAAAGAAAAGTTACAGAGTGGCCTAGACTTAAATTCATCAGATGCTGCAGATCTTAGGCTGTTTATCGTGGAAAACCCTTCAATCCTGCAAAAGTCCTTCAAAGTGATGCGAGAGACTCAAAGGCTTGATTAAAGTGTCTGCCATGAAGAACGTTAGAACCAGTTCTTAAGTTCAGGGGTCAATAACCTTTTCCACAATAGTTCAGGTGTGTTTGGGTGGTTTTTATCTTAATACTTTAGCGTGGCATTTGAAAATGGCGTTCTGCGTTTACTTAGCTTATCTCCGTCTGACATTGACATTTCTTTGCTTATCTGAAATATTTCTGCTGTTCAGGGCCATTTTCCTGAAAACCTGCAACAGGTTTGGAAGAACTCATTTGCATTATTTGTACTCATTTCTTTTAAACCACAAAGTACGAATTATTCTAGAATTATCTTAAGCTTTAATAAATGAATACATTCTTTAGCTTGCTCTCATAAGAAGTTTTAATGTTTTTTCCCCTAAACTACGACACTCCCTCCTAAGCTCCAGTAGAGGGCAGTCCCAATCCAACACAATCAGAAAATCAGAACCACACCTGCCTCAAAGCTCAGAGGAAGCTAGTGCAGGCGTCTGTCTAACCAGACTATGCATAATTTATCACACACCATTTACTGTTATAGCAGACAAGGATGCCAAGTTCTTCTCACTTATGGTGTGTGTGTGTGTGTGTGTGTGTGTGTGTGTGTGTGTGTGTGTGTGTGTGTGTGTGTGTGTGTGTGTGTGTGTGTGTGTGTGTGTGTGTGTGTGTGTGTGTGTGTGTGTGTGTGTGTGTGTGTGTGTGTGTGTGTGTGTGTGTTAAGAACCCTGGGAAATGAGCAAGCTAGTGAAGACAAGCATCTGAAGAAGAGAATATCATTTCTATAGCGCCTCTCAAGATAAAAATCACGAGGAGCTTCACAAAAACAAAAAATGTAAAAATATAAAAAGCATTTAGAAAATTTTTAATATATTTAAAATGAGCAAAAATAGACAATTGTGATTAAAAAATGTTAAGAAAGAGTGAGAGTGAATAGGAAAGAGGGAAATCAGTGGATCCTGAGGAAGGTGGAATAGGTGGGGAGAGCAGAATAAAGAGAGAGAGGTGAAGAAGGTCATACAAAAGCCAGCTTGAACAAGTGAGTCTTCAGCTGCTTTTTAAAGGAGACCACTGAGTCCACTGATCTCAGGCTGGACTCAATGAAACCATGACTTCTCTGAGTGTTAATGTTTTGAACTATTTGACTCCTTTGAGTGACCCAAGACCCAAAAGTTAATGATTGTTGGGGGAAAAAATGCACACATGTCTTTGATCGTTCATCCCTGTGATGTAAAAAGTGAAGGTTTCATTGCCAGACTAGCCCAGTGACTTAAACATTATTCATTCTTAACTCACTCACTGTTTAACAATCATGACATACGACTCATTCCTAGGTGGCAATAAGAAATTATTTTACTCAGTTTCAGGAGGGTCAAGTAGTTGGTGTGCATCAAAAAATCTAAAACAGGGTTTAGAAATGTCCAGTGTAAGCAAATACACTCACTGGCCACTTTATTGGGTACACCTGTCCAACTGCTCGTTAACTCAAATAACTAATCAGCCAATCACATGGTGGCAACTCAATGCATTTAGGCTTGCTGACATGGTAGAGACGATCCGCTGCAGTTCAAACTGAGCTTCAGAACAGAAAGATGAGTTAAGTGACTTTGAACGTGGCATGATTGTTGGTGCCAGACGGGGCTGGTCGGAGTATTTCAGAAACTGCTGATCTTCTGGGGTTGTCACGCATAATCATCTCTAGGGTTTACAGAGAATGGTCTGAAAAAGGGAAAACATCCACTGAGTGCCTTGTTGATGCCAGAGGTCAGAGGAGAATGGTCAGACTGGTTCGAGCGGATAGAAAGGCAACAGTAACTCAAATAACCGGTCGTTACAACCGAGGTATGTATGCAGAAGAGCATCTCTGAACGCACAACACATTGAACCTTGAGGCAGATGGGCTACAGCAGCAGAAGACCACACGGGGTGCTTCTCCTGTCAGCTACGAACAGGAACCTGAGGCTACAATTCACAGGCTCACCAAAATTAGACAATAGAAGACTGGAGAAATGTTTCCTGGTCTGATGAATCTCGATTTCTGCCGCAACATTCAGATGGTAAGGTCAGAATTTGGTGTCAACATGAAAGCATGGACCCATCCTGCCTTGTATAAACAGTTCAGGTGGTGGTGTGATGATGTGGGGGACATTTTCTTGGTATACTTTGGGCCTCTTAGTACCAACTGATCATTGTTGAAACGCCACAGTCTACCTGAGTATTGTTGCTGACCATGTCCATCCCAATATGACCACAGTGTACCCATCTTCTGATGGCTACTTCCAGCATGTCATAAGGATCTCAGATGGGTTTCTTGAACATGAAAATGAGTTCACTGTACTCAGATGGCCTCTACAGTCTCCAGATCTCAATCCAAAAGAGCACCATTGGGTTGTGGTGGAACGGGGATTCACATCATGGATGTGCAGCCGACAAACATGCAGCAACTGTGTGATGCTTTCATGTCCATCTGAGTCCCTTGTTGAATCCAAGCCATGACGGATTAAGGCAGTTCAAGGGGTACCCATTAAAGTGGCCAGTGAGTGTATACTCACATAACGTGTGGTGTTTGGAGAATGTGGTAGGGATGCATCTCAGCTAACCGTAACCCAATATCTGTACAGCTGACTGGGTTTTAGCCATTCTTGTGTTTATAATTGTGGCAGCCATCTTGGATTGGGCTGACTAAACTAACCAGTGGTTGGTGTACATCATTCTGACCCGAGAGATCCATTAAAATCCTTTGAGGAGATCAGACATTTTGCTAAAGCTACAAACACTACTGCCTACCTTTTAGGGAAATGTATTTACTACAGTGTAAAGGTCAGACTGTGCAGCAGTGTGATAATGTTACCTGACAAGCTTAAATTTACACAGTTTCAGAGAAACTGATGCATAAGGATGAGAAGAGCGATGGGTGAAGGGATGCACCCATCACCCAGACATCCCTCTCCCCAGCTTCCTCCTCGATCTCTTCTGAACAGACTTTTGAGGCCAGATTAGAGATTTCATCTTGGCAGCGAGTTCCGAACCTGCAGGGTGTCCAGGAGGCATCCCAACCAGACGCCCAAACCACCTCAACCAGCTCCTTTTGATGCTAAGGAGCAGAAACTGTCCTCTGAGCGCCTCCTGGCTGGATTGGTCCAACAGAACCTATGGATGAATCCCATTTCCCTCCCCGACCCTACTGCTCTGCTGAATGTGTGTTCACACTAAAGGCTAGGGGGTGACCCAGTCATCTTATCTTTTTAACTTTCAATAAAGAGTAGGATTATTTTCATGGACAAAGAAACTCAAATTGTTTGACTTTGTTCTTCTGCATTAGGCAGCATGGTTGAACTTTCCTTGACCAAAATTTTAAAAACAGCTTCACCTGCTGACGTCTGTGGGACGCTCCACTGAGCATCCTGAGGTGGTGTCTGGTTACACAGCACCATTAGAGCCACCAGCCCCGTGACTAGCAAGAAATCACATTCACCCTAGAGTACAAACATCAATGCAAGGGTGCCACATAGCTAGAAGGGCTGTGTGTGTGTGTGTGTGTGTACCTGAAGCTCCCAGAAGATGCTGCGTGTGTGTCTGTGGTAGTACTGCCTCAGAGGGATGTATTCCACTCCCGTGTAGTCTCCACTCAGGTAACTCTCCACGTGTTTAAAGAACCAGGGTTTAAAGTGCAGACCTATTCTGTTAACCTGATGTCCGCCAGTAAAAAATAAATATTAAATGAGAAAATCATGACAGGAAAAACACACACACACACACACACACACACACACACACACACACACACACACACACACACACACACACACACACACACACACACACACACACACACACACACACACACACACACACACACACACACACACACACACACACACACACACACACACACACACACACACACACACACACACACACACACACACACACACACACACACACACACACACACACACACACACACACACACACACACACACACACACACACACACACACACACACACACACACACACACACACACACACACACACACACACACACACCTTGTTGGGCTCTGCGTGATCAGTCATGGTTCCCGTCATAATCACAGCAGAATCCAGACTGTACTGGAGACCCTCCACAAAGGCGTTCTGCTTGTTCTGCGATGCCTCCGTGAAGCGTTTGCAGATGTTCTCCAGGCCCCTGACAGGCTCGTAGCGCAGCTTCACCCAGGCTTTAGCTGGGATTATTTTGATCTCGGCTGCAACTAGAAATCCCAGAGTTCCACAGGACCACGGGACGGCGTGGAACAGATCAGAGTTCTCGTCCTGTTTACACAAAAGCAAACTGATCTCACTCACCTCTGCTGACTCTCGAGTTTCTAATATTAGAATGCTGTCGTGTCCGTTTCTGGCACACCTCAAAAATAAAATGGATGCATCTTCTTATGAGAACACAACGAACTCCCGTTACAAACCGTCTCAGAAGTGCATCTGATACCTTGTTCTAACATAACGAGTCTCATCAAGTCAGATTAAGAAAGTGTTGCAAATAACAGATTATAGAGCAGATTACGGGATGGTTACCAATCACAAGAGGTATCAGAAACCCACAACTGGATGGGGCTGTCTTCTAAAGTTCATCAGCTGTACACATACTTCCACTGATCATTTTCCTTCCACTAAATACACGTGAATCAGACTGTGTTAAATTAAAATTAATGCCAGCATGATGGCGTCCAAGTTAGGGACGGTTACATAATGATCTATAGTGATGGTGGGATCAGAAAGGGATTATCTGGATTATTTTTTGGAGGGAGGAAAAACGATTAATTCCCATTTCTTTGCAGGATTTACAGTTTAGTTGATCAGAACCTGCATCTGCTGAACAAGCAGCATACATTAGCATATTTATATTTTTTGTTATTTTAGGCTTGAATCTGTTGGAGACTGAGCGTCCATACCTCTGTGCAGCGCACTAAACTCCCATCAGCCAGAACCAGCTCGAACGCCACACAGATGTGCTGAAACAGCCCATAAATGTGGGAGGAAGACTCGATGCCCGTGCCCATCACCAGCCCACCTGAGAGAAGAGAGAGAGCAAACCGTGTTCTGCTGTAATTGAATTTCTGCCCGTGTGATGACAACAGGAGGCAAACACAGGAGGAGATAGCAGCATGCGCCTGCTGCCAGTGTGCTGGTCGGGATAAACGAGTGTAGCACAGCCTGATGGGAAAACATTAGGTGGTTGATGCGTAGTTTATGGCATCAGGAAATCCATTATGAAACGTGATCCACGGGTGCCTCCAAGCACTGCAGCCATTTCCTCCTGGTTTCATCTTTTCAGCTACAACATCAGTCCTCTAACTCAATTAGAGAAGCTGCTGAGACTCTGAACAGGATGCAGAGACTGAACACCCAGCTAGGGGGGTCACCGGCATGCGTCTTCACCAGAAAGCTACACGGCACTCGTGACTTACCCACAGTGAGGTCGTCAAGCTCCGGCAGCACCGGCAGGGTCCAGCCTATGGAGTTGAGGAGAGCCGTCACTTGACCCATGTTAGCGAGCGGCTCCACTCTCACCACCTACGAGACAAGTGGCTCCCTATTAATAGATACTCGTGTAATATTTACATTAATAAGTTTACCGTCTTCTCCATCCCCAGTGAGTCGTGGAGGATGGCTGCTTATACTGAGCCAGGATTCTCTGGAGGTTTCTTCCTGTTAAAAGGGAGTTTTCCTCTCCACTGTCGCTAAATGCTTGCTTAGTATGAGGATTGCTGTAAAGTCACTGACACTAGTCAGTGACTCCATGCAGGGTTCTTATATAGGAAACTTTTTACTGACTGGCTTAATGAACTGACCTTTATTGGAATGTTTACTGTGTGAAGGTCCTTCAGACCACTCATGCTGTAATTTGGAGCCGTATAAATAAACTGAATTGAATTACTGAACAAAAATTTAACAAATATATTGTGAAAAATTGTAACCTCTTCCTCGTGTAAAATTCCTCTACCTGGTTTGAAAAAATAAATAATGCAACAGCATCAGACTGAAGAGGCTGGTAGTTACACAAGCACTAGTGATGAGATCGTACTTTTCAGGTTTGCACAGGATTCCATTATGGAAAATAGGATTATGTCCCCCTAAATGTGGCTGAACTGTAATATGGATTAATTGTTTGACTAAATACCGATAGCAACAGCTCTCTGGCTCTGACGAAGGCTGGTGTCCTTGTGTTTCTGATCAGCTCTCTGAACTTGTTTAACTACGTTATCTCACTTTCTGAAGGCAAATATTTAGGCAACTTTTGTTTCTGCAACAGCAACGGTGCCAATTCCTGAGCCCGAAGGGCCAGTATCCAGTCTGATGTAGTTTTGTCTCTGCTGCAACACACCTGATTTTAATCAACAGCTGATTCAACTACTGAATCAGGCATGTTGGAGCAGAGAAACGATGCTGGCTGACGGCCCTTCAGGCCCAGGATTGGGCCCCCTTGTACTACATGAAGTGTTTACAATGCATTGACCTCTAGTGGCCCAGATGAAAATAGCAACTCCTTCTACTTCTAAAAACAGGAGTGTCCAAACTTTTCAAGATGAGGGCCAAAATCTTCAAGTGAATAGTTCTCAAGCTGCAAAAGTTTGTGTTTTACTAAAAAAGAGAGAGAAAAGGTCCAAAAGAGGTACAATTAGAAAAGATTTGAACAGAAAAATGTTATAGAGCTACATTGAAAACCTCCCTACATCAGCCTGTTGGAGACATTTCATCATTCTAGAAACGCAGTAGTGGGCTGTGTACTAAATCACTCAGGACTGCAAACGGAGCCGAGACAATAGCTGGAATAACTGCTGTTGTGTTAGAAATCTGCAAAAACAACACTGAGTTGTATTCTGTTTATTTACTTATGCTTCAAATCTAACTGTGACATTTTTTTCCCCACTGATGAGATTAACTCACTACAAGGTCACTGGTTTGAATCCGGCCAGCGTGGCGTTGAAATGTTCTCCCCATGCATGCTAGCCGACCCAAAGGGTTCGTTTTAAAGCTAAAAACAAGTCTCACGGTTCTCTAACAATAAATATTATATTTTTAATCCTACCCTGTAGATTGCTGTCACTGTTCTGTACGTTTTAATTCCTACTCTGGAATAAAGAGACAAACAACATCTTTTAAACTCTATAAACATACAGAGCGGACTCACTTACATCTCCATGAAAACACCACATTCCACTTGTCTCACCTGTCTCTTCGTGTCCACCTCTAGAATGTCCATCATATTGATCATGATGTTCTTATGGGTTTTCTTGTACTTTCCCACTCTGAGGGACACGGTGAGCCAGCCGGGGCGACCTGTACACATGAAGCTCTTACTTCCCTCCTTCTTCCACTCACGTACCTGAAGGGCGTCCGAATGAGAGAAACGAAGAACTGATGAGTGTATGTAGCAGCACAAGTGGAAATAATGCATTATTAATTTAATCTAGCCCATTTTTAGTGTTTTTACTTGGTAAGAAAAGATAGTCTATGAATAGTTTTGATCTTATCTGATCTTTATTAAGAGCAGATGAACAGATGAATGAAATACACCATTTTGGAATAAATAATTACACAATTAAGACATAATAGCATCGGAATTCATAAAATGTTATTGAATTCATAAAATACAAAAGATAGCCTTAAATGTATTGTGGCAGGAGCCCGGGCGGGATTCGATCCACCGACTCCCGGGTGACTCCCGGGTGACAGTCCTACGCTCTAACCACTCAGCCACAGGGACACCCCCCCTGGCCGGTAGCCAGGGCGCATAATCAATCGGGACACTGTGACAGGACGCTCACACTGTCAGTATCTTCACGTTAGTTCTTGAATCCATTAACACATAAGCGAGTTAAGAAATAAATAAAAAGTAAACTTTAAATATTAAAATCTGATCCAGCAGTTTCCGAACCGGAAACGAGAAAACAAGATCCTGCACACCTGAGAATAAGGTCCCTCACCTGTCTCTGGATGTCCCGGACACGCTGGTCGTGTAATTTAGGCGCTGAACACATCTTAAAAATCAGCCACGCTCTCACATAATAATACACGTCAAACACGACGGAGAGCGGCAGCAGGAACAGGCAGACGAATATCCACCTCTGGTGAACGAGCACGTAATCCAGACCCCTGACCCTAACCCACAGCGCCAGCAGAACCACCAAACCTCCTAAACACAGCAGCGCCGCCATGGAGTCAGCTGGGACCACGGGCCGGTGCAGAGCAGAGATAAAAGACTCCGGTGGAGAAAGATGAGCGGATTGATCTCTAACCCCAACACCTGGCTCCTGATCACCCCTTTTTCTGCGATGGACGGGCGCTAACAGGTGGGCTTTAAGCCCCTCCTTTGCTTCACACTGATTGGCCAATGGAACGGGAGAGGTGGAGCCGGTCTCTCAAGCTTTAATCTCATTGGTTGACCAAACCGCTGTAGGTTTATTGTTGGACCAATCAGGACACACGCAGGCTGTCACACCACATGGCTGTGGTACAAAGTTTCTTCACTTCTCCGGTTCAGATGCACGTTTGGCGCGCGGACACACCACAAACGTGCATTTATAGCCCACAAATGTAAGCAGGCATAAAAGTGATCATCTCTCATGTCTGGAGCTGCGCAGTTTTCATAGTTTACCTCAAACAGCCACAATAAATAATGCATGGTAGTTTCAGTCCATCAGTAATTACCCAATCGGAAATGCTTTGGGGCTGACGTCAGCGTTATGAATCTATTAATTGACTAAAAAGAAGAAATTATTTCCTGAAGTCTAGACAAGTTCATTTTTTCTTAAACTACCCCCCCCCCCCCCCCCCCCCAAATAAAATAAAAAACAATCAGCTGTATGGGGCTGATTAAAAGTAAGCCGACTTAAACCCATTTTGGACATCTTACCGGAACTGTTTGTGTTTTTGCTAATTTTGGCTTATTTCCATATCCGTAATTAGTTTGCAGCTCACAATTATTTTTAATTTTGACTCATTGTTTAATTGGAAAAATGATGTAAATGATCAACATGACTCATGGATTTTGGCATTCTTGATCATTTAACAGGATCTTATTTACCCCTTTTGTGGACACAGATACATTTGAAGACATGTGTTCATCCACTACTGAGCTGTAAATGTTTATTTGAAGCTGCAAATTTGCCCCAAGTTATGCATTTTGTTATTGTTTTGGGTGCAATCCCCTTTTTAATTAATCAAAGAACTTGATGACTGACAGCTACCTGGAGATAATTTGGAAATCCTAATGTTTGTTGAACAGGTGCACCTAATTTTGTATGTGAATATTGATCTCATTATAAAGGCACATATTTATGACTTGTTTGTGGCTTTTTTGGTGGGGGGGTTAAATGAAGTAGCATCCTGTACCCAAACTCTCTTCTCCAGTAATATACTCTGATGATAGCACGGTTAACATTTACACTTTATTTTATTTCATTTTTTTACATGCAGGAATTCAAACAACCACGATTTCAACTTTTTAAATTCTGTTTTTTGATGAGTAAGACACTTCATTGCAATGGGAACTATCGTAAAGTCTCTCCTTTTCTTTGCAAAACACATATGAAGTGAGTTCAAGAGAAGTTGACTTTCTAAATAAATCAATGCAGGTTGTGTTTTATTTACAGGATGTGTTGCTGAAGCATGCAGGACTATATCTGCCCTTTCATGTTCAGAGAAAAATCGCTCTAATATCTTCCTGTCCTTCTTCCTCTCTCCTTCTTTGTTGCAGACACACACACACACGCACACACACACACGCACACACACACACACGCACGCACGCTCGCACACACACACACACACACACACACAGGCTAAAGTGGTACCCTTCAGACACATTAGACAGAGGGAGGGTGGGGCGCCAGTAAAGATTTCTTAATGGGCTCTGCTGTCCTCTCGTCCATCTGCCTTGATGATAAACACACAGCTGCTCAACATTAGCCTGATGCACATCAAAGCCTTCGCCGTTTTGTTTTGTTGTCCAAGCAAACCATCAATTTGAACACTTTTACACCAGTGGTGGAGCTTCAAGGGGTCAGGATTAACACGTGGACTAAATTATCAGGAGTGTTTCAACGTTAATGAAGATGCAAGGGATGGAAACCAGACAGTAAGATTTAGGAGGATTTTTGTGTCGGAGGGTTTCTCTAACTGTGGAGTCAATTATTTGGACATCTGGGGTCTGTCAGAGTGCATGGGGTCCACTTTCTGTTACCCTTTACTCGTGACTGACAAAATCCAGCCGGTGACAGCCAAGTAGGAATCTCAGAGATATTTGGCCGTCCTGGAGGAGGATGCCTTCTTTGCACCACATAGCAATCTTCTTTGGAGCGTTCCTCATCGTGACCGGAGGCTCCACAGCCTTTTTGGCTTCGCACCAGAGTCGCCTGCAGGCGTTCTCCCTCTGCTGCGTGGTGCTGGGGGTGGTCATGCTCATTCTCGGCTTGTTTTGGGCCATGAACAGCAAAAATGCTGGAAACTACAACCGCCGGGAGTTTGACACGGATTGTCCCCATTACCCATACAATGAGTACACCAACTACCCAACCCAGGCTCTCTTCTCCCCTCCCCTAACCCGCTTCCCGGAGTCCCAGTCAGTGTTTCTACCAAGGTAGGCAAAATAACAACTTTGCTCAGTGTAAAGATCTATCTGAGTAAGACTTTTCCTCTTTTATGATAAAATAGAAGCTCAAAAACTGGTTGGGTACCAAAATGTTTTGCTAACGTAAAGTGACACACATTACTGCTTTTACACATCTGTGAGTTGTTGTTTCCAGTGATGCACTTAATGATGGTTTATCACTTGAGGTCCACGTGGCAGGGGTGAGGAGTGAGCTCCACCTCACCCCTGCCATGTGGACCTCAAGGGATAAACCATCAATCCTGCTCAATGGTCACCTTTCCTCACGGGGTCACCCATAAAGACAGTGGGAGGGTTAAGATGGCAGCAATTCCCATTCCAGTTAGGTCGATCAAACTGACAATCTCTAAAGTCAGTTTCTGCTATCTTAAAATAGCTCTAATCCTCCAAATGTCAGAGATTATATTTCTATTTGATATTAAAAATAAGGATTTCCATCTTTGACCCCTGAATGCACACATGGACAAAATTGTAATCACAGAAATTACTTGTTGCACTGGGACGCTGGTACAATGACAAATAAAGATCCTTGATTCCTTGAAAGATGCCGTCTAGAAAAGGCGCCCTTAAAACCTGAGACAACTGAAGCAGGAGTGGGCCAGAATACCTGCTGAGAAGTGCAGAAGTCTCACTGACAGATACAGGAATTGTTTCATTGCAGTGATGCCCTCAAAAGGTTGTGCAACAAAATGTTAAGTTAGGGGTACCATCATTTTTGTCCAGGCCTGCTCCATGACTTCAGTTTTTAAAATAATTCATGGTTGAAAAGCAATGTCCGACTTTCATTGGTTAAATTTCATATAATTTTTATTTATAATTACATTTGTCAGATTCAAGTGATTTTTGTGACCATTATGGGTTTTTCATCCATTGACCAGACAATACCAACAATTTTGTCTTCATGTGTATACGCATATGCTGGTGATGATATCTACACTCACAAATAACGATAAACTTTCATGGTCCTAACTGTGAAACTCAAAACTGACCGCATCATGAAATAAAGTTGCATCATCTTCTGGGAAAGAGGTATTGACCCTTTTTCTTTGCCTTGTGCCATGTTGGGTTTGCTGAAACAAAAACGATGAGCGTGCACATTAAGCTAATACTGTGATAAATTAAGAAACTCCCACTTCCACTTTATTTATAAAGCACACTTCTATGCAGCATACAAGCTGACCAAAGCGCTGCACAGGCAACACTCACACAAAGATCGTTGAAAACAGATAAAATTATCAGCACCCCAGCAGAAAGGGTCGAACTCTGGTTACCGGTGATGGTTGTACCCCATGTGCAGCAGTACCGGGACCAGAGTGAATAGGGTGTGTATGGGGAGCATGAGTGGGTGTCTGGCGTGCATTTTCGTAAGTCTTGGGTTGTGTGTGCATGTGTGAGCATGAGGGAGGGAGTGTGTGACTGTGTTTGTGTATGACTGTATATGTCAGGTGGGGCCTTTGGGTCCTCCCTTCTCCTGGAACTTCTTTTGATGATATACATCTTCGTCTCCCCTCCCCCTGCCACACCTGGTGTGGGGTGTGGTGCCTTGGTCAGCCTGAGTGTTCGTGGCTCCCGGGTCAGGAGGTTTAAGATTTTTTACGTCTGCCTGATTAATCCCGGTGGCTGCCTGGTGGGGTCTGGTCCCTGGTCCCTGGGCTCTGCTGGGTCCCTGGCGGGGGTGGTCGCCCCTGGGTCCTGGGTCGCTGGGTCCCGGGCTCGGCCGGCTAGTGGGTGGGAGGCTGTGGGCGGGCTGCGGGCTTGCCGCTGATATCTCCCGGGACTCTGCCGGCTGCTGGTTGTGGCCCCCCGGGGCGATCCTCTGCGCCTCTCGAGGGGGGCAGGGGCTTATCTGGTCGCAGTCTCCTTGGGGTCTCTGTGCTCTGGGGAAGCTCCTGGATCTCTGGGACTTGGATCTCCTTCCATCTCCTACGCATCTTTGGGGGCAGATCTGTGGCCCCTCACACTCTCTGTTGGACGCTCCTATAGAGAAACCTTACATAAACAAGCGCGTGTACACACACAGGTGCTCACATGGTGCTCTCATAAGTATGGACTTGGGCACGTTCAACACATGTCTTAAGGCTGTGGTTGGCACTTAATGCACTGTGATTCATTATCATGATTGTTCAGTAAAACAATGTTGGTTTTATATTTGTTCATCAAGTTGATGCAGTGATAGCTTGCTCCTGTTGTAATGTTGTGTGTCCCATTTCTGCAGCAGACTATTGTTCATCTTCGTCTCCGTGTCTGGTCGGAATTACTAAGCATTCAAAAAACAATAACAATAAAGTTTTAAGTATCAGGCGTGACATTAAAGCAGAAGCTCTGATGTGCTACCTGAGAGTAAATCTGTAAGGCTTGTCACCAGCATTCAGACATTAATTCTGTTTGCTTCACAGCCAGACAGGACACGAAAAAACAAAACAAACAAAAAACAGATAAAATCAGTCAACAAATACAGATAAAAACAACCGATAAAACAATGAAAAGAAAGGAAAAAACAAACATTAAAGAGAGTCACTGTCCAAAAGCCAAATCATAGAAGTTGGTCTTCTATCGTCACTTTAAGACAGAGTCGGATGATGACTGTCGAATTGTGATGGGTGGTGCATCCAGAGGACTGGGGCAATAGACACAAAGGCTGCTCACCCCTTGCTTTATAGTTCATGGTTGGAGTGCAAAATAGCAAGCGACCAGCTGACCTCAGTGGGCACACTGGCACTATAGGCATGAGCAGGTTAGACAGGTAGGATGGTACAAGATTAAATCTTAAATTGCACACCAAAAGTCATGGGTAACCAATGGAGATGGGATGATATGGCTACGTTTGCATTGCAACAACTTTTGATTTTACATAAATCAAATCAACTGACTGGTTCTTGTTGATTGATCAAAACTGCGAATGATAGGGAAAGAAATGAAGCACTACACAGCATAGGACTCATGATAAATGATAAATGACCCACACTTGTATAGCGCCTCTCAGAGTAAGGACTCCAAAGCGCTTTACACTACAGTGTATCAATCATCCATTCACACACACACATTCACACACCGATGATTACAGATGTGATTAAAATTAAGTCACACTGGGCCGAAATATGACAAAGAAAGACGGTGCCACGACTCAGCAACTCTTCCTCTTTCAAGGCTGTACAACAATAACATATGTGTGCTTTTGCATGATTATTCTGTCATTATCATGGTGGTTTTTGTGGGTTTAGGACCCTGGAGCGCCAAAGGCAGGGTGGTCGTGGAGAGGATTTTGACTATCCACCCATGGATTCTGGTGGATTTAGCCCAGCACCTCATCTTCCTCCGTGGCTGGGACCCCCACCTCCCTACGAGGTTGCCATCAAGACCACTTGCAGTTCTACACACCTGCGGCGTGCTTACTCAGACACACACCTGGCAACGGAGCCGCTGTTTGGACAGTCGAGAGAAATCAGCTTTGAGGTGTGACCCTGAATGATTATGACGACAACATGCCTGCTCTGTGAGGCACAAGACTCTAGTGTAGCCTGCAGACATACTCATTCTCCTGAAGCATGCTTTTGTCTCGGTTAAAGCATGCTTTTTCTGTCTGAAACACAAAGATTTGTTGAAATTATGAAGCACAGCAACTCTGAGCAACCAGTCTGCATTTTCTTGACTTTCTTTCACTGTTAAAATATTCGGCTAGCCCAAAAATAATTTTGACTTCCAAAATAATATGTTAAGGGAATTATTATTTAGATATAAATAGAACTTTAAAAGGATTTTTATTTGGTCCAGGGTCTATGTCTATGAAGCAGTTGGGGTTTGTTAGCTTATCAAGGCTAATTAATGGGTAAAAATGGTCACATCTCGACAATACCCAATGGTTTTAAGATTTTAGCTTTGGAACTGCAGGTGTGCTTGTAAAGCCAGCAGAAATGTACTAAGGCTCTGACAGAGAATCAGTCACTTCAGCACCATCTGATGGAGGCTCTTTCACAAATATGTTGCAGATTTAACCTTGCTTAAAGGGATAGTTAGAACATATTTGGAGATGTGATTTGAGTTATGTCAATAGTCACCTGCAGTCAGAGTGATCCTGTTTAGATGTTTTCATTGAAAAGTTGAGTTAACCCTCGAGGTAGTTTGAAAAGTCAGTCGGTTCAAAGGTTGATTTTTTTGCCATCTCAGTACAACTCAAATCTTAAAATCAGATGGCAATCCATGCAAATCCTATTTTGTTTATTTTTACTCAGCATTACTTTTCCATCAGAGAGCTATGCTGCCCGATTCTGTTTCCCAGCACTTTTCACATGGACACAGTTTTTCAATGGAAGGATTTTAGTGACCAACCTTTACAGAAACAACCAGATAACCAAGCAAACGTGTTATCTGTGTAGAGGTTTATAAAATGCCATCAATGCAAACTGCTATGATTTTTTAAAGTTTATTTAACATGGAAGAAATCCTGGCACTGGTCTCACTTTGCCACCAAAAGCAGCCTGGAGGGTGTGAACAAGGTGAGTGCATTTACCCTGTTGGGTTTTGACCGTCACGGTTCTGCTGCCTTGCTTGTTGGCTCAGGGTGATGAGTGAACAGTGGTGAACCTGGTGACTTGAACCCCACCCTCGTTGCCTGAGTTCTTTTACAAATCATTGAGATAGGAAGACATCCTAGGTATAACTTGAAGTGCTTTGTGAAGGTGACCACTGTCTGATGACAAAAACTTCACAGAACCCCACCTAGAAAAAGAAGAGACATCTGGAACTATCCCTTTAAAATGTCACCTTAGAACAAATGTCTGTTTTACTGCAACAATAATTTATTAGAGACCAAACTGGTTTTGCAGCAGACTGTAAATGTTTACTTTACTTCCGCACTTTAGCATGAGAGGATCCATGTTAACATTTTTCAGAAAAAACAGATATTCACCTTAAAAAAGCACCTCATGTGGTCTTTAGCAGACCTGCAGATTTCGGAACCTTTTTTCCTTCTCTTCAAATCGCAAGCTGCCACTTAAAGTCTCTTTCCAGAGTATTTCTCTTGTCCGATGGCACCATCTAGTGGCTGACAAGCATATCACACAAATAATTTCTCCTTCCACTTTCTTGAGATGGCGACATCACGTTTCTTGTTTATAAATGTGCTTCTGTAGCCGACAAACAGACCTAAAACCCATTGCTTTATGAGTATTATTCTCATGTCATGTTGTGTTTTCATATATTTATATTTTAGAGACTTTCTTGTTTGTGAAAAATTCATCAACTCTGCATCAGCTGAGGAATTCCTTAAATGTGAAGCATGTAAGCGATAGTCTAATGGGCCATTCCCATCTGTACCGGGTCGGCCTGGGCCGGGTAGCCCCAGTCGGCCCCAGCCTGGCCCAGTTGATTCCACACATCCTTAAGCCCATGTGGGCTGATTCTACCCACCAATCAGAGGCTTGCTCTAATGGAAGGTGTGAATTTGCTGTCAGCAGTGGGTGTGTTGGCCCTGGTCGGCCTGAAGCAGACCCCCTCGAGAAGAGGGCTGAGAATGAGCCTTGGTTGGCCCGGAAAAATACCAGGCCACCCAGATATGTAAACAACCTACGCTACCCGGCCCGGGCCGACCCGGTACAGATGGGAATGGCCCATAACGCTATTGGTTAGTTCTGGTCGGCGCTCAGTTTCCTATTGCACAGAGCTCTGTGGGGCAGGGGGCATGCTTAGCAAAAAAAAAAAAAAAAAGAATAAGTATTGCTTACATTATATCACATGGCAAGATAATAACTTTTACGAATTTCTGAAAAATCACACGTAATTTTGGAATGGGAAAACTCCGGAAAGCTACTTTAAGTACTATTGTTTGTATCTGATATTGAAATCCTTATAGGAATGATATAATTCACCCTTTAACATGATGGCTGATGAAAATCTCAATGACAACCTGGCATAAACCATAGACATACTTCCAGGAAAATTCAAAATAGAAACTAAAGTTTGAGAAGGGGTACTAGGCAGTTTTAGCTTGCTTTTAGCACCCCCTAGTGTCTGTTTAGCAGATTAAAAAGATCCTCGCTCCTACTCCTGAAATCTGAAATGTCTCCTAACCTTCATTTGTGTCTACTAGGGTTGTCACGGTAACCGGTGTAGCGGTAAACCCCGGTAAAAAAAGTTGACAATAATAATAACAGTCTTGTTTTTTAAAACATATATTATCTCGGTGGATAAGCGTGGCTGTGGTGTAGGCGCGGTGACCCTTACCAGCCACCGTATCATCTGCTGAAGTTGCCGGCGGCACATGCGCACTTTGTTGTTTACAACCAAAACTTTCTTGAAGCTAAAGCTGAAATAATGGCCAAAGGAGGAGACGGCAGCGGTCAGGACATTTATTATCCCTCAAAGAAGACAAAGAGGGAAGTACGGGCATCTTTTGGATATTTGAAGAATGCCGAGGGACAGCTGATAGAAGACGGCTATCCTGTTTGCAGCACGAGCAGAAAAAGTGTCTGTGAAAGGCAGCAACGCTTCAAATCTCATGACACATCTGCGTGACCATCACCCACAACTCTACAGTCAACGCAAGGCAAGCTAACGTTAGCGTTTTAGCTAAAATGCGTGATCCGAGGATTTGGGTTGAGGGAGAATGCAACGAGTCGCTATATAAAGCAGCCGCAGCGCCGCTACCTGCATATAAACCGTGTCGCGGACACCCCCATGTTGAAATGACGCTATGCATTACGGGGCTCCCAGGGTCAGATAAGAGTTGGTCTCTCTCCGAGAATAATTATGAATTTAACAACGATTACTGCCTGATGACATTTTCCCACATCTGCAAAGCTCACTGGAAGGACACAAACCGAGGACAATATTTTCCTGATATAGGGTTTAGTACTCAAGTAAGGGTAAAAAAGTATCTGATTAGAAGGCTACTTGAGTACTGAGTATCATCTGAGCTAATATTTTTAAAATGAGGACATCAAACAGACATAAAATAAGGAGTTATGGGCAAATATTGGTATTTTAAAGACTAAAGGGGAAAAATGTAAACAAATAAACAACATAATTACAAAATAACTAATTTTAGGCTAAATTTAGACACAAACTGAGGACAATATTTTCCTGATATACAGGGTTTATTCAGTTGTCTGAAAATGTAACACCTTTAAAAAATACCGCGATAATACCGAAAACCATGGTAATTTTGGTCACAATAACCGTGAGGTTAATTTTCACACCGTGACAACCCTAGTGTCTACAGGAGTAATTCATCACTAAATTAAACAAATCAGTTATTTTAATGATCTAAAACATGCAGGAAACATGCTGGAAGCAGACTGCAGCACCAGGAATGTCAGGTCCAGTTTTTCCCTAGTCAGACCAACAGACCGGACCGGCAACTCTGAAGTTGCAAATGCTGTATTCTGGCCCCAGAGGGTGGTGGGAGTCTGAGTGACATTTCATTAACCCTGTAAAGACTCATTTTAGCACATGCTGGCTCAAGAAAATGGCTTAAAAACAGGAAAAACGTGCCTACAGTATCCCTTTAAAGTGCATAAAGAACAAGCAGGATCTGTATTGTGAATAAAAACAACATTTGTTTTCAAATAGCATTAAAACACCCTTGAAATCAAAACAAATGGGAACTATTATATTGTGTGTACTTGATTTCACCTCAACAAAACACTTTAGTGACCTTTTTCATCTTGACCTTGTGTCATCAGTGAAAACTGTTCATTAACGTATGATTAAAATGTTGTTATATTGATATAAAAGTCCCTTTAGCTATACTCGCCTTTATATATTTGGTACATTTTCCTGGAACTTGATTGGTTAAAAAAGCAGCAACTAAAATCCTGTCACCAGTTGCCATAGTAGCAAAGACACTCAGGAAATTTTACATTTCTTAACACACGGATACTCAGACTTTATTCATTTTACTGGGATTCCCCAGCAATAAAGCCCGCGTTTGCCTGCCAAACAGCACAGTTTTCCTTTGCAACATCCTAAAACCTTGAGGAAATTCTTGCCCCATGTTTCCGTTTGTGTGGCGCTCATGCACTCCTCACATTGTGACTCATGTGACCATATGCTTTTTTCCATTGCTCAGCAGACCGTTGCTGACCGCTGGCAACATGTCTCAAGCGTCCATCCCCTAACCGACCTGTTGTTGTAACAGAACGATCACATTAGTGTTTTTGCACTTAGATTGTAAATTTATGGTAAAGACAGGTGTTCATTTTGGAGTCTTGAAGGAAGCACAAATCACCTGATTGCAGATGATCCACTGTGTCATGTTGCCTTATATCTCTTTTTATGCATGCATGTGTGATGATGGGTGGTGTATTTCTCACAGAAAACAATGCAGGAGAACATGTTGCAGCTGCTGTGTGGTGTGCTGTGAATTGGATGTTCTTTAATAAAACACTAAAGATGATTCTTCTCTTTTTCTTCTTTCTTAGAAACTCTTTAGATTTTAATGGAAAAGTTAGATTAATTCATAAAAGTTATTTTTAAATGTTTTCCTGCAGACTTTGTCCAGCCCTGTATAACTCTTGGAAATAAAATAAATAATAATACAATATAAACTCCTGGATTTAATTTACATTGTGTTTCTCACAGTACCTATGATGAAAATTACAGACCACTCTTCTTTTTAAGTGGTAGAATGTAATATACTCAGTGTGTGTGTGTGTGTGTGTGTGTGTGTGTGTGTGTGTGTGTGCGCGCACGTGTGTGTGTGTGTGTACATTTTCGTGGTCCTAACTTGTTTTTAGAAGCTTACCAGTTAGTTTTAGAGGGATGATGTGAATTAACTTTTAGTTAAGGTTAGGGTTAGGCGTATACAGTCACAAAAATGAATGGAAGTAAATGGATGGTCCTTACTATTATAGAAAGACAGACGTGTGTGTGTGTGTGTGTGTGTTTCCCACTTTTTCCTTACCAAATTTCAGTGTACAGGTATGTAGTGTAACCAGTTTTACTAGTTTGTCATAATTAGGAGACAATATATTTCATTTATATTTTATTTATTTAAAGGACAATATAATAGTTTTACACTGAAAGGTTACATTTCCTTCTAAGTCAGCTGTTTTCTTCTCCAGCTTTTCTTTTTAAAGTGGTTCAATTCAATTCAAAAATACTTTATTAATCCCAGAGGGAAACTGATTGCTGGAGTAGCTCAGAATAATAATAATAATAATCAAGTCATCAAAGAGTTGTTGTATATAACAATGGCTGTTGGCAGGAAGGATTAGAGCCCTGCACGGGCCTGAAATCTGAGCCCGAAAAGGTTTTCAGGATTCTCTGGCCCGACCCGAGCCCAACTTTTTTTTAACCAACTAAATGAAAACAAAGTGCGTCAATCCTGTTAAAAGACGTGCAGGATCCGATCAATTTGTTTTCCCCTCATTTACCGTCACGGAGATGACGGCGCCTGGCTCTGGTGTTAATCAAGTTTAATTATATCTCTTTGCAACAATTTTCACAAGAAAACAGAACAGTTAAAAGCAGGGCTTGTGTTGACCGGATAGTTCCCGTATTTGACCGTTTATTTTGACGGAGAAAGAATAGAAAGAATTATCCCGACGCATGCAGACAAACTGACATTTTATTCTACGCACATCGCAGATGTAGCTAAATCACCCAAGAAAAGATTCCCATCTGAACATCTGAGCTGGACACCGCTCAGCGCAGCTCGCTGTCAGCGCATATGTCCACAGCGAGCTGAAGTTGTGGAGATTGGCTTGGAGCGCGTCGCAGAAGCAGAGCGCATGCGGGAAGATTCCTCCCACTGAAGCGAGCGTTTTCCAAACCCTGTCGCTCAGAGAGACTTGTCACTTAGAAAATGTTCCCTGATGATGAAACTTTGGCTGAATAGCGCTTGTTCCTGTCTCCAATGTGGCGACACATCCAGGAGCCGCCTGACGAGAAGCCCAGAATCTCACATCCTCTTCAGCTCAGAAAGCGTCGATATGATTACGCACAAGCGTGACCCGTCAACCCGGTCTCACAGTAAGACCGGGATGGGCCTGTTCAGGTTAACGCAGACAATCTTTACATAGAATTGACTTACAGATTAAAGCAGAAGCCTGATGGCTTGAACCAAATCCAGTAAACAGGAGCGACTCAGAAGTTATTTCTTGTACCCCTAAGGCCTGGAATATACTTGCTATTTATGAATGTGTATGCATGTTTAAAATGGCTGCCACGCATAACTTGCATTGATTTGAAGTGTAGTTTGTGTACGTCCCCCAAAATTAACATGACGCATCCAAACGTTGCAATATCTGAGTAACCAGTGGGTGGAGTTGACAATACAAATGAGACACACTCCCCATGGTGACTCCGTCTCTGGTTTAGAGATCTTTCCTACAATCTGCGATACTGTTGCTGTCTTTTTTCTCTTGTGATCTCAAAATTAACCAGTTAATGATCTCTTCTCTTAACACCATGTTTGTTTTGGTTGTACCCCACAAACCCAGCTCTTTTCTCAGTGTGAGTTCTCTACTGTGCCCCTAGTGGAACACTCTAATACTACATGCAGTGCAGTACCGTGCAGCAGCTAGCATGTGAACAAAGACTTTTGCCCGATCACACTGCGATTTTTGGCCGTCTTGGCCAAATCACTCACCCTGAGCAGAATCGTGACAAAAAATGGTCAAACAGTCTCTAATTATTGTCTCCCTATGTTATCATCATTTTATTGTGCTTATTTCTTAATTGTAATTTTTGCGTATCACTTTGTTGTCTTGTACCGCAGCAGTTTCCTAATGTTGTAATTCTCGCACATATGATGGGTATAAAACCCTTCTGAGTGTCTGCCCTGGGACTGGGAGATCGGAGTCCAAAATCCCGGTCGGGTCATACCTTATATTTTATAAAGATGGGACCCAATGCTTCCCTGCTTGAAACTCAGCTTTAAGGGGTTGGGTTTGGGGTTGAAATCACCAAATAGTTCCTGAGTGCAGCCACAGTTGCAGCTCACCACTCTCCATGGGGATGGATCAAATGCAGAGGACAATTTTCACCACACCCGTGTGTGACAACAATGGGACTTTAATCTTTAATCTACTTCAGTTAAATTACTGTGTGTGACTTGTCTTCACTTGTCATTTACAATCTGGTGTTGATCCGTAGCTGTTAACAGTCAAAACCTATGGAACTGTAGTGAGAAAGTGACTCTGTTTAGAAAATGGACTGCAGTAATCAAATGTGACCACAGACGTCATTCTTTCTGCTTTTTTACACAATGCACCTTTAATTTGGTATTTTAACATTGAAAAATATTTTAATTCTGTAATGTCCAGAAAGGGTCCATTGTGACCTACATATTGACCTACATAGTGACCGGTCATCTACAGAAACAAGTCAACTATCTAGGTTGATTTTCTATTCTATCTTCTAACACCCAGAAGATTCTCCAGTGCTTGTTGACATTCCATGAAGACAAGATTGTCAAACTGGGTCTCCAAACAAAAGCTGTCCTCTTATCTCAGACTGCCGGATTCCACACTCTGAATAAGAAGTGAACTTTACAACTCATACGTTAAATAATCATTACATAATTATATGGTTGAATGAACCAAATATTCTATGAAATGTTTCAATAATCTGTGCCCAATTCAGTGAAGTTGAAATGAATATTGTTTTTCCAATGATACATTTATATCATGATCAGTACTGTTTGATTTAACAAGGTAATCATTATCTACACTCGTACACGATGTTCATTAGATGCAAATTAAGGTTAAGGCCATCTCACATAAAGTTTAAAGATTCTTTATCCACAGAATTAGAACCGCACCCACAACACACATTACATCACCGCATACACACTCCATCACATATCGTTATTCATAGCTTGTCATGTATTATCATTAGTTTAGAAAAGAATAAAATTCATTTTAACTATATACTTGACTCTGCCTGAATTACTACGAAGTGTGTTTATAGTCCCTGAACAAGCAAAGAATCCTAAACTCTTCTGGTTAAACATTCAAAGATCACTCAGGTTGATATTTCACATTTATATGGAATCATCACATCTTACTGGTCATAATTAACTATGCAGTATAGTTACGCTGTAAAGTGTGACGCCACAATCCCATACATACAATATAAACTTACAAATACTAGATACTGGAGATTCCTCACCTCGATTTTATTTTGGTGGGCTTTCATTTTTTCATTTCCGAGTAAACTGAATATTTAGTTAGAAACCACCACGTTTTATTTAGATTTCATTATTTAGGTTATATCGCAACGGCTCCCTGTTTATTTTATTCATTGTTAATAATAATGTTAACAGCACATTAAAGGCAGCTTTTAGCACCCCACCCATAAAGACCACGGCTGCTGAACAAGGCAACAAACGAAAGACTGGTTGATCTGGCTTCTTCAGCCACCGCTTTTATTATGTTTTATAGCTGGGTGGTGTTGCCTCCCGCCCCTCAGCTGGGCTCAAATTCATCTTTTCATCTCCAGGAGGAAGGAATCAGCTCATCTTTAACTGCGACCATAACTCAGCGCGAGCAGCTTTCCCAAACAGAGGCACAGTGACCGCGTTCAGAGCGCGAGGACGCCCTGCCCCTCGGGTCCTCGTCACCGAGAGCCTTCCTCGTTATAAAAAATGAAAATACGTCCTCTGCAGCTGCTGTGCCCAGATGAAAGCCCTCACTGCAACACCAACTCCTGTCTGGCAGGATTCTGAGCCGTAATCTGCCGCTGCCGCCGGGCCGGACATGAGTTTAGTGCGGGTGGAGAAGCGGCAGCGGGGCGCAGCATGAGGGAGGCGCGCCGCGCCGCGGCGGGCTGGCAGGAAACTCGCACCGACTCGGAGTGACTGCCTTTCCCAGATTTTTCCAGGAATCGGGAAGACATCGTGCGGGCATCGCAGGCCAGGGAGGGTCCGCTCAAGTTGAGATAAGAAGGAAAAGAGTAATGATCAAGCTTCAAGCAGCAGCTCCTCAGCACGAGTTCCTGTCAGGTATGGAGGATCATCAGAGCCAGAGTAATTATACGTGTTGCACATTTCTCTTCTAAAGTCAGGTACTCTGGTGTGTGTGTGTGTGTGTGAGTGTGTGTGTGTGTGTGTGTGTGTGTGTGTGTGTGTGTGTGTGTGTGTGTGTGTGTGTGTGTGTGTGTGTGTGTGTGACAGGAGGAAACAAGTCCCTGGGAGGCTGGAGACCCTGAGATGACGGTCCATCACTGCACACTGCTTTGCCTGGGCGTCCTGCTGCTGACGGCTGGCATCATCATGGCTCTTTACTTTGACGGTCCCGCAGCGCCGTTATTTATGCTGGGGATCTTTCTGGGCCTAGGGGGTTTGTGTCTGGTGGTTGCGGGAGTTTGCGTGGCCCTGAAGAACCTTCAGGTGACTGTCCCAGTCCCAGGTCACTTCCTTTTGCACCCCCGCACGGGAACGCGCTTCAACCCGCAGCAGGCCCTAGCCATACAAAGGTACACAAGTCCAACACCTACAACTAACCGTCTAAGCTGAACACTACTGGTGAAACAAGTTATTAAGTATTAGCATGACATTTGTTTGGCTGCTTGTGATTGATGAGATACAGACGCACGAGTAGAAATCACACCACAGACTCAGAGTTGTACAAAATAACCTTGCAGGTTGCGTCAGCATGTTAATGGGCTTGTAGTCAGCAGGTATGAGGGACATGGTCCTCGTCTTAAATTACAGTTAGTATGCTAAGATGCCCTGAATCGGCTTGCAGCTCAGAGAAAAGACAAACTGAATCTGAAAAGGAGACAGAAGGAGGCGTGCGCAGAAAAATCACAACTCCAGTTGTGATGCACTAAAGCTGATCATAAAAATGGTGAACCCACAGGAAAGCCCTGACACAGAGAACAATGTAAACAAACCAGCTGAGAGTTTTCAGGCTTCCCTTAAAACTCTCACACGAGCAGACAGATACCAGACTAGGTCATCCAGTGGTCTATTTTTAAACAGATCTCTGGAGAAGATCACATCATATTATTTATAAATCACAACCTAACAAAGGCCAGTGAGGCACTCAGGAAAACTCAAATCTTCTAAAAGTAGGTCAGAGAGGAAAAAAGCAGGCATGTGGTGGAGTCCTGCACGGATTGTTGGAGGAGATAAAATCTAGGATCATTCTGCTCTTTGTTGAAGAGAGGTGCCAAGAACACGACTTCATTAGTGTGGATGAATGAATGAATGAATGAATGACTTTATTTATAGAGCACATTTCCTGTACGACAACAACTCAATGTGCTTAACAGTAAAAGAGACTAAATAAAAGAAACAATTATAAAATATGTACACCCTTAAAAACAATCAGTGTTTACATGTTAAAATATACACATGAAACTAAAATCTACACATTCAAACATACACACACACACACACACACACACACACACACACGCACACAAACATCTATACACGTATTTGCACATGCATCCATGCACAGCCATAAAACATAACTGTAAGTGCTTATTTATGAATAAAACTATGTCTATGAAATGAGGAAATAAATTAGAAATGAAACAACCTAGCCATATGTTTGTTGAAATAAAAAGGTTTTTAATTTCTCCTAAAAATATTTGTTGTAGCTGCTTCCCTCTTCTCTAAAGGCAGAGTATTCCAGATCTTAGGTGCATAGACGCTGAAGGCAGCCTCCCCTGACTTAGAACGTGTATGCGGTATCACCAGATTGCCCGGATCTGCAGACCGGAGTGGTCTGACCGGTGTATAAGGTACTAGCATGTCTGTAATATGTTGTGGTGCGTGGCCATTGAGAGCTTTTTATACAAGCAGTAGGATTTTAAAATCAATTCGTTTTTCAACTGGTAGCCAGTGCAGAGATCTTAAAAGAGGAGTAATGTGTTCAGAATTCTTTGTACCAGTCAGAACACGAGCAGCCGCATTCTGAATCAGCTGCAATCTGTAAATAGCGTACTGAGGAAGGGCAATTAAAAGACCATTACAACAATCGAGCTTGCTGGTTATGAATGCATGGATTAGCTTTTCGAGGTCAGTTCTTGAGACAAAATGTTTGATTTTAGAAATGTTACGTAAATGAAAAAATGCTATTTTAGTTGTATGATTAATGTGTTTTTTAAAATTCAGGTCTAAAAATACACCCAAGTTTCGTGTTTCATTTTTACATTTAAGAGACAGAGAGGCGAGAAAGTCTACCACTGTCTGTCTCTGTGCGTTCGGACCAAATACCAGAATTTCTGTCTTGTCTTGATTCAATTGTAAGAAATTTTCAGACATCCAGGCATCCATATCCTTCATACATTCTATAAGAGAGTGAAGAGGAGCTGTATTACCAGAAGACAATGACATATAGAACTGCAGGTCATCTGCAATAGCGACCAAGGATAGAACCTTGAGGAACACCACAAGTAACCACTAATTTTTTGGAGTTAAACCCCCCAACGGACATAAATGCCTGCCTATCTCTAATGTATGTTTGGAACCTACTAAGAACTGGACCGGAGAAACCAACCCAGTGTTCTAGCCTCTCTAACAAAATGTCATGATCAACTGTATCAAATGCAGCACTAAGGTCCAGAAGGACAAGAACAGTTACTTTGCCAGAGTCCGTGCTTATGTGTAGGTCATTAACAACCTTAATGAGAGCTGTCTCTGTGCTGTGGTCACTGCGAAAGCCAGACTGGTAAGTATCAAAGATGTTATTTGATGTAAGGTAACGATTGATCTGAATAAAAACTGCTTTCTCCAGAAGTTTACTAAGAAACGGTAAGTTTGAGATCGGTCTATAATTGGAGAACGCAGTTGGATCAAGGCCACTCTTTTTTAGCAAGGGTTTAATGACGGCTATTTTTAGTGCGCTGGGAAACATTCCTGATTGAAGTGACAAATTAATGATTTCCAAAACATCAGATTTGACACGGGAAAATATTTTTAAAAAAGATTGTTGGAATAGGATCCAGGCAGCAAGTGGACGATTTGAGTTGTTTAATCAGGATATCTAGTGCTTTACCATTTAAAAGCTCAAAATGAGTCATAGTACAGAGTGCGGTACTGGACTGCTGTTGTACGAGGTCATAATTGGATCTGGAAATATTCTGCCTAATGTTCACAATTTTACTGTTAAAGATGCAAATTCCTCACATTTTGCTAAAGATGACATCTCAGCAGGAAGACCAGAAGGAGGATTTATAATCTTATTGAATGTAGTAAAAAGGACTTTACTATTGTTAATATTTTCATTTATAATTTTAGAAAAGAAGTCAATTCTGCTTCTTTTCATTCGTTGTACTCATAGAGTTGGTCCCTGCAATTATCATAATGAATTTGAAGTTTAGATTTCCTCCACCGCCGATATTTCCTCCTTAAGGCTCGGATTTCGAGCCCTTTCCTCCATGAGGGTTTGTGTTGTTGTATGCGTCGAGTTTGAAAGGGTGCAACTTGATCCATTACATTTTCCAATTTTAAGTTAAAATTCATCACTGTTTGCGATCTTGTAGAGGCAGGCAATTTATATATAATTTCCTTAAAGTTTTCTATTGTGCTATTGTCTATAAAACGTTTTCTGGCTTCCTGAGGGTTATGCAGCTTGTGAGGAACAGCTAAAACATTAAAAAATAAACAGTAATGGTCAGACATAGCCATATCTATAATTGCAGGAGCAGTAACATTAAGACAATTCGGTATAACTAAATCTAAAGTGTGACCTTTGTTGTGAGTAGGCCCACATACATGCTGAGTTAAACTGAAGGCATCAAGGATGCTAAAAAGTTGTCTCACTTCTGGGGCCTCCTGTTTATCCACATGAATATTAAAATCACCGAAAATAAGTAACTGCTCAAAATCTATAGAAACCTTCGATAGTAATTCAGATAATTCCTCATAAAACTCACACTTTGTTTTTGGAGGACGATAAACTGTTATTATCAGTATTGGATTCTTGCATTGAACGGATAAAGCAAGATATTCAAATGATAAGAATTTGCCTAAATTAATGTTTTTGCAGCCATAAGAGTCAGAGAAAACAACAGCCACCTCCCTTTTTACCTGATCTGGTGGTGTGAATAAAATTAAAGTTATGAGGCACAGTCTCATTGAGCACAGCGGTTCCAGTTTGCTCTGACCAAGTTTCAGTCAAAAACATAAATTCCACAGAATGAGTGGTTATTAGGTCGTTTACAATCAAAGACTTATTAGTTATTGATCTGACATTAAGTAAGGACATCTTGATGTAATTTTGTTTTGGTCTAGTAGGCAGAGTCCGAACCAAATGTACATTGTTTAGATTCCTGCGATTCACTGTAGAATTGCTGTGATTAGGCCTATGGGTAATAATAACAGGTATCAGTGATGCATACTGATAATCACTAATATGGAGCGGACTCACTGAACATCCAGATTTCTATTGGATGAGGTTAATGTAAATTCTATATTCTTGTCAGGATACGAGACCCTAGTGAGTTTGGATGAACCCCATCAGTTTTAAAAAGATATGAGCGATTAAAAAAGGCCATAAAGTTGTCCACGGACAGAATGCCAAGTTTACAGCGGTAGCCCTTCAGCCATGTGTGAAGCTGAAGAGCACGAGTGAACTTGACGTCTCTGAAGCTGGGGCAAGTAAAGGGCCAGAGATAATGAGTCGCCGATCTGATTGAAGAAAAGTGTCAATAATGCACTTAAAATCAGATTTGAGTATCTCTGACTGCATATTCCTCAGGTCGTTGTGGCCGATGTGTGGAATGTAGATGTTCCTGCCTTCAGACCAAACTCTCACTGATGGGTATTACAACCTTTATTATACATTGTATTATCACATCTAGTATGTTAAAATGTTTGTAAAGTTAAGACAAAAGAAAGGGGATTTCAAATATCTAGAATAATACCCCATCCACTTCTTACTCTCCCATCGAACCACCTTCCTCCCAATCATGGTCCTTCTCTACTCCTCTCATTCAGGAAAACATGACACCAACTTCATGCCCTGTTGATATTCTTCCACCACTTTGTTTCTTAAGACTTTTGACCTAGTTGGCCCATTGTGGATTTTATTAATCTATCGCCAATCTGGCTCTGTACCTTCTGTTTTCAAACATGCAGCTGTTGAACCTGTCCTTAAAAACCCAGTTTGGCGTCCTCTCAGCCTAAAACAATTTCTCTATAATTATAGAAAAGGTTGTGGTAGATCAACTGATTACTTTTCTGGAATTACACAATAGTTTTGATAAATTCCAGTCTGGTTTTCGTAAAAAGCATTCAACAGAAACAGCTTTGCTTAAAGTTTCCAGTGACATCATGATGGCTGCAGACAACGGGGAATTCACAGTGTTGGTATTGTTAGATCTTTCTTCAGCTTTTGACACCGCTGATCACAGCACCTTAACTAAGAGACCATGACTCGGTGGAGATCTCTGGAACGGTTCTAGACTGGTTTATATCGTACCTTTCTAACAGAAGATACAGTATCTGTATAAACCAAATCATGTCAGATTCTACCGATCTGTTCTGTGGGATACCCCAAGGCTCTGTTTTGGGGTCACTGCTGTTTCTACTGTACATACACCCTCTTGGACAGAAAATTGATTATTTTCATAATGTCTCTTATCACCTATATGCAGATGACATTCAGCTGTACTGCTCCTTTAAGCCTGCCGCACAAGAGAGCAAACTGCTGAGCCAACAGTCGTTGGAGGCCATTTGCTCAGCAGACACTGAGTGTGCCTCACTGTGTGTGCCTAATTTTAGCTGAGTTTTCTGCCTCATGAGACAATGAGGTGAAAATCAAACTGATTTGATATTTTTCGCCTCACCATGTGCACCCAGCGTGAGCTTCCGGCTGAACTGAACTATTCTAGTGGCCAATCAAAGCGCGTTCTCCTCTCACATGATTCAAAGTTGTATTCAGATGCAGCCCCCTGTCTGCATGTCGGAAAAATAAACAAAATTGTACCTTGCAAATTGATGGGCCCACTTTTTCCTTTACCCCCTCGAAGGATTTAGGATCCAGGCGGCGATACTGTCAGAAGGGTTCTGGGTCTTCAAGGCGCATCTCTTGGAGTAGATTGGCATAAACTCTTTGCCTGGCACCTCTTTGCCACCATACCCATACTTTCCTAATTTTGAAATTACGCTGGCTGCGACGCCTCATCAACAATAAAAGTAGAAGCATTTCCTCCATTTCCAGCTCAGTCTTTTGTTTATTGTCTGATATTCAGAAAGGGGACTGCCATCTTGGAATCATGTGAGCGGAGAACGTGCTTTTGTTGATCTTTGTGAAGCACTATGTGATTTTTCTTTCTGTAATGAGTGCTATATATATATATATATATATATATATATATATATATATAACATACAGCTTACCATTAACACTTTCACATGACAGTTGTCTCTCGAGTTCAAAGCCAAAACCTCTGCTAACAAAAGCAAACAGTCGTCTCACATTTACCCAAAAACATCTTATGATCCCCAAAATTTCTGGTAGACTATTCTGTGTCCCAATGAGCCAAAAGGTGGTAAGCCATTCTAAATATGTAAATATATAGTCTGGCTATGACTCATGGACAGAGCTCGGTCATGGAAGGCTCTACGGCTGTCTTTCAAACTGTCTCCGCAATCAGACAGCACTATTAGAGTAAATAACTACATAACACATTAACCAATACAGAAACCATTCAATGAGGCAGTCTGCCATGTTCCATTGAAGAAGAGGAAGATGAAGTAGGTACATTCTTTTTCAAAATAAATCACTGAAGTACCTCTATCTGCTCATATCTCAAAGAAAGGCTCAAGTCTAATCGTTCAGAATTAACGTCAACGCTGTTCCAAACGAGCACTGTTCTAGAGGCGACGACATTTTAGTAGTTTTTTTCTTTGTTGCAAATGTGGTGCTAAGACTGCCCAACGTCTCTCTGCAAATAGAGAGCTGCCATTGGGCTAGACCTAAAGGCTGATTCATGCTTCTCCGTCTGCATCAGTGCGGAGACATGCAACGCCATTATCCGTTCTTGCGTAGGGCCCCGGCAAGCACGCAAGTTTGTACGGAGTTGAGCCCACTTTTTTAAACATCCGTCGAACGAGGCGGAGAACGCAAGCTTGTGATTGGTCAGGGCACCGCTGTCATCTACACCGCCACCAATGCGCCCTCAAAAACATAAAGAGAGCTGAGGATAACTAGCGGCAGACGGAGAAGTTTGAAGAATACCTCGTGAAAAAACTCTAAATTATGAACGTTTAATTCTCCCGTGACTGGAGGAGTGAAAAGATGCGCAGCAAGCATTTTATTTGTGGACGGAAATGAAGGAAACGTGGGTTTAGAGGTGGGGAGCGCATGAAGAGGTGGAGAAGAATGAGAGACAAATATGTCCGTGTTAAAAGTCTCTTATACACACAAAAAACACAACATAAATACACTATCTTGGACCGGATACATGAAAGGATACCACAGAACAGCGCTACGCCCTCTGCTGTCCTGGTGGGGAATTGCTTTGCAACACTCTCCAGGAGACGGAGAAGTATGAGAGCAAAACACTTCCGTCAATCCGTGCACGTCTGTCCCTTGTGGAGCTGACGGAGGAGCATGAACCAGGCTTTAGGCTACAATGGAGCATGACTAGGCCAACCTGCAGAGCAAGATCTTTAGCTACTCTACAGTGTGTCTAGATATTCTAGGCAAGTGTAGATCTTCACCTGGGGTCAAACTAGCTCTGGATTTCAGAAACAGAACATCCATTCATCTGTCAAACATGGTGGTGGTAGTGTGATGGTCTGGAGCTGCTTCGCTGCTTCAGGATCAGGACCTCTTGCACTAATTGGTGGAACCATTAATTCTGCTCTAGCAGGAAATCCTGAAGGAGAATGTCTGACCTTTGACCTTAAACAGGACATTTCAATGTAACAGAATCAAACAATTAGTGGGACAAAACCGCTTCACAGTGATGTGAGCAATCATTAGCAGTTAGCATTTAGCTCCCCATATGCTATCAAGTTTAGTGGTCAGTTATCTGGATTACCCTTTTCCTAAATAAATGGAATCACGATTTGAAAACAGCTTTTTATACGTACTCAGGTTGCTTTTGTTTGGTGATGTAAAACCTTTATGTATGACAAAAATGCAAAAACAGAAAACTCCTGAGAAGTGTAACGTAGAAGTTACTAAGGATTTAAATACTAGTAGTGAAAGTCTGATTATGTTTCTGAAGTCTGATAAAAGTGTTTACATGTGAACACTATAGTAAAGTTACTGCACACTAACCTCTGTTCTTATGACCTTTCCAAAATTGTTTCATCAGGAGGTTGGATCGAATTCGTAGGGAGATGTCAGCGGATTCTGTCATCAGGACACCGGAGCCAGAACCTCCCCTGCCATCCACCCCCCCTCCCTGGACCATGGAGCCCCCTCCATCCTATGACATGGTGATGAAGAGCCAGGAGAACAGTCAGCAGCTTTAACCTCTGATGGACATCTTAGATTCACTTCAGTGCCTGTCATGGGTTCGTAGTGAGACCTGCATGGGCCCGTGGATGAACTCACTACAGCCTGTTCCTTTTTTTGTGCCTTATGACCAAAGCTGTGGGACAGTGCAACAATCAGGGTCCCATTCTGAGGAAAATACTAAATAAACTACAAAGCCATTTAATAATAAAACACTATTTGTTTTGTTAAGTTTTATATCTGCCACTTTTTATCTGAAATGATCATCTGAATGCTCTTAAGTGATGAAGTTTGATTTTGTAAGTGTGTGACATACTTCTGAAAACACACGAGCTTGTGTTTATATCAAGGCTTCAACTGACAAACATGCTGACACCATTCATCCTGCCATCTTTGGAATTCATGCATTCATTCAGGACCACAAGGTGCTGAGGTCTGCTACAGCGACCACCGGGTAAAGGTTCCTATAGCTGGTCACTGGGTCAACACACACACACACACACACACGCGCGATTAATTCAAACCCAATAGTTAAGCAGACGTTGGTGTTGTTGGATGGTGGAAGGAGACCGCAGAAAGACCACACACGCACAGAAAGGCCCGCAAAGACAAGATCAGAACCACCATTAAACACCTGGTTGGTTAATTATTGCACAGCCATTCTTACTATTAGCCCCCCAGCAACAGGAAATAGTCATTTTAGAAAAGGAAAGGATGGATTTTATAGTTTTGTTAAAAAAATAAAAATAAAAACATGTTTCTTGTAAAAGGCTATTACACACAAGGCTGGTGCACCTGGTGACAAATGGAGATTTGTCACTAATAACAGTAAAAGGAAATATTAAGTGGGCTGAATTTAAATGTGGTGGGTAAGCTGGACTTGAACTACCAATCGTCTGATATCGCTTTACTTTCTGATCTAAAGAAATAAACTATTCACATTTTTACGTGTGCTGGTGTTTAGCACCTTCTGCCCTAAATGATGTGTAACATTAGTCAAAAACACCAGAAACTGTAAATGTAATTCTAAATTGCCTAAGATGTCCAGTAAAGAACATCGCTATTAGCTGCTTGGTAGTGGCTCAAAAACATGTGTGGCTCTGCTGCCGTAAACATTTATGACATTATTTCCAGGAGCAGAGGTTCCTGTGAATCGTGGTCCACTTTGCTGCAGTAACACACACTTGCTGCTTCAGACAGCCGTCACGTTTTCAGATTGTTCAGCAGTTGTGTTCTGTGGAAATCTCATCCGAGCCTAACCGTAACGTTTATCACATTACCAACACGGTGTGCCAACACAAAGGGATTTCCTGCTATTCTGAGGAAGCCAGTCCAGTAAAGTAATTCTCTTGGTGTTCACTTTCAAACACAAAGGTTTGTTTTTGCTTTAGCAGACAACAACAAATCAATCCCTGTTTTCTGTCAGGATTGTTAAATCTGCGCTCCAACAAGACATAAAAGCTAAGAAGGAAACTGTTTATGTAAGTGGTTATGTGTGGGCCTATAGTCAGATCCAACCAATCAAACGGTTCATTTCTCTAAGTGTTACTTTATTTAGTCTAATTTGATGAGATGAGTCATTAAGTAAAATTAAATCTAAACCCCAGTTTTTCTAATCAATACTTTAACAGAACTATGAAGGACCTTTGTGTTTATTTGTTGTAATGATACGTGGCAATAATTAACCCCTCTGCATCTCCTTCATTTATCCCGGTCTCTTTTCAGGTCAGACGCACGCTGCTCATTTTTACTGATGAGCTCTGCGGGACTTCTACAGAACTGCAGGTCCAGTTCTTCCACGTCTGATCTCTCAGTGCAGTCTGATCCCGTCTTACCTTCTCATCACAGATGAGACTCCACCTACAGATTGACTTCTCCAAACTGAGGCTGATCGTGGAGCGACCTAGAAATTAATTATTCAAACCCTTCCTCAGAAATCTACTTGAACGACATTTCCTGTTCACCAGAATGCTGCAGCTGGAAGGCACCCTGATACAGACGGAGCTGCACGATGAAACATGTCAATGTCAGGAAAAAACGCGTTCAAACGTTTCACTACTTTTGCATGTCACACACACACACACACACACACACACACACACACACACACACACACACACACACACACACACACACACACACACACACGAGTTTTTATGGGTTTGTGTGGACTACGTTTTCTGAGTTGTTTGTGTGGACCCTGACTTCCACTATAGCCAGAATGGTGCAAAAATTATGTTTAACTCTAGGTGGGACAAAGGAAGCTTCCTCTAGGACTTTGATTGTGTGGACCGGGTAAATGTCCACACAATGGTGAATGTCCACACAATTTTGGTCTCCCGTCAGGGGTTGGTCCACACAAACCCATAAAGACAAGTGCACACACACACACACACACACACACACACACACACACACACACACACACACACACACACACACACACACACACACACACACACACACACACACACACACACACACACACACACACTCTCTCTTCTGTTTGTGCTTGTGCAGAACAGCTTTACAGCACTAATGCAATGCGTTGTGTGTGTTAGTATCCTCTGCTGGAGCACAGTGTCTGAATAACAGAACAACGATGTTTACCTCTCTGCTTTGTATCCCCTCTTTGCAGCATGCACACTGTTTATTCTAACATTCTTATAAACTTCAACCAATAAAAGGTTTTCTGAAGCCGTTACTGCATGTTTATGTAAAAGGAGGTGAGTCCCAGGAGCCGTGGAAAAGTCCACCAACCAGACGAACATGGACGGTCAGCTGATCCGAAGCTCGTAGGTGAGATTCCTTTTTGCCAGCAGCCTGAAGCAAGGTGACTTATCAGGTACACACACACACACACACACACACACACACACACACACACACACACCCACCCCACGTGCACACACACACACACACACAGATTTCTACCTGACCTGAGCAGGGTGACTGCAGGCTATAATGAGCAACAGAGTGGAACGTATTTCTTCACCTTCAAGCCCCGGTACACAGCAGAGTAAAGCCTTCCCTCAGACTCAGGTTCTCAGGTGCACACTCCTGGCTCAGCGGTGGCAGTCGTGATGATGGTGGAGGGAAAACCGTACAGATACGGGCTGATCGTGGCCGGCCTGTGTGTGGTGGCGGTCGGCCTCTTCATCATGGTGCAGGAGAGGCCACACGTCTATGTCACCATGTGTGTTCTGGGAGCCACCATGGTGTGTGTTGGGACTGCGTGGAGCCTCTGCCAGTGCTATCCCAAGGTAGATTCAGAGTGTGTGGCACAAAAAGTGTTTCAGGAGCAGATTTGGTAACAAAACGCGTGTTTGTCAGGTCATTGTGATGCCTGTGCCTGAGAGGGAGAGCCTGGAGGATTTAGTGTGTTCTACTGCTGAAGCTAAAGATGAAAGGTACTGTCTCACACACACACACACACACACACACACACACACAGTACTGTTCCTGTTATTTAGGTCTTCCTGATTCCCCATGGTCCATCTGCCTATCTGAGACTGCTGAGTGTCCATCATCTAATCTGAACACGGTGACAGCAGCAGTGTGAATAGAGAAGTGAGGATTGCTTTGAAATCATATTACAATCTCCACTTCATGGAAAGAGCTTCTCGAGTGGATTTAATGGGAAATCTAAAAAAACGATAATGTGACCGAGGACGGTTAGATTAGCTGGTACCACGAACACAGAAAACTGTTAACAAAGACGTTGTCCCTGATCCTGGGCCTGTCCGTAATTAAACAAGAGCTCAGCAGCCTGATAAAGATGTGCACACTCAGCAAAGATCTACTTCAGAGGCAAATAAGAAAGTAAGAAAATGGGACACAACGCTCAAACTGAGCTTCTATTTCTGTCTCTTCCTTTCTGGATCATTTCAGGCACACGGAAGCTTCGTTGGGTTTGTCGGGCAGCAGGGTTGTTCTTCCTGAGGTTGTGAAGAGTCAGTGTCGCAGCTGCCCCGCACTGCATCTGGTCTGAGGAACAGACAACCTGATCTGAGTAAACTTCATGCAAAACACCCCAGAACACTGGACTGCACTCAGGAAAGAAAGGAGATCTGATGATGTCATCATGTATTAAATCACCTGATGAGAGAAAGGGGTAACAATGATTTACGTAGGATTCACAGAAGATGGCGCTGTTCACAGCGACGTATAAAGATGCGAGTCGCTACATCAGAACCTTCAACCTGAAATGATTTACATGAAGACAGTTTCCACATTAAACTACATGTGTGTGTGTGGCTGGGGGGTCTGAAAGGAGATAGGCTGAAGCATGAGTTTTAAAACGGGGTGGATCCTACAGTTCCTATGATGGTGAGCTCTCCTCACCACAAACACGTTTAGTCTACAGGACTGAATGATCGAGTAGACGATGGGAGATAAATGAATTGGGTTCATTTGGTGACTATTAGATAGAAATTTGATTCTTATCCTAATTAGGCCAGACATTAAGCATTACTATGATTCTACTGTGACAAAGAATATTTCTACAATAACACTTGGTGCTGTTAGTAATGAATGTATTTCTGAAATTGTTCCCCAAAGAAATGAAAAAATCCATAAATGAATGAAACGAGTTCCCACTCGAGGAGGGATCACGTTCAATGGTTAGGATTTTAGTGTCGACCAACAGAGGAGTGATTGTGATTTTCTTCCACAATCAAGCAACAGAATTATGTCCACAGAGAAGTTAACGAACACTTGTAGTCAACGAGACCCAGTGGGTGAGCCGTAATGAGAGAGAGAGAGATCAGACCAGCTCATGAAAGAGGTCTGGTGACCTCCCTCTAACCCTGAACGAGCCAAGCTTCCTGTCACCTCTTTATAGATTTCTGTAATCTGGTCTGATCGTTTCCCCCCGAGAGACAAAAAGGAATAAATAAATAAATAAACAGACTGGTGTTGTGGGTTGCGTTAGGTTGAAGAGACTGGATCACTGATGCCAACAAGATAAAAATAGCTCCTACTGATGTAGGGCTACAGAAAAAACACAGTCTGATGCTAACTCGTTAGCATGGCGTAAAGTTGCTCCTGTTTTTGTTGCAGAACTCCTGACATTAAGTTCCTTCATGATCCGTAGCTGCTGAGACTTGTCTTGTGTAAAAGCACAAAGGAAACACTTCCGATTGATAGAATAGCAGCCAACTTCTCATTATAGGCGCAATTGTGTCAAAATAATCAAAGTAATAAGTTAGTTAAAAACTAAATAGTTTATTGTCTTTTTGGGAGGATTTGGACAGAACTCAGGGCTGTCCCAGTACTGGTACTTTGTGGAGAAACAGTCTTGTACCCAAGCTTTGTTGGGTATTTTTATAATTTTACCTTTTTGAGGCCTAAAAGATGCCCAATTTGTGTTATTAACACATCATGAATCTCTAGGGTTATGGAGGTTAAATATTACCCAACATTTTGGTGGAGAATGCGGGTATGCAGAGCTGGTGAGCCGAAGGCTAGAGCAGAGTGGGGGTTGGGTTTCCGCCCAGCTCTCGCATGACGATTCATGGACATTACAAATAATAATAATCTACTCTCTCTCTCTCTGTGTCGTCCTTTAAGGTACTATGGGATAAATGAAAAATTACCTATCAAGCTTTGAAAATGTTCTCAGTGTGAACAAAGTTTTCTCTGTGCCTGATTCTGCCGCACGTTGAACCTGAAATTAAGATGAACCGTGTGACTTTTGTCCAACTCAGTGGAATAAAAATAGATTTACTGAATGGATCGAGTTTGGTGTGTGAACTTAAAGCAGGATTATGGCCATATCCACCAAGGCCTTCCGCAGATGTTCCTGCAGGAATACCTGGTGTCAGTGCAGTCACGTTTGGTGGTGTTCATGAACAAGATCTCAGCCGTGGAGAAGGAGGCTGTCTGCTTTGGTAGCCTAAGGGTCTCATCTTCATCACATGACCTTCAGTGTGATCTTGGGTGCAGCAGAAGTTGAAACGGCTCAAAAGCTCTTACTGCAGGTTGAAGCCCTACCTGAAACCTTGTTGGATTCAGCCATGAACAATATGATTTGGGGCTATGTTTTAAGTGGTGCTAAACGTGTATGAGGCCAGGCCCATGGCAGGTTGGGAGTGAGTTTCTGCCTCCAGCAGAGACGTTTTAGTATCTTGGTGTCTCGTTCACAATCACAGGAAGAGGCGGGAGATGATTGTCACAACGAGGGCACGTTCCAATCCGTTGTGGTAAAGAAGGAGCTGAGTTGAAGGCACAACTCTTGATTTATTAGTTCGTCTACCTTTCAAACCTCAGCTGAGGTCATGAAATTTGGATCACGATCAAAAGACAAGAGCCTGGACACATGATGCTTCTATAGGCTCACTGGGTTATGAGGGGGAGGTTGGAAATGTGCTGCCGCTGCTGCTGCATATCACCATGAATTAGCATTAGCCATCATAATAAATTTCTGTGAAAGTGGCTGTAATAAAACAGATGCACCTGTGACCTGAAATGATAATAGGTCTGATTTTATGCCCGTTTTCATGACTGTCGTTAATTCTGCTTTTAAAGTAAAACGTACATGTGTGAAATGCTGCAACAGCGAGAACACCTCAGCCTCGCAGCTGTTGTTTCCTTTTCTTGAACCAACATTAAAACTCACTCTGGAAACAGACCCAGCAGACAACGTGAGTTCAAACATTAACAACATACAGGTGCTGGCCAGTAAATTAGAATATCATCAAAAGGTTGAAAATATTTCAGTAATTCCATTCAAAACGTGAAACTTGTACATTATATTCATGCAATGCACACAGACCAATGTATTTCCAATGTTCATTACATTTAAATTTGATATTCATAAGTGACAACTAATGAAAACTCCAAATTTGGTATCTCAAAAAATTAGAATATTCTGAAAAGGCTGAATATAGAAGACACCTGCTGCCACTCTAATCAGCTGATTTACTCAAAACACCTGCAAAGGCCTTTAAAAGGTCCCTCAGTCTTGTTTTGAAGGCACCACAATCATGGGGAAGACTTCTGACTTAACAGCTGTCCAAAAGACAATCATTGACACCTTGCACAAGGAGGGCAAGACACAAAAGGTGATTGCTAAAGAAGCTGGCTGTTCGCAGAGCTCTGTGTCCAAGCACATTAACAGACAGGCGAAGGGACGGAAAAAATGTGGTAGAAAAAAGTGTACAAGCTCTAGGGATAACCGCACCCTGCAGAGAATTGTGACGACAAACCCATTCAAAAATGTGGGGGAGATCCACAAAGAGTGGACTGCAGCTGGAGTCAGCGCTTCAAGAACCACCACGAGGAGACTCATGAAAGACATGGGATTCAGGTGTCGCATTCCGTGTGTCAAGCCACTCTTGAACAAGAAACAGCGCAAGAAGCGTCTCGCCTGGGCCAAGGACAAAAAGGACTGGACTGATGCTGAGTGGTCCAAAGTTATGTTTTCTGATGAAAGCAAGTTCTGCATTTCCTTTGGAAATCAAGGACCCAGAGTCTGGAGGAAGAGCGGAGAAGCACAGAATCCACGTTGCATGAGGTCCAGTGTAAAGTTTCCACCGTCAGTGATGGTGTGGGGTGCCATGTCATCTGCCGGTGTTGGCCCACTCTGTTTCCTGAGGTCCAGGGTCAATGCAGCCGTCTACCAGGAAGTTTTAGAGCACTTCATGCTTCCTGCTGCTGACCAACTTTATGGGGATGCAGACTTCACCTTTCAACAGGACTTGGCACCTGCACACAGTGCCAAAACCACCAGCACCTGGTTCAAGGACCATGGTATCCCTGTCCTTGATTGGCCAGCAAACTCGCCTGACCTTAACCCCATAGAAAATCTATGGGGTATTGTGAAGCGGAGGATGCAATACGCTAGACCCAACAATGCAGAGGAGCTGAAGACGACTATCAGAGCAACCTGGGCTCTCATAACACCTGAGCAGTGCCACAGACTGATCGAGTCCATGCCACGCCGCATTACTGCAGTTATTGAGGCAAAAGGAGCCCCGACTAAGTATTGAGTGCTATACATGCACATTCTTTTCATGTTCATTCTTTTCAGTTGGCCAACATTAGAGAAACAAACATTTTTTCATTGGCCTTTAGAATATTCTAATTTTCTGAGATACCAGATTTGATGTTTTCATTGGTTGTCACCTATAAATATCAAAATTAAACGTAATAAACATCGGAAATACATTGGTCTGTGTGCATTGCATGAATATAATGTACAAGTTTCACGTTTTGAATGGAATTACTGAAATATTTTCAACCTTTTGATGATATTCTAATTTACTGGCCAGCACCTCTATAGTTCACATTAACGCACGTGCACAAACATCAGTAAGAGGACGTGTTTTTTTGAGTGACAGTATTCTCAGACTGTTTGTGTGTGTGTGTGTGTGGGGGGGGGGGGGGGACGGAAGACAATCCTTCGATATAAAAGAGGTGGCGTGAGCCGCTGAGACGTCACCAGTCTCCGCCTTAAATTATAAGAATTAAATCAATTGTTCGATTTTTTATTTTTTAATTTTCTATTTTAAATCAGAGTATATGGTTGGAGGCTGTTTCTGTGAGCTGGCAGAGCACGCGGGGGCTGGAACCCCCTCTTCCAAACATCTGGACAAGTGTGACTGGAATAAAACCAGAACTCTGATCGGAGGTGTAATTGTCATCTGGGCCATTTTAACTGGAAACAGTGGAGCGGAGGTGTGCAGAATGCGTTGCGCCTGGATTGGCTGGGCGCTCTGTCTGTGCGCATCTTCGGCCGTGTGCGCGCAGGACTACTCCGAGGACGACGAGATGATCCTGGATCTGATCCGAGACGACGGGACTCAGCCCGAAGCTGGAGCAGAGCCCGCTGCGGAGTTTCTCAAGTGTAACAAGGTAAAATCATCACCCAGATCAGCAGAAGCCCATCTTTAATCAGAGATGCTATTAAATAGTTTGTCAGCGCGCGCTCGTGCCAAAACAACCAGATTATGTTCATGTTTTATTATATGGATGCTTGCATTTGGAAATAAGTCTGCACATGATAAGAGAAACATGTTAAATGACTGACTTCAATCAAATGCGTAATTTCTGGTGTGCGCGTGGACATATAGGTCACCTGTAGCATACTGTGTTTATTCCCTGTGCTGCAGGCGGCATGGCGCATGCCCGGTCAGTACCTGGTTATACTGCACCAGGGGACGCACGCGTCTCAGGTCCAGCGGACTATCCGGAGGCTGAGAGCCAAAGCAGCCAGGAGAGGCTCTCTACTGGAGATCCTGCAGACCTACTCTGGAGCTCTGCAAGGCTTCCTGGTCAAAATGAGTCGAGATGTACTTCACCTGGTAAATGTTCCTCCTAAAAGCAACTTTTAAAGAGAGAAAGTTACAAATGATGAGTAAAACAGAATTAACTTCAATATCTGAGAGAACGGGCCACTTCACATTTATATTTGCATGAAAGCTCATTAGTCCTGGTCAAAAATATACCTTTGTGTGAACTGCTGTTAGTTTGGCTGATTTAGATGATAGTTTATTAAAACGACCAATTTTAACATAATTAATATTTTATGCAGTGTAAATATTTATTCTAGTAGGGAGAACAATAATCTTGTGTTTTTAATTTCGTGTATTTACTAAAACGTTTATTTTAATGTGACAAACCCCACGTCCACATTCAAGAAGAGACACAAATCTGCTCTATCTTTAGGTTGCTTTGGAAATCTCTAATTACTAAATCCTTAACTAACATGAAAACTGCTTCAGGGTCAGCAAAAACAGTGGGATGGACAGAGATCCAGAACTCTCTTGCATGTTTTCAGTGTTTTTCCACTTCAACAATTTAATAATTAATCTGCCAATTTGATATTTGACAGAAAAATCTGTCGAATGACCAAACAAGCAAAAACTCCCCACTGTAGGTTCTTAATCGCTGGCTTGTAAATGCCTCGGAGTTTGAGCCTGCGTATAAAAATGAAAACATAGTGAGAACGTGTTGAGAAATCCCGTTTAACAGAGGCAGAGACTCAGTGATGTGGTGCTTCAGCTCCTCAGAAGCTTGACAACCTTCTGCCTGTTGCTATGTTGCTTCATGATGCAGAAACAAAACAAAATACAACAATAAGTCAGGTGGGAATAAAAGCATAGATGACCTTCTCGGCGTCGGTTGCTGCATGAGAGACACAAACTGATCTCTGCTGAGGTTCTACATGTAAAACCAGCTGGAACCCTTTCATCCGTACGAATTTCTTTAATAACAAAACTGTAAAAAAATTATCTCAGTATGTACAAAATCATCTATATTTAAACCTACAGCTACTTTTTCTTAACCCTTTTTATTCCCACCACCTAATCAATAATGTAAAACTACTGAAAACAGCATATTTCAGGCAGTTCAATGGGCTGATTTAAAAAGTCTTTCCACCCGTTTCCACTTATTCATGGTCCACAAAGAAACAGACATATTTCTCCCTAGCAACTACCTCCCAGACCAGTAGGTTCTGGGTCTACCCTACTGGGTCTCATCCGGACTAGAACCTCCAAAGGAAAGAATGCATCCTGATCAGATGCCTGGACTCATTTCCATGTGGAGGAGCAGTGGTTCTAGTCTCAGCTCCCAGATTGATGGAGCTTCTCATTTTACCGCTGAGGCCAAGCAGAAAGGAGGAAGCTCATTTCAGCTGCTTTTAGTGAGACATCTAGGAGGGAGTACAGCTGCTGCTCATGAGAGGTGGTTCAGACATGTCCCTGGGAGGAGAAGCTGAGGCTGACCCGGGACAGGCTGAGGGATTCAAGCTCTAGGTTGGCATGGGAACCACTCGGAAGGAGCTGGCAGAAATGTGCACTGTTTGGGCATCCTTGTGAGGGTTAACACGTTTAACACACTTTAATGTGCATTTTAACTAATCCTTTTTTGCAAAGCTGCTAAGATTTTAAAATTAAAAACTAATTTTATTTGTTTTTTCATATTTAACTGTCAGTTACTTTTTGCTTCTGTTCAGCTTTTAGAAAGAAGACAAAACCATAAAAACTAGTTTTCCTGATCTTCTTTTATGACTGAGCAGGAGAATTACTGTTAATTATCTTTGGCTTTGTTCCTTTAAGGCAGTGAAGCTCCCTCATGTTCATTATGTAGAGGAGGACTCGTCCATCTTTGCTCAGAGCGCCCCCTGGAACCTCCAGCGTTTACTGCAGCCTCATGGTGGGCTCTCTCTGAATGCCACATACAGCCCTCCAAGTGAGTCTAATCTGGTCACACACACACACACACACACACACACACACACACACACACACACACACACACACACACACACACACACACACACACCAACTCTGTGGATGCATGCCCATTTATTACAAATCAGCAAAGTTTTCTCTGATTAAAAAAAAGCATCAACAGCAGTTCTTTGGGTTCTTAAATCAGTCATAACTCCGTCTGTAATAAACGACCCAGCATGACATTTCTTATCACCATGGCAACCTTTCACTGAGAGTACGTACACACTGATGATGAGTTTATGAGGTGGAGATCGCTGTCGTTACCATAAGCCTTCACTCACAGTAAAAAGGAAAATGTCGGCTTTTACAGCTTCAGTGAAAAAGATGCTTGAAAAGTGACAGATTTACAAAATAAAAACCTCCAAACAGGAAGAAAATATAAGTAAGAAGCTGAAGAATAATTCTGGCTTAAATAAAATCAAATATTCACATAAGTACAAAGCTGGTAATGACACTGAAAAGAAAACACACCAACACATCCCAGAATTTTTAGGCTAAAAGGCTTCAAAAAGCAACGTATCATGATCTGTTCTAAAGAAATATAACCACTAAAGAACCCAAATGTCGTGCTTTGGTTGTGGTTAGGACTCAAGTACAGGTGGGTCAGACTCTGGGAGGCAGCAGAGAAGGTTTAGCTCTTTATTTTAAAGCCATGTCAGGAATATGGAGGGGCTACATCAACATGGCACCAAAACAACGCCTAAAGCAGGCTTGGTTTAGGGCAGAGGTCACTAGTCTCCATGTGAGACTTCTAGACCAAAACCTCTGCTGACCAAAAAGACCCGTCTCACATATGCCCGGAAACTAGCCTGGCTACCCACAAACATCTTGATGCTCCACAAATATTCAGTAGACAGTGTGCCCCTTTAAATCTGGTGTAAAACGAACTTTGCATTTCAGAACATCACACCACCAGTCCAACATGTGGTGGTGGTGTGATGGTCTGGGACCACTTGCTGTAACTGATTTCTATCAGAAAGCCCTCCACAGAGATGTGGAAGACCCAGTCATCATCAACACTTGATTGCAGCTGTTGCTGCCAAAAGTGATCTGAGCAGTTTCAAGGTTTCGGGGTAATTATCTTCTCGTTTGGGACCAGGCTGTTCTGGTACTGTGTTTTTTCTGTGAAAGTAAAATGGTCATTTCTCGTTCATGACAAAGCGATAAAAGAAGAACTCGACAGTCAGACTCATCTCTGTTCTTCGCAGATGATGGAGGGATGGCGGAGGTGTTCCTGATGGATGGCAGTGTTCAGAGTTCCCACAGAGAGGTTGAAGGACGCGTGCAGATCACAGACTTCAACAACGTCCCTGAGGAGGATGGGGTCAGAGTTCATAGGCAGGTATGTGTGTGTGACTGCAGCTCAGTGATGAAGCTTTAACACAGATCTGTCTGACTGATGCTCTGACCCGTCTCCCTTTCTGCAGGCCGGTCAGTGTGACGGCCACGGCACACACCTGGCGGGGGTTGTGACTGGACTGGACTCGGGCGTTGCTAGAGGTGCGGGTGTTAGCCTGGTTCGTGTGCTTAACTGTCAGGGGAAAGGGACCGTTTCAGGAGCTCTAGCAGGTACTTGAGATGACCAAGCCTCAGCAGAGCCGGAGCAGACGCTGGGACCTTATCCGTGCCTTTGTTCTGATCAGGGATGGAGTTTATTCGAGCGACATTACTGGCCCACCCGGTGGACACGGTGGTTGTTTTGCTGCCTTTCGTCGGTGGCTTCAGCCGCTCCTTAAACACCGCCTGCAGAGACCTGGTGGCTCACGGAGCCGTGGTCATAGCTGCTGCGGGGAACCACAGAGACGACGCCTGCCTTTACTCACCTGCTTCAGAGCCAGAGGTGATCGTCTGAAGAGTCTGAACATACCGGACCACACACACTCCTCTGCTAAGCTGATCTGTGTGTGCAGGTCATCACAGTGGGAGCGGTGAACTCAGCAGACCAGCTCATGTCACAGGGAGCAGGCGGCACCAACACAGGACGCTGTGTTGATCTGTTTGCACCTGGTGATGACATCGTCAGCGCCAGCAGTGACTGTAGCACGTGTTTCACATCACGCAGTGGAACCTCGCAGGCTGCAGCGCATGCTGCAGGTACACACACACACACACACACACGCTCATGCAAAGTAACCCAAGACTGATCGGTCTTATATTTTGTTATGTGTTCAGGTGTAGCAGCTGTTGTCCTGTCCTCCAATCAGGACGCATCACCGGTTCAGGTCCTACAGATGATGTTGCATCATTCCATCAGCAATACAATCAACTTCCTGCCTCTGTCAGACACACGGCGTCTCTCTTCTCCAAACTTTGTAGCAGCCTTGCCCTCATCCAGCAGCTCCAAATCAAGTGAGTGACCCACCCTTTAACACACGACACATCTCAGCGCTGTTCTCAGCAGGTGGTTTCACTTTTATGGGCAGGCAAGGAGCTGCTGTGCCGCTCCGTGTGGTCGGAGAGGTCAGGGCTTTCAAAAACCGACAGGGTGACGAGCCGCTGTCGCCCGGGGGAGGAGATGATGGGCTGCAGCAGCTATGCTCCCGATGGCGTCCGTGTGGGAGAAACCATCACCGTGAGTCCGTTCAGACTTACACTTTGATCCAAACCAACGCAGACGTGTTAAATAAACCGCCATCTGCTGCGTGTGCAGGAGAGCCGCGGACAGGCAGAGTGTGTTGCCTACAACGGCGAAGCAGGTAACGGTGTGTACGCGGTGGCCCGCTGCTGTGTGATGAACGGTCTTCACTGTCAGGTCCGATCCAGTCCTGAGGCTGGGAAAGATGCTCAGTGTGGCGACCCGCCGCACCTCACAGGTGAGCCACAGGTATTACTGCAGCAGAAACAGGATTAGGATTTGTTGCTTAGAGTTACTAAAGTCATGTGGATGTTCTCCGGGATTAAACTGGGAACGTTAATACGTTTAGCGTTTAAAATGTAAAAATCTTTTTTGGCTCACCTTAAACTGACCTGTTGGTCTTAATAACCCTAATAAATGATGGATTTAGTAGAATACTGAGGTAGATTGCAGCTTATCCTAAATAAATGTGAGGACAACTGGGTAACTGCTGCCTGCACGAGCCATTTAGGACTTATTCATATGTGCAAAAGGCAGTGGAACATGCTCACCGGTACCGTTCTGCAGCATGTGTAAGTGGTTTTTTCATTCTGCTGCATTCAGATCTTCTAGGTCAATTACGTTTCCATGGCAATCACTCAGGAAGAAAACCTGCTCTTCTGGTCAGCAGAAACGCCAGCTGTCTGGGTTTTAAAAGCAGATCTGGAAATGTCATTTTTACACCTAAATGCATTTTGTTCCAGTCCGTGATCGGGTCCGTGATGATTCCTGAGTGGAAGATGAGAACGTCTCATTGTTGGGACTTTGGTCTCTGCCTTCCAGGGTGCACAGCTTATTCCACTACTGAGCTGCTGTCCGACTCCCGTCCTCATGCCGGACTTGGGAAGCGCTGCGTGGTGAAGGAAGGAGTCACATCACACGCACTCTGCTGCCGCGCTCCGTCTCTTGAGTGCCACCTGTTGGAAAACTCAGCTGCAGACAGAGAGCAGGTTTGTAATTAGTAAACGTCTTTTAGAGTCACCTCCTGGACAGATCTTCTTACCGTCAGATGTCTCTGCTGCAGGTCCAGCTGTCCTGTCCCGCTGGATGGACTCTGACGGACTGCAGTGCCATCTCCCTGGGAACTGCAGTCCTGGGGTCGGTTGCTAGGGGCAATAGCTGCTACATCCAGAGTGCCACAGGGGCAGGAGAAGCAGTGGGCATCGCTGTATGCTGCCGTGCTGCACCACCACCACCACCACCACCACCTTCTGCCACAACTCCAACCTGATCCTGCAGCAATCTGAGAGCAGCTTTGACTTGCTGTCCCGTCTCTAACCGTGTTTCCTCCTCTGGGGCACGCTGACCTTCCTGATGCTGTCGGTGCCCTCCTCTTCAGCTGACGGTGACAACTGTGCTATCAGGTCAAAGCATGTTCTGTCACAATATTCTAAACCATCTCACACATAGCGTGCTGTGAAAAAGTGTTTACTACATCAGACCGGCCCGTTTAAGGGTTCAGTCGGCGGGAATTCAAACTGAATTCACCCACGATCATAGTTCACCACGTAAACAGCCTCAAAATGTTGTAGAAATGGTCATTCATCAAGTTTTCAAAAATATATATTAAACTTTGTGTTATTTATTACTTCATCATGTAGAATTTACATCCTGGTTTCTATTAGTTAATTCAGTTATTATTAATTTTAATAGTACTCATTATTTTTTATTAATACCACTCGAGAACAACTCACTGAGGTCACAGTTATGGAAGACTTTCTTTCCACGTCTGGATCTTTGGCTCTTGCTTCTACTGGATATCTGTTGGTGTCTTGTGGGAATTTGGTGACTTAACAAGCACACGTTGTTGAGAGATGTACAGATTTTTCCAGTGGTTATTTAAACAATACGTTTGAAGAATATTTCCACAGTGTAATAACACAGAATGACCATTAAAATAGTGTATTTTCAGAGAAGTCTGTTGATTCTTGATTTGAACAAGGACGATAGAGATGGAATTCTTGATTAATTTATTTTTTAATTTTGGCATCTTCTTCTATCAGTTATTACCTTCTGTAGTTATTATTGACGTTAAACAGTGTTTTGTAAAGTGAAAGTAATGTACTTTTTTTCCATACATCACATTTCAAATAAATTAATAAATTCAATGTTCAATTTATTTACGAAGCATATTTTGGTGGAGTGTACTGCCCAAAGACACTACAGCACAACAAGAGAAAGCTAGGGTTGAACCAGCAACCCTTCAATTACTGGACAACCTATTCTACCTCCTGAGCTAACGCCACATGTTGTCTCTAATTGGTTTTAAAAAGCTGAAAAAAAAGAGCTATTATAATTACACAGGGCTGAAAAATCTTCAATTAAAAATAAACTAAAAACAGAAATAGAATGAAATTAAAAAAAACATTAAAATAGTGTAATTTTGAAAAGAATGTAATTGTAGGTTAGAGTAGTAATTTGAGAACTTCGAGCGGAGTCTGTAAGAATCAGATTCAACACTGAAAGTACAAAGCAGCTGCAGCTTAGACTTCTCATGGGGCCTAAAAGAGACGTACAGTTGGCAAATGGTATTTGATATAGCGCCTTTTAGAGTCCTGGACCCCTCAAGGCGCCTTACAACACAATCAGTCATTCACAAATTCATACCCTGGTGGTGATGAGCTACAATGTAGCCACAGCTGCGCAGGGGCACACTGACAGAGGTGAGTCTGCTGTACACAGGCGCCACTGGTTCCTCCGACCACCACCAGCAGGCAAGGTGGGTAAAGTGTCTGGCACCTGGACACAATGACAGCAACAAACTGAGCGGGGCTCGAACCTGCAACCTTTCCAATTACAGGGCGAGCACTTAACTCCTGTGCCACCGTCACGCCAGTTGGATGGCATCTGCATAAAGATGGCAAGACATTCCTTTAAAAAAGCTCAAGATGTGCTGAAGAGGAAGCAGATAGAGGAGGAAGAGTAGAGGCCCCAGCACCGAACCATGTGGGACACCGTGGGCGAGGGAGATGGAGGATGACCAAAACTTAGAGACCGCAGAGAAGGAAAGCTCAGGCAGGTATAAGGAGAACCACTCCAGAGCAGTTCCTGATAGGCCTGCCCAGTCTCTCAGCCTATCTAGTAGCAGATGATGGTCAACGGTGTCAAAGACTGCAGTCAGGTCCAGCAGAACCACAACGGCCATCGACTGCAAATTATATCTACCTCTGGATGGTGCTGGAGATTGCCCAATCAGAAGATTTGTTGATTATTTGGCTAAAGTTCAAGGCATGGATGGCAGAAAACTTCCCGTGTCTCAATGAGAATAAAACAGAGGCAATGGACCCAATGGTCACTTCTTCCAAGGTGGACTGTGGTGATATATTTTACTGCCAGAGTGCTTCTGCAATCAATGTTGACGTGAAGAAAGACAATGCTTCCTGCTTTGATGCTCACATTAGTTCTGTGGTATCTTCTTCCTTTTATCATTTGAGACGCTTGGCTAAAGTGAAGCCATTTCTGACTAGACGGGATCTTGAGATTGTTGCCTTCATTACCTCGGGCCTAGACTACTGTAACTGTCTAATTTGGTGTAAGTCAGGGTACTGTAGCTCGCCTGCAGCTTGGTCAGAACGCTGCACCGAGACTCTTGCATAAGAAAACTACAACCACGTGACATCATTTCTGGCTGCTCTTCATTGGCGACCTGTCCATTTTAGAACTTGTTTTAAAATTGGTTTCATTGCTGTTGAAGGTACTGACTGGGTCGGCTCCTGCCTATGTGACTGAGTTGCTGTAGCCATACGTTTCTGCTCGGACAATCCACTCCAAAAACCAGTTGTTTGTTTGTGGCTCCCAGAGCTCTGGTGAGGACCGGAGGGGATAGGGCATTCTCTGTAGCGGGACCAAAACAATAGAACGCACTTTCCCTTACCTGTTAGCTCTCTTCATCAGTAGCATGTTTAAAATGAGGCTAAAGACCTACTTTTATGAACTGACGTTTAACTCAGTGGTTGCTGATATTTTATATGATCATACTCCATAATTTTGACTATGCTGGTTTTAATTGTTTCTGTTGGCTTTATCAGTTTATTTATTTTTTATTGTACAGCACTTTGGTGGCATGCTTCATGCCTGTAAGTAAGTAAGTAAGTAAGTAAAAGTGTATTTATAGAGCGCCTTTCACAGATATAAATCACAAAGCGCTGTACAACATGATAAAGATCAGGGCAAATACCTCTAACCAATAAAAACATCAGAAAAACAATAGCAGTGATAAAGTAGAAAATAAAATCATGAGTACAAACAAAGTGAAGGTGTGAACCCGAACAAAGCCGTCATTCTGAAACCTTTAGGGAGGGAACGCCTGGATGAAAAGGTGAGTTTTTAGATGATTTTTAAAGACCTCTACAGTGTTAGAGAGACGGAGATTTGAAGGTAGACTGTTCCAAAGTCTGGGTGCAATAGTCTGAAAGGTCCTGTCCCCTTTGGTTTTCAGTCTGGTTCGAGGAACAGCCAGGAGGTTTTCAGATGTGGATCTAAGGTTCCGAGAGGTGGTGTGTGGGGATAAAAGCTCAGATAGGTAGCTTGGAGCCTGGTTGTTAAGAGCTCTATAGGTCAGGACTAAAACTTTAAACTGTATTCTATATTCTACCGGGAGCCAGTGGAGGGACTGTAAACCTGGAGTGATGTGAGCTTGTCTGCTGGATTTGGTTAGGAGTCTGGCTGCTGCATTTTGGATGGCTTGAAGGCGTGAGAGGGAGGTTTTGCTGAGACCAGTAAAAAGAGCGTTACAGTAGTCTAAGCGGATGACACAAAGGCATGGATTATGTTTTCCAGATCTGCAGTAGAAACCAGTTTACGGTCAGTGTGCCCCAGGGCAGCTGTGGCTACATCGTAGCTCATCACCATCACTGTGTGAATGGATGCGCTTTGGAGTCCTTACTCTGAGAGGCGCTATACAAGTGCAGGTCATTTAACATTTGAGTTGAGAGATAAGAAGAGCTGTTTCAGTAGAACGTTTTAAAGCCGATTACAGGAGGATCTTTTTTGACATCAATATTTATGTTTTTCTCATTGCATCGTGGGAATGGGTGGCAAGAATCGGTCCATTTTGCTGACATTTTGATAGTTTAGCATGTTTGGGAGGAGGGTTTGGCGGTTTGGCCTGTGGGAGGCTTGATAAATCCTTTTATTGGAATTTTCCTTCGTAAACGACCACGAAAATGTGAAAGTGGAGAAACGAGAGTAAGATGCAAAAGTTCATTTATTTCAGTAATCCAGCTTCGACTGAGGGACCAACTAAAGGCTCAGGAACCCTTTGCCCAGGTTTTGGGGTGAATTAGTTTAACAGAGTGTGACACTCTGATTCTGCAATATTGAAACATAATCTAATTATCTGGGATTTTGAATGTTTTCATGAGCTGTTAGCCATAATCATCACAAGTATAACAAATAAATACTCAAAATACCTGGCTTTACATGGAATGATTCTACCTTATAATTAGTTTATAAGTCTTTTAAGATGGATTACTGAAATAAATTAACTTTTGCACAATATTCTCATTCTTCGATTTTCGATTTTCACCTGTACGACTAAACATCACCAAGACCGAGGAACTGGTTGTTGACTTTAGGAAGCACCAACAGATGTTAAAATGGTTGAGGACTACTGGGAATACACACTGACTGCAACCTGGACTGGTCCAAGAACACTGGTGCTGCTTGTAAGCAAAGGCAAAGCCAGCTCTACCTTCTGAAGAGGCTCAGATCTGTCCATGTCTGTGAGAAAATGCTGACCATGTTCTTTGACTCTGAGGTAGATTGTGGTCGGTTTTGCAGCTGTGTGCTGGGGTAGTTGGGTGAAGACAGCTGATGCCAAGAGGCTGAACAAACTAACAAGGTGGCTTCTGGTGACTGGAGAACTGGTTAGATCAGTGGTTCCCAAACTTATTTAGCCGCGCACCCCCTTCTATGTCCCGACCATGTCGACGCACCCCCCAGCCCCCACATCAGGGCATGGCTATATATATATATATATATATATATATATATACATACATACATACATATATATATATATATATATATATATATACATATATATATATATATATATCAGACGTCAAGCTAAACAGACAGAGTTAAAAAATATGATCGACCTTTTTCCCCATCACTTTCATTTTTAAATAGTCATTAATAAACATTCGATACATTACAATTTTCTTTGATTTAATTTTAAAGAAATATTTAGAGTGCCCAGGTAGCACATAAACAATGCAATTTAACGGTTTTCTTAAAGTAGGAATGTTTAACCAGAGCGCTCTCCTTCCTTCTGCTCTGCGTAAACCTGAGCTGATCACCTACTGGTGCGTAATCAAATGTCTATAGGGGAAAAGATGGAAAAGCTAAAGCCATGAGGTTCACTTTTACCTCAGACTGACTTATTGCTGTTTTATGGTGTGGCTGAATCTGCGATCCGCTGCCACGCGGACTGGAACAACAAATGCTGCAGTAACAGGACTTGTGGTCAGGTTCATGAGGAGTCACTGGCTGGAGCGGACCCAACTTTAATACGTCATCCCAAAATAGAAGCTAATATCTTAATTTGACCTTGAATGAAATAAAACCTCTTAAAAGTTTTTATCACAGAGGAGGCAGCGCTCATTTCTGTCTTCAGTCTGACGGCGCGCCGGAGTTTGCGCAGCGTGCGCGCTTATTGAATCTGTGTGTGTGTGTGTGCGGCACAGCTCCATGAGCCGCTCCAGTCACCGCGTCTCGTTATTGGCGCTATTTAAACCAATGTTGTAAAATGACTTCTGCCCAGCCCAGATGTGCTCACTTGTGCACCCGTGAGCCGTGGCTCCGCTGGAACGCGTCTGACCTCTGACAGACGCACTCTGAACTTCAGATCTTCAGCGTGCTGTTAATAGCCTGAATGGGAATCATTTCTTGTTATTTAGTTACATCCACAATGTCCTGTGTGTGAGGTTTACAACGTCAGAACACCTGCATGAGACAGGTGTTAATTACAATCTGCCAGAATGACTCACCACCTTCAGATTCCTCCAACACCGTTAAAAATGATCAAATACGGAACATATCGGCGTGCGCAGGCCAGAGTGCTGAAGCTCGGCGCATTGTTATTATGAAGCTAGGGCACATGTGGAGGACACGCGCGCAAAAATATACTTGTTTTCAATTACATTTATTGTGCCCACTTACTTTTTCTTTGGCCCACCCACACATGAGTTTCTATGCTAATGGTGACATATGACAGACTTCTCTGAGCTCCGCAGCCGTTACACTTTTCACCTCGCGCACCCCCTAGCGGCAGCTCGCGCACCCCCAGGAGTGCACGCACCACACTTTGGGAATCCCTGGGTTCTGGGTTAGAGGTTTCTGAGAGAACGCTGAAAAAGCTTCTCAGCACCAGGGACAACCCCCCTCACTCATGTACGTGATCCAGCATCTTGATTGTGAATTACTAATCTATATGATAATATCTCTCATCCCCTCTACAAGCTGCCTACTAATTATTACTCATGTAAAAGTATTTGTTGTTCTGTTGTTTAACTAGTTTTTTAAAACTCTGTACTCACGTATTTTTAAAGGGATACTTTGCACATTTTTCTTGAGCCAGTATGTGCTAAAATGACCCTTTACAGGGTTAATGAAAGGCCACCCAGCCCCTATTGACGCCTGTGGTCAGAATATTCCACTTACAACTTCACACTGACGGGCCGCTTCCTGTAGTGGACATACCTGGTGCTGCAGTCCGGTTACAGTTCCTTTCCTCCAAGTTTTAGATCACGAACACAGCTGATTGGTTTGATTTAGTGATGAAATGCTCCTGTAGATGCTAATGAAGGCCGGGAGACTTTTCAGCTGTTAGATTAAGGTGTTAAAAAGACGAACACACGGAGAGTAGATAGGTTTTGCTTTATCTTCTACAGACACGAGGGGAGGCTAAAAGCAAGCCCAAACTGCCTAGTCTCCCTTTAATCCTCCTGTTGCACTGAGCAGGACTATGACAAAAATATTTATCTTTGGCCTTAAAACTCACCCCATGGGCACCATTGTTTCCCCATCACCTTTCTTTTATTATCAAATCATGACCTTTGTTCCAGAATTTTATTTATTGTGTTGCTTTTTGAGATTTTTTAGCCTCCATCATGCTGTCACACGGGTTCTATTACAGTGCTTTCTTATTTCTGCAGGTCTGTCATCAGGTCTGAATCTTGCTGGTAAAACTAAATCCATCACAAATAATTCATGATTATGATTATTTTATTCAACAGGGCATGGTTACTTAGTCCAGGTTGAGCTGGTTTAGTGCATTAAAAACGGTTTCGTTTTTACTGAGATCCTTTAGTCTGATGTTGACATTGTTTTCTAATTTGAAGCTTTTAAGTATGACCAAAAAGAGAAGAAATATTTCTAAATATTTTGTACTGAATTAGTAAAATAAAACTTTCAAGAATGCAACTTAACGATGATCCTGCAACAGGAAGTAGAATCATGACACCACTGAGACAAGCACAAAGAACAGTGTTTACAAAAGGTTGTGCATTCCAGTTTATTTTATATCAAACCTCCCCTCAATCAAATTCTCTGATGTACAAATTAAAATTTGAGTTTTAACATGCATTACAGATTCCTGCGACGTCAGAAGTGAACTTTCAAAATTGAAGCGCAGTAAAAACCCGTATAGGTGCCAATCCTGACCCATATCCCTCCCTGCATCCCAGAATTAAGATTGTTTCAAAGCCCTCCCCTACTTCCCGCCCGCCATCTTTAAATAATCGTGGAGATGTAGAGAAGAGGGCCGAACCAGTAGGAGACTCTGCTGGAGGCAGCTTGTGTCACTTGGCATGGGCTGTGTGTTTAGTGAGGGAGCTGCACGCAGCCAATCAGCCGCAGCGAGCAGTGCTAGCTTGTGACAGAAAGTGCTAATGATACCAAATCACACTGCAAACAACACGGGGGGCTGATTTTTCTGTTTCTTTTTTTTTTTCCCATCTGTCACACAGAAAAACACAAACTTCACCACTTGCTGCCACACATGCAAACGTGACATTTACGGCTAATGAGTCAGGGAGGAAGAGGGGAGTGAAGGGTGAGTTTGGAGGGGCTAAAGAGGCGTCTTTCCTCTCCTCGGCGGGCTGACTGCATGTTGATTGGAACAGAAAATCAGTTTGCATGAATGCCTCGTACTGTAAACATCAATCTGTTAAAGCTGAGAGCTAACCTGCTATGCTAGGTGTGTTTTCCTCAAAGCTACAGAGATTGAATCAGAGTGAAAAGAAGCAGCATTTTACCATCACCAAAACCCCGTCGCCACCCCTCCACACGCCCACGTTTAGACAGTTACATTCATAGACCCCTTAGTGCATTAGCCTGAGGGGTAATGAGGATGAACGAGCCCTGTTACGCTCCCACGATCGTTCCAAACGACTCCAGGAGACGCTTGTAAGGACACGCCCTGCTGAAGATGTGGCGGTAAGTCGGAGTGGGGTAGTATCGGGAGATTAAGGCACTTTAAGACTCCCGACGGTTTACGGTAGGGGTGACGATGGTAACATGAGCGTATCTCTCCTGTGAAAACTCGAGCTACGTTTGAGTTCAGCTCACGTGTGTGTGTGTGTGTGTGTGTGTGAGTTCAGCTTATGTGTGTGTGAGCTAAAAAAGGCAGACAAAAGCAAAAGGCAACGTGAAAAGAAAAAGAGCCAAACCTGATGCAGCAGAGGCAACAGTAAAATGAGGATGTGTTATGAGTGACACACGCTTGCAAGTTTTTCATACGTGTAATAAGTGTGTTTGTGTGTAACCTTGGCACCTAAAAATTAAACATGCTCCTGAGCTTCTCCTTAGTCGGCACTGATGGCCTGCCTACGCTGATCTGTGCGGCTTCAGATCAGGTTTTCTTGCATAAGGCTGAAGTCTCTAAAGACCCTCTCCAGGATTAAATCCATCCAGAGTCTGAGAGAAATAAAACGTAGCTATGAGAGGAATAAAAATCTAGCACGAGGCTGCTGGTCAGCAAGAAGAAGGAGCGGAGGGAGAGCGCTGACCATGGCACTGCTAGGGTCACGGACCCGGCCCTGTCCTGTGTGTCCCAGTGGCTACGGGTCAAAGGTCCAGTCACAGGCTGGAGTGGCAAGCTGTCATGTGATCGCGTGAGTGGCACTGCAAACACAAGTGGATGAGAAGCAAAGGAAGAAGAGGACACGAGCTCTGCTTGGCTCTGGAGGAACTGACCCGCCACCACGCTGCTGCTGTACATCACAATAGCCTGGGCTAGACTATAAAGTGCATACTTAACCCCACCCGCCCCCTCCCAAGTGCTCGCATGTGGAGGTGTTTCTGTACACGTCTAAGTTCCTCTAGAGCAGCTAGAGTTAGCTCCTTCACTTTGCATGGCTGTGGAGAAAAACACCAGACTTTAAAATAGTATCTTACACCTATGGAACAAATCTTAATTACAACATGAATATGCAAATACGTTGGCAAATATGAGGAGATAATTGTTAAAACACAACCCGGACCTGTCCTCCAAGTGAACGAGTGAGTGAAAGCATAAACCGAAGTCATCCGTGACTCGTGGAAGGTTATTCCCACCCCGGTCAGCTGCAATGCCCTTAATGATAATGCATCTCTATTGTCGCCTTGGCAGCTCTGAAAGGAAGTAATTCATGATTAATTCATAGCTCCTTTGTTGCCGTAGCGACCAAGAGAAAGAGTCCCGATTGGCCTCCTGTGGAGTCCTAAGTGTCCGGACCAATCACAGGCAAAGTGCAGCCCTTTCCTCTGGCTGCCTGGACCTCGGCTGCCTCTCCGCAGGACGGACCCGACCAGCTGATGGAGTTAGGAGTCGACATCCTCAAGATCGCTCTTTGAATCACCGAGCATCATGGGAGACTCTGACCCCTGTGGAATAAAACCAGTCCAGATTAAATCCCAGAGCAGAAAATATGTAACAAAAATAAAGAAAAACAAGTAAAGCGCTCAGGACGTGAAAGGAGGATTAAAATTTCAAACATCCTCCTTGTCAGGTTTCATCGTGCCAGAAATGACTGATAATCTTGAGTCGGCGTGCTGACGGGCACAGCAAGAGTCAGAAGAAAGGATCGGATTTAAACCCGCTGCTAATAACAACCGTAGGAGGTAACAAACTGCCTTCAAAGCTGTCGGCAGAAGCCAGTGAGATTATCCCTTTTTGTTCCAATGTTCTTTTTCTGGCTGTGTGAGCAGAGTGTGAGCAGTGTGAGTCATCCCAGAGCCCCGCTGGGTTAAGCAGCTACCTGTCGGAGGCTGCGGTCTGCGTTTTCATTAGCCGGGCTGCCATCGGAGCCGTTGCTGCTGCCAGACTGCTCCTTCTCGTTTAACAGTGCTGTGGCGTAGGCCAATGTATCCTGCAGATGTGCACGCACACACACACACACACACGCACGCACACACACACACGCACGCACGCACGCACGCACACACGCACGCACGCACGCACACGCACACACACACACGCACACGCACACACACACGCACGCACACGCGCGCACACACATGCACGCACACACACACGCACGCACACACACGCACACACACACGCACAAACACGCACACACACACGCGCGCACACACGTACGCACGCACGCACACACACACGCACAAACACGCACACACACACGCACAAACACGCACACACACACGCACAAACACGCACACACACACACGCACAAACACGCACGCACACGTGCACACACGTACGCACGCACACAGGCACACACACGCACACACACGCACAAACATGCGCGCACACACGCACGCACACACACACGTACGCACGCACACACACACACGCACGCATGCACGCACACACACGCACGCACACACACATACACACACACAAACACGCACGCACACGTGCACACACGTACGCACGCACACACGTACGCACGCACACAGGCACACACATGCACAAACATGCGCGCACACACGCACGCACACACACACGCACACACACACGTACGCACGCACACACACGCACGCACGCATGCACGCACGCACACACACGCACGCACGCACACACACGCACGCACACACACATACACACACACACAAGCACACGCACGCACACACACACACACAAAAGTTTGGCTTGGAGCAGAGGGGAAATATCAACACTACTTCATGTTTTTTGTAGCAGAGAGACTGGATGAAACTGACAGCACGCTGACCTACAGAATTATTACTACACGTGTGTGTGTGTGTGTGTGTGTGTGTGTGTGTACCTGTGCAGAGATGGTACGCTGGAAGGTTTTATTGGTGGACGTCTCATTGGAGACATTGCTCTGTGGAGTCCAGTAATGTTCAGTCATCTGTGGGCAGAAGGAAAACCCGCCGTAAGACTTAAACTCCTGAACCAAGATATAAGAAGCAGGCAGCACTCAAAGTAAACTTAACGGTAGCAGATGAAGAGAGAAGCAGGAGAAAAATAAAGAAGAAATAAGGAGGAAGAGGAGTTTCAAACACTTGAATCTAAAACATTCTCTATAAAAATATGAATATCCAAAAGGTAACACAAAAGTCTGCTAAGAAAACAAAGTGAACTACTTTTATAAAATCTAACACAACAAATGGTTAATTAAAAAAAACATTCAAAACTAATTCAATGAAAATAGATAATTTATCTAAAAATAAAAAATGGTTATTTTTCACCAGGAAACAGATTATTAAATAATAAAAAGCTCAAATGAACAGAAATGATGTGAAACATTTGAATAGTTTCTCATCTGTGTAAAACTGATTAATAATAAAAAGTATTCCAG